ATACGTAAAAACCCCACCGACCCGGGCGAAAGACGCATGGTGCGCCAGGATAACGGAGATACCGGATGTACGAATGTACGGAAGTGAGGACGGATGAATACAAGTGTGTGAAGTACACAACAGGAGCTAAAGCAAAAAGCAGTGAGCCCGCATGTAAGTAGTAGTACGAGTACGGCAATTGAGATCCAAAGATAGCAGAGAGGATTTACGAGTTGCGTGCGTGCCTTCAGGCGGCGGAGAGGACACACAATCCTGTTTTGAACATACATACATACATACATGCATGCATACGTACGGAAAAATGACCGCGGTCGTGGCGGAGCTCTGGACCCTCTTTTTGACTCAGTTAGTTACCGGGATAGGCGTTGGGGGGAAAGGCCGCCGCGCCGTCGCCGCCGCTGCCGCCGTCGGCATCCACACCATCAGGGGCCCTGCCGCCACCGATGACGGCCGCGGCAGCAGCGCCTTTCGCATCAACTGCAGCGCCGCCGTCCACAAGCATCGACCCCGGTGAATCCACAACCTGCAAAGTACGACATACGACACCGTACGGGCATACGGGCAGTCCAAGTAGGGGCTAAAGCAAACGGATGGTGCGAGAGGTTCGGTTGGTAGTTGGTACGGCATCACATGGTTAACTACCATGATAAATCAAAGGACGTGCCACGTGTGGCCTTCAGACTTCGCAGAGTATTACACCCCATAACGAAGGGGAATATCCAGATCAGCAAGAATTCAGACAATCTTTTGTTACTTGCAGAGCCCCGGGCGACCTCTTCCCCGCTCCCCACCCCCACCAACACGCAAGGGGCATCGTCAAACGGGCTATTTTCAGTCCTGCATGCTGATGACCCGTGGGTCTGTCCTCTACCCGTTGTCTTAACCAGTGATTACTCACCTTCCCATCAGGGTCCCCAACGACCGTACGGCAAAGTGTTTCACCGCTGCCGTGTGGCGGCGGCTCGGCCCTGACGACGGGAACGGGGGTTCCGACGGCAGCGCCGCTCCCGCTCCCGCTCCCGTTCCCGCCGCCAACCCGGCGAGTTGCGAGACGCGCAGCTCTTGCAAGCTCTCCGCCAATGCCCGCGTCGACGCCGCAGTCTGCAATGCCGCCGTTGCCGCCGCCGCTGCCGCGAGCGTTACTGCCCACAGCCCCTCCTCCGGCGGACTTCGTTGGCGGCGCCTGATCGCCAAGGTGCCGCTGCTGAAGGCGTCTGCTTTGCCGTACAGCTACCTCACCGCACGAGGTGCCACCGCCGCTGCCGCGGCGGGCAGAGCGCGTCTCCGGCTGACGCGCCGTCGCCGCCGCCGCCGCCGCCGTTGTCGCCGCCGTCGCTCCAATTCCGCCTTGCTTCTTTCCAAGTTCACCCTCCCCCTTACCTTTACTCTCCTCCTCCTCCTCCTCACCACCACCACCACCATCATCAGCATCATCAGCATCATCAGCATCATCATCAGCATCAGCATCAGCATCCAGCATCAGCATCAGCATCATCTTCATCTTCATCTTCATCTTCATCTTCATCTTCATCTTCATCTTCATCTTCATCTTCATCTTCTTCCGCTTCGTCATCCTCTTCCTCTTCCGTTTCTTTCCCCTTGCTGTCGCCGTCGTCGCCCCCNGGATGATTCCTCCTCCTCCTCCTCGTCCTCCTCCTTTACCTCCTCCTCCTCCCCCTCCTCGTTGACCAGGTAACGCGTGACCTGGTCCAGGGGCTGGTAGAAGCTGCGGCTGTCGCCCCGGATACGGATCTCCAAATGGCCGGGTAGGCGCCGGTACACAGACTTGGGTTGCGGAGCAGAGGCGCGTGTGTGATCGGGGCGGTTGCAGGATGCGAGGGCGGAGAGGGCAGATACACATGAACATCAACATTGATTGAACACCAAGAAGGGAGGATGGGAAAGAGGGAAGGAGAGGAGAGAGGAGCAAGTTCGGGACGATTAACAGCGGAAGGGAAGCGGAAGAGAGCCTGGGGGGAGAAGGGGTGGGAAGAGACAATTTCAGCAGGTCCATTTGCAAGTTATAAAAGAAGGGTACAAGGAAAAGTGCAGGTCGGGGGAATCCGGGGGAGAGAGAAAAAAGGGGGAGAGAGAGAAGGGGGAAGGGGAGAGAGAAACGTGGCCTTCTAGTATTGCAGACAGCTCCGGTCGATAGGACCTAGTTGGCAGCTGGCTTATCTTAGCGCAGCGCAGCGCAGCTTATTCCAGCTTCAGCTTAGCTTTTCTTTGTACAGACAGACAAACTGCGGTGCTGCAGGATCTCACGAGCTGCCACAACCCTCAGCTGGCCTTGGTCCCGGTAGACGAAGACAGAGAAACGGACAGACACACGCTTGAGCCGGCGCGCTGACGCTTACGACACGGGGCGAACACACACACACACTCAAGGAGCGTTGCGCGATTGATGACTTGCATGTATTTCGGGATCATTTTGCCACCTTGTTAAATGCAGGGGTTGGGGAGACGGGTGTTGAAGGTGCACATCGACTCCTTAACTATATCTCCTTTTTTGGGGCCCCTTTGGGAGAGGGTGCTTGGCAAGCTTGTCGGACTGTCATGGACAGGAGAGCACGGGCAGCTAGCATCCTGGACGAGCCTTTCACCTTGGAGGAGGTAGCACGTGCTGTCGGTAGGTTACCAAACGGAAAGGCTCACGGGCTTGAGGCCATACCATCGGAATGCTACCGTTATGCACGCCTCCCACGGGTGGATGAGCAGGGCAGGCAGGGAACGGAGGTGAACTGTATCGTCCCAGTGCTGCACGTTTTGTTAGAGCACATCAGGGCAACTGGTGATTTTCCACAGCAGTTTACCAAAACGGTGGTATCCCCTATTTTGAAGAAGGGTGACCCGTTGGTGGCAGGAAATTATCGGGGCATTGCAGTTGGAGGAGCACTTGCGAAATGCTATGCGTCAGTGATCCTTAACCGCCTGGTACGTGCTGGGGAAATACTGGACCTGCGGCACCCATGCCAAGCGGGTTTCAGGCGGGGTTTTGGCACTGCTCACCACCTCTTTGTCAAGCAACACCTGGTCAGGCGCCATCGGATCGCGGGACAACCGCCGTTGATAATAGTACAGATTGACTTTGAGAAGGCCTTTGATAGGGTGCCTCGCGAGCACATGTGGCTTCGGTTGCAGGAGAGGGGGATTAGCGGCCCCATGCTAGGTGCTCTGAGAAAAGCGTACGAGAAGGTGTCCATGGTGATGAAGGTAAATGAGAAAGTGGGGGGAGAGTTTGAGTCTAAGCAAGGAGTGAAGCAAGGGTGTCCTTTATCTACTGAGTTGTTTGGACTTTTCATCGAGACACTAGCCGATCTGATTGATACTCATGACCTTGTAGAAGCTGGTGCACGTAAGTGTGACGCACCCCTTGTGGACAGCAAGCGCGTCTCCATACTGTTGTATGCAGACGATGTTAGTCTGCTAGCGACGTCAGTAGAGCGAATGTCTGAGTTGCTACATCTTGTGGACTTGTTTTGTGAAGCTTTTGGGATGCGACCAAATGTCTCAAAGTGTGAAAGGCTTGTTTTTGCATGTGACGGCACCCAGCAGTCGGAACTTAGCGGGAGATGTCAACAGTTACGGCTATCAGGCCAGGTAGTACCTGCCAAAGATAGCGCTCGCTATCTGGGCTTGGTATATGGGCCAGAACGGCCTTTTAGTGCGTGCCGTCAGCAGTTGTGTGATACAGGTCGGTCCGCTATGTTTTCCTTAAGCGCAAAGCTGGACAAAATGAAGCTATTTGCCCCCGATGTGCGAATGCGGTGTTTTGCAACCCAAGTCCGAGCAATTCTGTTGTATGGCTGCCAGGCGTGGGGCCCTTTTGCGCTGGCAGAGGTCGTGGACAGGGCGGGAAGGCGGCGGGATAAAGCAAACCTTGCGGAGGGCATGTTCGAAGCCTGTTTGAAGGATAGTGCAGTCCAGCTGCAGATTTTATTCATGAGGCAGGTAGTGGGGACGGCACGGCCATCCCACAGGCTGTTGTACGCGGAGCTGGCTGAACTCCCCTTACAATATTACATGGTGAAGCAGATCCTCCGTTTCTGGAACCGCCTTCAAAAGCAAGTGGGATCCATTGCTCATGCAGTTTTACGGCAGGAGATAACCGATGCCCTGACCAACCCGGAATGGGAGGGTTGGGGAATCTCAATGTTACGACTGTTTTCCTTCTTGGAGTGCAACATTTGGAGCGGAATACCGCAAGAAGTCGTGGGGGTAAAGGAGCGTGTTGACTGGTTGTTGAGTAGACCTCTACCAGAAGGAGCGATAATAACGGCACTAAGAGAGCGTTTGATGAGCGGCTGGGACCATACGCGTCTGACTGTCTTGCCAGAGGAGTACCCATCAGATGGGAAGCAACCGGGAGTGCAAATGGCGAAGTATAAGCACTGGATGGGGCTGCCCTTTTCGGGAGCCGCAGCCGTCATGTGGCCAACACATGCTAAGGTTTTCATTCCTCGTTTAGCACATCGTAAGCTAATGCAGTTTCGTTTATGTTGCTGGGCTTTGGAGGCGAACAGAGCACGAAGGGGCAAGTACCATGTCCCCAGGGGGCAGCGGTTTTGCCACTGTTGTGGTCCTAATAGCCGAATTGAGGATGAAAAACACGTGTTATTGGAATGCCCAGCCTATAATGATATTCGTGCTGAAGAGGGATTCGATCATCAACAGAGTATGTTGGAGGCCATGCAATGGGAACCCGCACGTCTGGCGAGGATGTTGGAACGTATGTGGGCTCACCGAAACTCAATTACCCCCTTTGGACGTTAGTCTGGGCTGATGTGCGGTGTTTTTTCCTTTTTCTCCGTGGCTTTTAGGCGTTGTAGTATTGCCCTTGGGCCCTCGGCTCGTATGGGTAGTCTTACAGGTATGGGGTCACGCACCCCCAACCATGTAACACACACACACACACACACACACGCTCACGTATGGAGGCCGCGAACACGAACCGCAATAATGAGGAGTGATGCGAGGAGAGCGACAGTTAGTAGACGGAATCAGATATGAAAAGACGGGAAGGTGCGGAAACGTGGGTGGAAAAAGGGGGAAATAAAACGACGCAACTGCTGGCGACGGGGGCAGACGGGCAGGCGGATGGGCGACGGGCACCAGAAGAGGAATTCATGGCAGTCTCTCAGTCCTTTAATCGTTGATCTTGCTACAAGCATAGCAAACAGAAGTGGTAAATCGTCAGGCAGGCAGGCAGGCAGCGACTCATTTACTACGTTTGCTGTTGTTTATTATTAGAGAGAATTCTTTTAACGCATCTACCGCGTCGCAGATCTATGTTAAGTTTTCTTCTTTGTTTTCTTCTTTTGTTTCATTTTTTGTTGTTTCTTCATTATTCGCCCACAGTTCAAATCCAATCATCCTTTCCGACTCAGCGTGTTGAAGTGTCGGCGGCGCCTGCTAAGGCTGCTGAAGCCGCTGCTGTGATCACTAGTTGTGGTCAAGTAGCTAGGTAAAACTTAGCGCCTCTGCTGTTGGCACCCAAACTTTCGGTTCCCTCCCGCCGCGTCAACCGTTAACTGCTAACTGCTAACAGCTAACAGCTAACAGCATTACTGAAGCGCAGACCATAAAGATATCGAGAAACAGACAGCTGGACAGCCGCCTACCACTTTTTCAGCCGCCAGGTTCTCGGCCCACATCAACTCGAAAAACAGGCAGCTGGACTGTCAGCCATATCTTATCATCTACCAGGAATACTTTTAAGATTCTCCAAGAGAGCAACAACCAGTATCAAGGAGGGGTGCGACACCTGCAGTGTCCCTTCATGTGTGTCCCTTCTACGTCAGGGTCATGGTGGTACTAAGCTGGTATTCCGTACATATAGACGGACATACATGCAGACAGACAGACAGACAGACATGCAGATATACAGACGTAGTAGGGCATACATACCTTCACGATGCCCTTTTCCCTTTTGTTGCCGTACAGGGGGTCTTCAAAGAACTCCGCCAACGGCACTGACAGCTTCTTGCCAACCAAGGACCGAAGGGAACCCCGGGTACTGCGCCGCCGCCGCCGCCGCCCCCCTTGCCGCTTAATGATGCCGCCCGTACTGCCCGTACTGCGACCTTGACGCCGGCCGCTGCGGCGACTCTGGCTGCCCCGCCGCTTCTTGTCCTCCACCACCGCCGCCGTCGCCGCCGAAGTTCCACCCGCAGTTGCACCGCCCGCCACATCCTTCTCCTCCTCCTCCTCCTGCTCCTGCTGCTGCTCCTCCTCCTGCGGCTGCGGCTGCTGCTGCTGCTCCTTCTCTTCCCCGTCCCGTTCTTCTTCCGACAGCCAGCGCCTGACGACCTCCACCGGCTGGCGGACCTGGTCCAGACTGATCAGCAGAGACCCGGGGTGGTCCGGGTCCACCGACTGCGCCAGGCAGGACAGCAACAGCAACAGCAGGCGAACAGCAGCAACAGCAGCAGGCGAACAGCAACAGAAGCAACATAAAAACAGCGCCAGTAACAGTTTGTGCGCAAGCAAGCGAACAAGCGACGGAGTTGGGCGCAGCGTGAGGAGATAAGGACAGGATGAGGACACTTCACATGCTGGGGCCCGTCAGGCGCTTCTTCCCAGGGGAGACGTTAGCGAGACCTATACGAATGCAGGTCCTAGGCCAGCAGGATAGGAAACACGGGAAGACGCTACACAGGCGGCAGGGCAGCGAATCCTTCCAGGGGCCTGGGGCAACAGACCAACGTCACCACAGGGGGGAAGGGGGCCAAAGAGGTTACAGCATGGGCAAACATACATGGGTGGCTGGGCATCTGAAATACTGTCATATATTCCTAGTCTGACGGGCACAGGACGTACCTCAACGGTCCCGTTCGCCCTGCCGTACAAAGGATCTCCGAAGATCTCCGCCAGAGGTACCAACAGCTTCCTGCCAACAAGCATCTCAAGCGTCGCCGCCGCCGCCGCTGCAGCAGCAGCAGCAGCCGCATCAGCAGCGGCGCCGCGGCGCTGTCGCTTGCCAACGGCAGCCCGGCGGCGGCCACGGCCTTGGCTGTAGCGCCGCTTGATGCCAGCTGCCGTCGCCGCCGCTGCAGCACCTTCCATGCTGCCTTTCTCCTCTACCTCCTTCTCCCTCTCTTCCTTCTCCGCGACTTCAACCTTCATTTCCTCGTCGATTGAAACCGACAGCCTCTTAACCGCTTGAGGTGGCAGTGGCGGCGGCAGCACCGCCGCCGCCGCCGCCGCCGCACTGCCGCCAGCACCGGAGCCACCGGCGCCGCCACCGCGGCTGCTGCGAGTGCGTCTCGCTATTCCCCCCTCCTCCATCGGCGCACTCGCACCGCCGCCACCGCCGCCGCCGCTTCCGCCAGCACCGTCTAAAGCGGCTGGCTTGGTAGGAGTGATTTCCCCCGTGCCATCTGCGCAGGAGCCCTGCGCCATCTGCCACCCGTTCTCGCTCGCAACACGTCTTCGCCTCGTGATGTGCACGTGAGGCTGGGGCGGCAGCTGGGGCATCAGTGGCTGCGGCTGTGCCTGCTGCTGCTGCTGGTTATGAACATGTTGATGATTTTCAACTTGTTGATGATGCTGTTGATGCGATTGGTCGTGTTCTTGTGTAGGAAGTCGTCCTGCACCAATCGTCCGCGCCTTTATCGCTTCTGGATCTGGCTCCGGATTCATACTGTTCATGCAAGCTTTAGCAACTTTTGCGGCATTGCGGCCGCGGCGAGAAAGGTGAGGATCAGGAAGAGGAAGAGAAGAGCTTTTGTGGCTGCGAGTGCGTCGAGCAACGCCGCCCTCGCAAGAATCCGAGTCTTTCATGTCTCGCAACAGTATTACACAGCTTTAAAAGCTAACATAAAGAGACGATCGGCTTATCGCCTAGATGTCAAACCTGGAAGCGTCGGTACTCACAACTATGGTGACCAAATCGTCTTCCTCGAGTCTCCAGCTAGATGCACCCTAAAATTTAACCTGTTATTCTCTTGTAGCAATAAATAGTATGTTATTAAGCTTACTTCAGCTATACGTGAAAGATCGGCCCGTCCCAAACATTGCAGGTCCCCCACGTGCTGCCGAGAAAGACGCGCAAATGCTGCAGGTTTGCACCGAAGTGCAAGGCAAATTAGCCAGATCTCAATTTTTAATGAATATTATATGGCTGGAGATTCGGCTAGAACGAGGTGGCGGCGGGACGAGACTTTGCCTTATTTTGAGCAGGCTGCCCCATGGGTCATTAGGGCAAACCCGAATTTCTTGAAAAGAACATGCCAGGTATTTATCCTGAAAGGAGATGGACAGCATTGTACGAGTGCTTCAAACAAGGACGACTGCGTCCGCTCTTCCCAAGGAACCTTGCTTGCGTAGGGCTTCCCATATCAGTGTGGAATAAAAAAATCATGAATATTGCATGAAATAAACGAACATAAAATGGCAATTAAAGTACAACCCTAAAGCCACGACCCATCGAATCGCGCGTCAGGCGAATTCACATGAAAACGGCGTTTCCCTGTATTCATGAACGGGAAGACGGAAAAACGGAGTTTTCGTATCATCATGACATTCCCCAAAGTCCTACAGCCGGCTCGCTGTCGGCTTCGACATGCGCACCCAAAACACCAGAAAGACTTAACAACCTTTTTTGGCACCCAAGCCACCCTCATGTAGCTGTGTGTGTAGGACTTTGTGTGGCTGTCGCAGGCATCCCGGCCCATCGCGCTAAGCAGAAACCCTAAGCTTTGATAAAAAGCAGCACCTGCAGCGTTCGGCAGGTGCTCAAAGTTGTCATCTCAGCCTATCGGCAGGGTCACCCACCGGTCGGGTAAAGGTAGGTAACCCCTCAATAACCCTGCCGAGGCCCCACCCTACCGACCGGTTGGACCCGGTCGAATATATGCCATAGGGGACAGGATATATATACTGTTCGCGGGTTATGGGGGGTTTTACGTACATACACTCAGGTTAGGCACACTACTAGTAAGGCACGGACCATTGCCCCCGGGAGATCTCGGGATCAAGACCTGATAATGTCGAAAATCCTTCCGATGGGGAAAGGTATAGGAGCCCCGAGTCGATGGACAGAGATTGAAGTGGGTTGAAGTTGACTCGCGAGCCGACCTGTGGCCACGGCCCTGGGTATCCGCTTCAGCAACTCACGGGCCCTGCTCCCGCCAAGCCACTGGCAGCAGGCGGCTCGCTCTTAAGGCCGCACTGCAGTGCGGATGCACCGCGTGACAGTCATCCCTCTCTCTGCCTTCGGCCAGTGCACGGCTGTATCAGCGTACGCGCTGCAGCTAAACACGTACCACTGGGAGCACGGTGGCCTCTGCCCCCTCGGCGGTGTTGTGGCAAAGCTGGAAGCGTCGGTGGCAGCAGCCGGAGACCGCCCAGTGCCGCCCGATGCAGCCCTACCAACGCGTGACTGGCATCCCACGGCCACACTGATGTGCGGCCGACCAAGCGCCGGTGGATTTGGCCTACTCCCTCTCACCCTGCATATCCGCGATCACGGGAAGCAGTATGGGCGGCCCACCTGGCCTTACCTGCGGACTGGCTGGACGGCAGGAACCGACGGGAACCACCATCCGTGGGCTCTCGCCTTACGGAACTTTTCCTGCGCACCACCCTCTGCTCAGCATCAGCTCCGTGCTAATGGCAGAGGCAACCTGCGACAACGGACGCTATCCGGGCGCTGGACACCTGCCGGACAACATCCACGGAGTACTGCACGCCCTCAGCTATCTCGCGCCAGCATAAGGCATGGAAACGGCCGCATTACCGGCGGCTGATGACTGGTGCTTCAACATCCCCCACTGCGCCAACCCGACCCTGCCCAACAGCGAAACAGGGCCTGTGTGGGTGGACGCACATCCGGAGCAGGGGCAGCAGCAAACTCCGCAGCAGCCAGCTACAGCAGCCGCAGCCACAACCGCAGCAGCGGCAGCAGCAGCCCCCACGCAGCAGGATTGCTGCATGCCGGAAACACTGCGACGGCTGTGGGCGGTCAAGTGGGCGCGGGAGCACAAGAGGAAACTCTCTGGCGCCTCCCGGCTGTCGACGCCGTTCCCCTGCCCCCCCGGCAACACGCGGGGCATCTACGCGGCACCATCTACGTGGAGCCATGCGGCTGTGGATGGGGATTCGAAGGAGCGACAGGGCAACAGCAAGCGTGCCGCAGTGCCCTCCGCGTGTGCACCACTTCTGGGAGTGGCCAGTGGTCCAGGCGGTGATGCAGCAGAGCGCGGCCTACGTGCCCGGACCCATATCCCCCCGGGCGAACGCGCGGCTTTTGGAAGCACCGCCAGAGCTGCAGCAGTTCGTGTGGGACGTGGTCAGCCTCGCGGCGCTGTCCACCCTGGGACGTGCACGGGCGGGACTGCGGGCGGCAACCCCCGCAATCTCCCCCCCCCCCGCGCCCGAGGCCCCAGCAACCTCCCCGGGGGGCTGGAGGTCGCGAGAGCCGTCGTGCGGTGCCGTCGACTTCTAGCAGCGGGTTCAGGGCTTTGCAGAGCTCGGCGTGCCCCGGCGCGGCTGGGACAGCGTGGGCCCCGACCATCCCATTCTATCGGTGGTGGGCGGGCGGGCGCCTGTTTTGTGCACAGCCAGTAGGGCTGGGAGAGGAAGGGGAGGGGGAATAGAAGGGGGTGCTAGGAGGACCCCGGTAGATGGGCTATCCCGCTGGGGGGGAAGGGGATAGGCCTGAGAGTTTTTCTTCGTTGGGTCTGGGTGGAGGCCTCGTGTCGCCACAGTTGCGCCAAGGCAGGGGCAGTGGGAGGGCTTTTGAGAGGTCGCTGATGTGGGGGGCTTGGGAGGAGCCGCAGGCGAAGGGAGTGCTGTAGAGCAGACTGGTTGACGCTGTGTGAGTTGTGCTCGGCGTCTGCTGCCTCGAGGCATCCCTAGCCCCCTCGGTGAGCTGATGGCTGATAGCCTAGTCCGTCCTAGCATAGTCCCCGCCACGTGCGCTCACGACGTGGTTAGCACGAGTTTCTTGAACCCTGCCGCCCCGCCCCCCATCGAACGGAGGATCGGGTGAGAGACCGAGCTTTCTAGTAGGGCCTCGTGCCGTAGTAGGGATGGGTCGGGTCTGTACAGGGTTTCCGGGTTTCCTCTGTCTTTGTGAACCCTCACCCCAAGAGCCGGATCAGGCCGGGGATGGAGAGGAGTCTTGTTGCGTGTTTCAGGCTCAGTACGCAAACGCGGCTTGACTGGTGAGAGCGTGTGCGCCTGCAACGCCTCCCCCCTTCCCTTTTACCAGCAGCAGGTGCTCGCCTAGCACCGCACATAATCCCATTCCAGCAGAATAGATCTTCCAAACCTCGTCACCGCCACCCACAAGCGAATCCCTCGCCCCCTACCTCCCTCCTGTCCATGAGCCCCATTCCAACCCACACACCTACTGCCCTGCCACAGCTCACGACCCCCTACCAACAAGCCCGTACTCGTATGAGCGTACAGCAGTTGTATCTGGCATATACCGTATTGCCTGCCAATTTGCGAAGAAAACGAGGAAACGGCGGACTCAGGGGCATGCGCGGTACACATGCCCACATGCACACTCGCCCTCGCAAGCACTAACACTCACATATTAGCCAGTTAAATCTGGCTACAGCCAGCACACGGCCAAGACGCACATCTTCCCTCCTCCTCTTTCTCCTCCTCCTCCCCTTCCTCCTTCTCCTCCTCCTCTTTCTCCTCCTCCTCCCCTTCCTCTTTCTCCTCCTCTTTCTCCCCCTTCCTCTTTCTCCTCCTTCCCATGGCGTTTCGTAGTTGCGAAATGTTAAAGGATCATCACTCGCCCAGTCCATCTGACCACAATGTACCGCGTATAGAAATGGCCCAAACAAGCTGTTTTTGTCTGCTTTACCTGCACCTCCACTTCGCACCTACAACCCCCACCTCACACACAACCTCTCTCCCCATGGCATATCATTTCTTGCCATACTGGGGGCCCTGCATCGCACCCCTTATCATGCTTCGAAATCCCCCCACGTCGAAATCCCAATCACGGCTGCACCTCAAGCCGGGCCGCGTCCATGTATTGCTGTTGACGGTGCCGCAGCGCCGCTATACTGCTATGAAGCGCCGCATCCACAGCCGCGCCGCCGCTGGGCGCCATAAAGCCGCTGGTGCCACCGCCAGCACGCTGAACCTCGTCACCGCCTTCCTCCACCATCTGCGAACCCGACCGACGCTCCAGCGGCGACGGCTGCTGCTGTTGTTGCCCCTGGGACGCTGCCGCCGCCGCCGCCGCTGCCATACCACCGGCGCTGCCGCCGGTGCCCGTCAGAATGACAACTTGTGGCGTCGGCGACTGCATGTACGACGGCGCTGTGATGGGCCTTGTGCCCGGCGAGAAGCCGGCGCCGGCGCCGGTGCCCCCACCGGAAGATCCGGGGATGGCGAAGGGTCTGAGCAGTTGCCTGTGGTCTCGGAACGGGCTGCTGGAGCGGCCGCCGCCACCGCCGCCGCCGCCGCTGCCGCCGCCCTGACTGAGGTACAGCACCTCCGACATGCGACTCGCGTGCTGAGCCTCCGCTGCCTTGAACTGTACGACGAGGCGACGAGAACAGACACGACAAGCACAAGGGCATGACGAGGGGCCGGCTTAGCAGGCAGTGCTTGCCGATGCCTCCAAAACCGCCCTGGCCTAACTCCCCACACCCTTCTTCCTCCTCTTTTTCCTCGTTCCGGTCCCCAGATACAGGCGGCCTGCACCACACCAGTACCACCGCTGACAGCCTTCCTTCATCCCAACACATCGTCTACGTCGTAAAATTCCATTTGCTCCGTACACCGTACCTTGAGTTCCGCCACCTCGTCTGTGAGCTGCGCCACCGCCGCCTGCGCCCCGCGGGCCTTACGTTTCATCTTTCGCAGCTCAGCCTCGTGTCGCACAGTCAGCTCCTTGACAGCCGCCTGGTGGCGGTGGCGGTGGAGGAGGAGGAGGAGGAGGAGGAGGAGGAAGAGGAGGAGGAGGAAGAGGAGGAAGAGGAGGAGGAAGAGGAGGAGGAAGAGGAGGAGGTGACGCGCGGATAACAAACAATAATCCCAAGTCCAGAGGGCAGATCAACAACGGCAGTCGTAGATTATACATCCCCCCCCAATGCACACGATGATAGGTAGGGTACCCGCGGGACAGGTGTAAATGGTATAAACGCTGTAAATGGTGGTTTCGGAGCAGGTCTGTCTTGACTGGATGGCGGAAAATAGTTACCACAGGAGAAGGGACACCCCCGGGGGGGGAGCAACTGGAGGTCAGGGGGAAACGAACGAGGGGTGGCTGCCACATACATACACACACACGCACACACAAGCACGCGCACACGCACACACACACACACACACACGCACACTGCCTGAGCTCTTATTACCTCAAATGTCCTCACCTCTGCAACCGCTTCCACACGGACTAACTGCACTCTGATTACTCCTAGGCTCCGAAACCCGGCCACCTATCCAACCGCCTAACCGCCTACCTGGTAGCGCTTGGCGAGTGCCGCCTTCTCCAACGCCCAAGCTGACCTGTCCACGACGGTACGGGTGGTTCTGGAGGAACTTAGAAAACGCCAACAAGATTATCTGGCGTTGTTATGTATTTGGTCTGATGATGGCGTAGACGGTAGGGAGGCAATAGATAGGTCAAGATAGCTGGAAAGCTGGCACAAAACACACACACGCAAGCACTCTCTCACACACACACACACACGCAAGCACTCTCTCACACACACACACACACACACACACAAGCACGCGCACACACACAAGCACGCACACACGTGCGTGTGATTGGACAAAGCACACAGGGGCTACACAGAACGCAGGGCGACGCGCACATGCTAAGGATCAGCTTTATCGGACGACCCATGGGTCATACATACGAGACCTGTGATGACTCGGGGACGATCCCCCTTTCCACTCCAAACGTCCTGTACCCCCCACCCCGTTTCCCCTCTCTCCCCCTCCCCCCCGCGACCCCCTTGACAGCGTAATTCGAGCCTGCCGTACCGCGCCGCGTCCGCCGCTCGTGCCGCTGCCGCCCTCTCCTCATCCGCTTCCCGCCGTACAGACTCTACCTCAGCAGCCAGGGCATCCCGACCGGCTCGCACCTGTAGGGATTGGTGGTTGGGATGGCAACAAGGAAAACAAACGGAAGTTTGGGAGGATCAAAAAAGGAAAGAGCGACAATGACCCTGATAGGATTCAGTTTTTTTTAGCGTTGATCAGTCATCAATGTTTTGAGATCGCGAAACCAGTGTTGCGACTTCCGAGGCGGCATGGGCGGGCAGGTGTGGGAGAGAGGATAAGCAGCATTACGATGGACATCCCTGTGCTTAACTTTGGTTACCCTAACTTCGGCATCGTTACACCCAACTAGTGTCCCGTGGTCTCACCGCACTCCTAGGTCTGGCCAACACATATAAGCACACGCACACATACAGACAGACGCACACACGCACACATACAGACAGACGCACACACGCACACATACAGACACACGCACCTGCACTGTGCTTTCCTCCGCTACTCTGATTCGCTGCTCCAGCTCCGCTCGGCGCTCTGAGAGCTGCTGGACCACCATTTGGGAGCGAACCAGCTCCGCCTGGGAGGGGAGGGGACGGGAGGGGAGCATCACATGATTAAGATGGTGATGATAAAGATGGTGATGATGATGATGATGATGATGATGATAAAGATGGTGATGATAAAGATGGTGATGATGATGGTGATGATGATGATGATGATGATGATGATGATGATGATGATGATGGTGATGGTGATGATGATGATGATGATGGAGATGCAAGAAATTGCCAACACGTCCAGAGCCGCGAGCTGGACTCTAAAGCGTATGGGGGGGGTAGGACCGGTGCAGTCGTGGCGGGGTGCTGAGCTAGGGTGGCCGGGGGTGAGGTGGTGCGGGGAAATCACGTGCAAGGAAACCATGGGATGGGGGTTGTGGTCGAGAAGGTGTAAGGGTTGTGTAAGGCGAGGGGAAGTCATGTACAGGAAGAAAAGGGTGGTTGACTGCACAGGTGCAAAGCATACCAGTACTGCCAGGTTGCTACAAGGGGGAGAGACGCATTCTGTTAAGGGAGGGGGGGAAGGAGGAGGGGAAGGAGGAGGGGAAGGAGGAGGGGAAGGAGGAGGGGAAGGAGGAGGGGAAGGAGGAGGGGAAGGAGGAGGGGAAGGAGGAGGGGAAGGAGGAGGGGAAGGAGGAGGGGAAGGAGGAGGTGATCACCATCCAACCCCGCGAAACCAGACCCAACCCCGACGCCAGCGAATGGGGGGGGCAGAGCACGTGCGGGGCCTTACGCGTGCTCTCATGACGCCCTGAAACACACGCACACACGCGCTCCCGCAGGTCCGTTCTCCCCCCAACCCGCCATCCCCGGCGGGATGCTCCTCCTCCGCTCGTATACCTTGGTCTCCGCATGCTCGCTCCGCAGCGCCTCCGCCGCGGCCCCCCCCTCCGCCAGCTGCTTGCCCAGCCCCTCCGCCCTCAGCGCTTCCGCCGCCGCCTCCCTGGCCGCCGTGTCCGCCTGGGCCTGGGCCTGGCGCATGGCGGTCTCGGCCTCACGGAGCCGCTCTGAGGGGGAGGGCGAGGGGGTGAGGGAAGCGAGGGGGTGAGGGAAGCGGGGGGGTGAGGGAAAGGGTTGGGGAAATCATACGTAGCGAAACAAATGCCGACGTCGTCCAAAGTAAAGGGAGGGTGGGCAGTGTTTTGGCCGGGTGTGTCAGGCGGGATATAATGGGTTTCGGAGGCGGACTGCATGGTGCCGTGCTGCCTGGTACGGAAGTCCAGTCCAGGTCAGCAAGGATGGCTTTTTTACGAGGGAGTTGGGGGTTGGGCCTGACATGGAAAAGGTGGAAAGTGATTTTTCGAGTGGTGAAATGTACACGACTCTGACATGTCACAGGCGGGGGAGGAAAACACGGGAGCGGGCCCCCCATCTCACCCCCTCACCCCCATCCCAATCCAACTCACCCTCCAGCATCCGCTGCTGCGCCGCGGCCCTCTCCGCGACATCCGCCTTCTGGTCCAGCAGCTCCCTGGCCCGCTCCGCACCCGCCCGCTTCTCCTCCGCCACACGCGACTCCCACGTCACCAACATCTTGGTGAGCTCGTCCTGCGAACGGAAATCGGGTTGGAAGTGGCGTAGGGTGGGATAGGGTAGGGTAGGGTAGGCGCGTAGGTAGGGGCTTGGGGGCAGGTATTGATATCTTGATGTGCCTGGGAAGGAAAGGTGTACAGATTCGAAACAATTGCACAGCTTGTCGGGGGGCCGGGGGGAAATGACGTGTCAAGCCACGGAAAACACATGTCAACTTGTTGAGGAGCGGGGGGAGGACGAGGGGGCGAGGGAAAAGGGAAGGTCCAGGGACGGAGGGACCAAGGGTTGGGACCCAGCCACCACCATTACCAATCGCCGTTTCGTACAAAGGGATGACTCATGAGCTTTGGTGCATGTTTCCCTGTTTCCTGTCTCCCCCACCCTCCATCCCCGACCCCTACGAGAGGTTGATTCCCCCCGCCGCGTGTATCTTATGATGTAACACCCGCCCGCCCTCCACACTCTCCCTCCCCGTCCTCCTCCTCCTCCCCTGCCTGATGTGTCAGCTTCATTTCCGCCAACAGCCCCTCCTTGCGGGTGACCTCCCCCGCCATAACCGTCAACCGCTCCTCCAGCTTCCGTACGACTTCCTCGTGGTCCGCCATCAACGCCGCCTTCTCCCCCGCCGCCAGTCGTACACTACTGTCCAGCTGGGATTGAAGCTGAGTTTGGGCGCTCTGGGGGTTGTTGTGCCGTACAGTACGCAGGATGAGGACAGGACAGGAGTCGGGAAGAAAGACGGTGAAAACACAAACGACGTTTTCTTTGGGGGGTTTTCGCTGGATCAGCAGCCCTGGGAAAAATGATGGAAAGGAGGCAGGAAAGTGGGCGTATAAGAGGGATCAGCTCCCCTGGCATCTCCCAACTGAGTACTCTTTGCCTGGTGTTACAGGGCGGGTAAGCAAAGCGGTGGAAAAACAAGATCTGCGGAAACATGTACGCGGGAAACCCCCAAGGTGACCTCGGTGCGTTGAATACCCGTACATTCGTACATCACCTCGTGGACACCAACGAACAGGACATCCGCAACGGACGGCGCATGGTCCGGGAAGTGATGGAGATGGAGAGGAGGGCCGTAGGGTCACCGGAAAAACGGCACGCAGACTTCCGCATCAAACATACAGACGTACACACAGATAGACGAACATACAGACAGACGTACAGAGAGAATAGAACGGTTCTAGATAAACTCCGTGTTCTTCACCTGCAAACGCATGTTTGTTGCGAACAGGTCCTCCGCCGCCCTCTGGCTGTCCGCTAGCTCCTGAACCAGGTGCCGGTTCTTGCGGTTGACACTCTCCACGAACGACATCAGCTGGGCGGTCTCCTCCTGCAAACCGGGACGGGGCGGGGTAAGGAGGGGAAGTAGGGAGGCGGGGTAAGGAGGGGAAGTAGGGAGGCGGGGTAAGGAGGGGAAGTAGGGAGGCGGGGTAAGGAGGGGAAGTAGGCGGGGAAGTAGGGAGGCGGGGTAAGGAGGGGGAGTAGGGAGGCGGGGTAAGGAGGGGAAGTAGGAGGGGAAGTAGGGAGGCGGGGTAAGGAGGGGGCAATAGATGCAATATAAGGGAGGAGGGAGGAAGGGGAGGTAAGGGGAGGACGAGGGGGAGGAAATCTCTGCAAAGCCAGGAAAGCCACTGCGGGCGGGAAATCGCCACATGCGGAGGTAAGGAGCGGATAGGGATAGGATCGGGGCTGCTGATGTCCCAAGCCAACATTAATCAAGGTTCATTTTCACTGGAGATGGGAAACCAGAAGTAAAGCCCGGGGGTGGGAGGGGGAAGGACGAACCACGAACGAAGTGGGAGGGGGGAAGAGCGAGTGGAAGGCGGGGCAAGGGAAATTTATCCTATGGTGCAGAAGCCAAAGAGACAACTGCTGCGCGCCACACGCCTTCCCCCTTACCCAACCCGACCCACACGTCTCTCTCTCTTTTCCCCCACCCCAGGGCCTTCACAACCCTATGCACACACATCTCCACACACATTACATACATACATACATACATACATACATACATACATACATACACACACCTCCGCGGCCTTGACCTTCTTCTCCGCCTGCACCGCCGCCGCCTCGCGCTCCACCACCGCCCGCTCCTTGGCACGACGAATCTGGGGGCCCGGTGGTGTAATGGCGGTGATGATGGTTATGAGTATGGTAATGATAGTCCTAGCCATTGTTGTCAGTGGGATGTCGATATTGGCGAATGTGAATTGGTAATGGCGGCGGCGACGGTGGTGTAATGGTGGCGTTGCTGGTGCCGATGTGGGTTGTGTGGAGCGATGATGTGTGGCGGAATCTAAGACGGCCACTCTGCACCCCTCTCCCACCTCCCCCCCCTCCCCCCCCCCCTCACCTCACCTCTCCCACCTCCTCCCACCTCCCCCCACGACCCCCCACCTCCCCACCTCCCCCCACCACCCCCCACCTCCCCACCACCCCCCACCTCCCACCCACCTCCCCCACCTCTCCCACCTCCCCCCACCTCCCCCCACCTCCTCCAGCTCCTGCTTCATCTGGCTAGCCGAGTACTTGGCCGCCTCCAGGTCTCGATGAAGGGAGCGAACTGAGCCTTCCGTAGAAGCCAGCTTGGCTGCAGGTAGTCACGTACATACATACATACATACACGCAAGGAAGGAGGGAAAAGATGGCGTGCGGGAAGATTTGGGAGGGTTACGTGTGAGGTGTGGGGGTTGGGGGGGAACTTGTGGAACTACTAGACACCTGCAGAGGGGGGTTTACTTAGCAGTTGTACGACATCAACCGACACCGAACCCCCTTACCCGCCCTTCCCCTTCCTCCCGCACGGCATGCCGCTTTATGTCGTACATGTTTTGCGCCAGTGTCGTTCCTTCTCATTCCGCTCCTCACCTCCTCGCCTACCCACCTCCCTCCCTGCCTCCTTTCCTCGCTTCCCTCCCCGTTCTCCCGACCTCCGGCAGCTCTTGCAGAGGACTGCGATCCTTTCCTCCCCGAGTCCCTGCACCCTTCCGTGCACCTCGCCCTGCCCCGCCCTACCAAGAAGAAGAAGAACAAGAAGGGGAAGCACCTGCACTGTCTTCCCCCCTCTCTCTCTCCCTCCTCTCTCCCTCCATCACAGTCGTAATCCTTTTCCCCACATGCCCCTCCCCTTCGCTACTCCTAGAGGCATGAGGGGGGCTTTCGCGTCCTAGTGGAGGTGTTCCGGACTTCTTTGTGTTCGCTGGGGGCCTTCCATGATCCCCCTTCCCTTTGTCCATCCCGCATCCATTCCGTCCTTTATGCCCCCACCCTCCATCCGCTGGCCGCATGTCCCCTCGCCCTCGCCCTCCTTTCCTATGCCTCCCTGCATTCACCCCCTCACCCTCCATCCCACTGCCCCCTCACCCCGCCCCCTACCCCTGCCCCCTCACCCTGCAGCGCCATCAGCTGCGCCGTCTTGTCTCTGATCTCCCGGGCAAGCGCGCTGTGCTCCAGCCTGGTGGCTTCCTGGTCCCCAACCGTACGGACCTCCAAACTGCGGTACGAGTTCTGGAGCTCCTCGTAGTCACGACGGGCCTTGAGGTAGGCCGCGTGGGAGGATTCGGCTTCCTACGGGGTTTAAGAAGGTGTGAGGGTGTGAGTGTGTTTAAGAAGGTGTGAGGGTGTGAGGGTGTTTAAGAAGGTGTGAGGGTGTGAGGGTGTTTAAGAAGGTGTGAGGGATGGCAGGATGAGGGTGATGCGTGTGTGTGAGGTTTTGTAAGGGTTTGTAATCATATAGTGCTGTATTGTGGTGTGGTGACTGGTGCGGTGCAGCGCTTCAACTCTGCCTGCCGCCGCAAGTGGGCCCCGCCTCCTCCCCCCCTTTTCCCCCCTCCCTCCCTTCTCACTCCTCACTCCCGCGTTTCCACGATAGCTACAGCCACCGCCACCACCCGGCAGATAGGAGGTTTCCGCCCACCCACCCACCCACCCGGCTCAAGTTCTCGCATTTTGTGCGGTAGGAGGCCTCCAGCTCCTCCAGAAGCTTGGCCTTCAGCACGTCCAGATCCCTGCGAGGGGAGGGGGGGCCCGAAGGGCCGGAGGGGGGAGATCCACGAGAAAGCGGGAAAACTAACTAAGTACTGAGGTCGCCCTTGGTTGGGGAGCAGAGGGAAGGGCGGCTCCCTCAGGAGTAGGTAGGGTGGGAAGTGACCCAGATGGGGGAAGGGCGGAACAAGGCAGTCCAGATACGCGTGACCCAGATCGGAAAATGTGGGGAAAGAAGGGGTTGAGGGTAATTATTGGTATTGCTGGGCGAGAAGCATAGGCTTGCTGGGTGAAGAGAACTGCCGGCGGCCAACGTCAGGACCGGGGACATAAAACTATAACTATAACTCCATGGCCCCCCCCCGGCTTTTACGGACACACCCGCACTTGTGTGCGGAACTTGTAAGTTGTAACTTGTATAACTATAACTATACGATGTCACATAGGGTGCATTGGAGAAGAGACAGGAAAAAAGTTAGGGATTAGGGATTAGGGGCACTATGGCCGACACGGTGTGCTGAGGTGCGGCACGAACGGCGGCCGCAACTCTTCCCTGGTTCAACCAAGCGGTATTTGGGTAGCGCCTGGAACGCAGAAGGACGGCAGAAGCCGATGTTGCTTGTAATTTATAAATTGTCGTGGTTGCGCTGGTGCAAGCGTAAGGTGAGGGAGGCCATGGAAAAGCGCAGTTTGCGAGGGGAAGGGTTTGTTCCCGCCGCCACCTGACCGGCCCGCAACAGCAGCAACCGAGCCCTTGGGGTTGCGGTACAAGGCTCGGCTGCTGTGTGAAGCCTGTGACAGCAATAATGGGGCCGTGGGCCCTTATGTAACTAGTAGCCGCACCTGGGTCCGAGAATTTGCGCCTTCGCAGCTTCCAAATGCCGCTGCTTCTCCTCGAGCTCCACCCGCCATGATTCACAGAGCGACTGGTATTGTTTCTCCACATTATTCTGTAACACACATCAGGCTCGGAGCCGCATGTTACCGAAATAGAAGCTTGCTCGTCAACTTGCTCGGTTGCAATGTCTTACCCGCTCCTCGTACAAAGCAGCATAACGCCCCTGTAGGTTCTTGTATGATTCGCTAAGCTGTAGATGCAATAATTTTAGCTGCGATATGAACGAAACACAGCGGTCAGGAGAGTCCTTAATGCCATGTCCCAAAGTGCTCCTTACGTTCTCAAAATTCCGCTTGAGGTCTACATTTTCGGCTTTGAGCTGTGTAAGGATAGCCACAGTCTGAGCAGCTGCATCCTGTGACAGATAGGACGTCGTCATCAGCCATTTGACCAGCGTTCCACTGCGCAACTCCTTCGCACCTCAGAGCCGTAGTCACTAAGAACGCTTTCACTCATATCATTATAGCGTATGAGAAGTTGCAATCACGTATGATCAGCTAAGCAAGCGGCAGTAGCTGCTATTGCCTGTACACAAAAGCCAGGGACCGAAACAGCGAAGTAATGGATGCCTTTGTTCACAGGCGTTACCAGCTGCGCCTGCCAGGGGATTCCGTTGTGTACCGCTCTTGGGTACTCGTCCACTCTGTGTACGGGAGCTTGTCATTTTGCGCTAGCTGTTCCATGCTACCTGGAAGGGAATGACAAGCTTAGCTCTGTGTAACCTTGTTGGAAGGAGATGCTGGAGTCATAGGATTGTCGATAACCGCAGGTTGTGTGTGGTGTCGGGCCTCGGCAACCGCGGCAAGAGCTGTTGCTGCAGCTTGCACGAATAGCAGCAACTAACAGTGAACAACCTTCCGTACTCATCAAACGCTAGATCATCATGAGCACCTCCAGTAATCCTATCGGGACGCTCGGCGCCAGCGGCATCTCGACTGCGCGCTTGGGTTACGGATGTATGAGCCTCAGCGGAAATCTGTATGCTGGAGCCCCTCCAGAAGAAGACGCCATTGCCCTGCTGCGCCGGGCGTACGACCTGGGCGTGCGTTTGTTTAATACGTCCGGTGCGTCCTCCCGCTCCCCGGCGACCTGGGTCTTCTTTTCATCGCCCCATAGTATCACACCGCATAGTGCAGACTTTCCATATTGAAGACGCATCGGAAGGTTTTCATGGGCATATTAAGTATCCAGACCTCACACCCCGCCGTACTCGTCTTAAGCGCGCCCACCTTCTCATGCGCTCAGGGCATGGTAAAAGGTGCACACAAACACCCCCATGACAGCAACGCCTATTCCGGGCCGCACTGCCGAACATGGATGGAAAGTGTGTCATTTGGGTGCACAACACTCATGCACCGATACCAAAATCTTGTTCAGCGCGTCTGCCCTTCATCCACACCTCTCCCATTTACTCCTCCTGTACAACTGCCCTACCTCCCAACACAGATCTGTACGGTCCGTACACGAACGAGGAGCTGCTTGCCAAGGCACTGCCCCTGGACCTCTACCCGGACGCCATCATCGCCACCAAGTGGGGCGCCATGTTCGTCCCAGGCCGCGGGATCACGCAGGACAACAGCCGTGGTAACTGCCGCAGGCAAGATCTCTCCCTGGATCCATGGATCAGCAGTCGGGCCTTATGGCTGTCATGACCTCCCGTGACAGGGGGATTGGTCAGGGGCAAGGCCGTTTGCCCTCTTAAGCTCAGCGCAGCTCAGCTAAGAGTCAGCGCGGCGCAGCGCAGTGTGCATTTAGCTCAGTACGCTTCTCAACACTTTGTTCTGAGTACCTATTGCGGTTTCTTCAGCTTGGCCCATCCACCTGAACGCTGAAGATGGCACCGCTCGGCGCTTCCCCCATCCACCCGGTCAACCGCCCATCTGCACGCCCCCAAGGACTCACCTCTGGACCTACCGCTGGTCTAAACTGGTTGTTGTTGCCTGCTTCATACCCCGCTACACCCACCATCCATTCGCATCCGCGCCACTCGTGCCTACCCTACCCTACCTGAAACCCATCTGCATGCCCTCGGACTAAATTGCACAAGCATGTTATAGGTGTTGCGAGGGCGCCCTGAAGCGGCTGCAGCGGCCCTCCCTGGACATCTTCACCTACCGGGGACCTCCTGACCCCTCCAAGGGGGTGAGCATCGCGGAGACCATGGAGGAGTGCAAGGTATGTAGGTAGGCAGGCAGGGAGAATGCGGGGTGGATGGATGGGTGGATGGATGGGTGATTAGGTGGCCCGTGGTGAGGTGAATGGGCGAAGAAAATTGAATTGGTGGGTAGCTTTCTGGCTGGAAGGCGTGGCATGGGACTGATGGATGGATGGATGGATGGATGGATGGATGACGGAAAGTTTACGGATTATGGTGGACGGTGTTTTTGTGCATTTCCTCCTCCCATCCGCCTCTTAACCCGCCCCACCACACCATGCTCCACTTTGTTGGCCCCTCACCCCCTCCCTTTCTCCCGCTCTCTCTCCCCCCTTCTCTCTCCCTGATCTCCTTCCTCTCCTGCCGTCGGCTGTTGACCCTTTTCTTCTGGGTATGTATGTCATATGCCCCTCCCCCCCCTCCCCCTCTCCCCCCCTGCCTCGCTGCCTGCCACCCCTCAGCTACTCCTAGCGGAGGGCAAGATCCGCGGTGTGGGGCTGTCCGAGGTGTCCGCGGAGCAGATTCGTGAGGCGGCTGCGGTGGTGCCTATCTCGGTGGTGGAGCAGGAGTGGTCGCTGTTCACACGGGATGCCGAGGTGCGGGCTGGGGACAATGCCATACCATGGCTGGGTGCGGAGGGCCGGTCGGGTATTATTCCACGGACAGAGGATGATGCAAGCGGAGGTACAGGCTCTTCATCTGACGTTCCCAAGAAAGGAATAAAGGAGCATAGCATGGGAACGACGGCAGACCGGCGTGTTTCGGAGTCCCTTGGAGCAGATCGAATAGGGTCAATCCGGCTCAGGGGTGACACCCGAACGCTATCAGAGAGCAGGTATGCGGCGAGTGACCCCTGGTACCGGGGGGACAGTCGGTTCCGGGTACAAAGAGGTGCCGTGGCGCGCTCTCGTGCTTCTAAATGCTCGGGCATCAGGACGGAGCTCCGTTTTCACAGCTCCCCCCGCCACCGGCACTTCCCTGGGTTTATAGCATTGGAATTTGGAATCCAGAGGGAGGGACGAGGATCAACCGACCCGTGGGTCATCGACTGGTCGACCGACCGACCTGCCGAGACCAAGTTGTTGTGAGGTCTCGACACAGGCAAGCCATCGACCAACCGACCCGTGGGTCACTGTATCACACACTGCAGGAGGAGATCATCCCCACCTGTCGCGAGCTGGGCATCAGTATTCTGGCTTATAGCCCTCTGGGTGAGCGGGTCGAGCGGGTTTTAGGTGGTGGCGGCGCTGGTATTACCTGTCGTGAACAGTGGTCTTCAGGTACTGTTGTTATTTTATTGACCTGTCGTCACCAATGAAAACATTGTTACAGCATCACCATCGCCATTATCATTCTGGATTCTTCGTGGTGGTTGTGGGGCCCCCCACAGGACGAGGTATCCTGACGGGCGCTCTTCGAAGCGTGGAGCAGTTGCAGGAGTCCGATTTCAGGTGGGTGTGGTAGCGATGCCCTAGGCCCCGCCTGCGCGGCTTTTGCATATTTGCATGTTTGCATATTTGGTGTTAGATCTTAATGTTCATGATGTTGCAGCGGGGGCCCACCTTGGTCTTGGTCTTGGGTCCCACTGCCTTCCGTACAACGTACGTGCAACTGCCACGGTTGTAAAGATCCATCCGGCCCATCTGCCATCCCATACTCCACTTCCAAGTACGCAGTACGGCTTGTCCAGCTTCCGCGTAGAGGCGGACTCGGCCGCAGCTCCGCAAGCTGATCATCTCCCTGTTGCGTCCTACCTATGACCGTAGGCATTACATGTTGTCGTACAGGCCGTACAGGCCAGCAGTGCGCGTGTTCCACAATAGCGGATACTTCCGTCAAGGGGCAGAGACATATGAACTTATGTGTGGCCGCTGTCCTGCGCAGGCGCAAAGCCAACCCGCGGTTCGACAATTTGGACAAGGTGTGTGCGCGCTCGCTCGCTCGTCCTTCGTGCGCGCGATGTCGTGTGTTGGGAGTTGCCGCGAGTAAGGAGAGGAGGCAGTTCGCCATGTTCGCCAGCTTAACAACCTTTCTGTGGTGGTGATGGTGCTGGCGCTGGTGTTCAACCGCCTTGCCTTCCTATAAAACTCCGTACCCCCTGCCGCTGTCCCGGTGCTATGCGGATGTGCTGATGGTTGTGGTTGTTGCTGTTGTTGTTTGCTCCTGCTGTTGCTGTTGCTGGTGTTTCAGAACCTAGTGCTGGTTGACCGGCTATCGGAGCTGGCTCAACGCAAGGGGGGTTGCACTCCGGGACAGTTGGCGCTGGCGTGGGTGCTGGCTCGCGGTCCGGACGTATTTCCCATTCCGGGAACCCGCAGCATTAAGAACCTAGAGGTGAGGCGGGGTGGAGGACGCGGAAGAGGAGGGGGAGGAGGAGGGGTTTGGGAAAAGGCACGATGCAAGGACTGGCTGTAGGGACTTTCGGCGGTGCCGTACCCTGCATGAGATCTATCCTGCGTCACACACAGCTGCTGCTACTGCCGCCTGCCGCCTGCCGCCTGCCTGTCCAGCAAGTATGTCTGTCCGCTCTTTTCCTGGTCTCAGTTACAGTACTCTCCATAGCGCCTCTCCGCCCTTTTCCTGGGGCTTTTTTTCACACACACACCCTGCCACGTGATGGCTCCGATATACTCCGATATACTCTGATATATACTGATATATATACTGATATATATACTGATATATATACTGATATATATACAGGCGGCTGGCAGAGGTTAAGGCCTGACTTCTGCTCCCAGTCGACCCAGTCGACCCGGGTTCAAATCCGCCTGCCGGCTCCTCGGGTGTTTGAGGAGTGATGAAATGGGAGGTGGCCCCCCATCTTATGGACGGTGTAGGACGTGATAATATCAACTTGCGAGCTGACCAGGAACTAAGTTGATGCGCCGTTGATCCGCTAGATTTGGTTGGATGCTGGTGGTGAGTTGCCGAACCCAACGAATACATTCTGAAGTCGGATGGGGTGACGGATTAGGGTGCCCCTCTAGCAGGGGAGAGCAGGGACTGCCCCGGGAAAGGGGGCCGCTGGCGAAGTTAACCACCCTGTAACAACATACATACTGATATATATACTGATATATATCCCTTCAACCCATTTCCGTACTTTCCTTTCAGGAGAACCTGGGTAGCTGCGCCCTGGCAGCTGCCCTCAGCCAGGAGGAGCTCCAGGAACTGGAGATCGCAGTCCCGGCGGAGCAGGTCGTGGGAGACCGGTACCCGCACATGTCCATTACTTTTCACGGAGCAAAGAAGGCGGCGCACTCGGCAACATAACGCTAGGGGTATTGCTTAATATGACAGAAGGGGTGTGAGACGCCGGCAGCTGGCGTTTGCAACCATATGGAGCAATGGTGGGGGGAAATGTGGAAAGGCGAAACGTTAACGTGCCGGGGACTTGGGTCCCGTCAGGTTTGTGCCTTGTAAGACAGCTCCTTCATGATAACATGTTCACTGTTTGAGCTCGCACGGTCCAGTGGTGGGTTGTAGGCTGATGTGGTTTTGTCACCATGTCAGGGGACAAACGGTCGCTCGCTCTGGAAGGTGAGGTTGGGTCAGGTAGTAGAGCTGGCAGAAGGTGGGAAGCGGATGCGGGAAGGAGGGGGACAGCGGATAACATAATGCACCTAGCTGCGCTTTGTGGATTCTCCTCACAGAAGATTTTGCGAATATTCGGTACAAAGCTTGATATGCGTAAGTCCTCCGCTGTGCGCTGTCCGCTGCTCTTCGCCGCGAGAAGAACGACCTCGTGCCCGTTGCAACCACAAACGGAAGTTGGCATGCGGAAGGGGTTGCGTCCCAGCCTTGTAGTCATAGCTTCAAATCTTATGATAAGCCATGATGGCACGTTGTGGTCCAAATAGGACCAATAAAGGCACACTGAATTTCATTAGCTCATGAGATCAACGGATTACCTACAGATTAAAATAAATTGAACCCGAAGTGCATCGGCGTTTTCTCGTTGCTGAGGATGCATGCTAGAAAGCAACAAGGCATCGTATTGATGATGTTTGACTAAGCAGCGTCCGTAAGCAGCTATGAACCCAATCGGCTAGTAGTTGTTCTCATCTACGCGGCTTAATTTAGCAATACAAACTCCTGTTGCATTAAAGCGAATTTCCAGTATCCGAATAATGACCGATGTTGATTTTGGCGGCGTTCATCCGCCTTCGACTACACTTCTCGACGTTACGACCCAAATTTGGCCATATCTGGATACCTACGATAGGCTAACTATTCGCCTGAGCTGTCGGGAGGGCCTTCGTACCCATGATTGCCTCTTGATGACGGTCAGCGTACATGATTTATGGGGCCGGGTGCTGCCAGGCGCGCCCCAGGATATCGCAAAGACGTTACGCAGGGTGATGAAGCGTGGCTGTGCTCCTGGCGAGCTGGTGTTGCGCCTACGTGGTTGCTCTACGACAGCACGCGAAGCTAGAGGGTGAGGACCGTAGGGGAAATACCGGGCTATAGGGTGAGTACCGTATGTTTCAGCCCATGGCCTGTGTAGCCTGATATTATGCACGCATTCGAATTGGTTGCGGGTGCAGGCTTGCTGTGCTTAGCGCCTTTGCGGCTAGAACATGCGCGTCTGTGACGCGGCAGGGCACCCATGGCGTCGGCAACAGCAGCAGCAGCAACGACGCTGGCGTTGGCGGAGTCGGCATCAAAATCAGAACCAGAACTGACAACGACTGCAGGGACTGTAGTAGTGGTGCTTGGGGCAGTTGTAGCAGTGACAGCTGCGGTCGGAACAGCGCTCCAACCAGTCTTGGAACCAGCGCCAACAGTAGCAGTATCAATAGCGATAGCAGCACCAACAGTGATAGTAGTAATATAAGTAACAGGGGTTTAACGTCCCTTCGCCTTGAGGGGTTGCCTCTAATGCCATGGATTCTGCACGCACTAGCGGCAGCCAGCCAGGGCATCGTGCGCCTAAAGCTGTATGGCTACGGCTTAAGCGAGGATGACAGCGGCACCGTGGCCGCCTCTTCCGCCGCCTTCGCCACCAGGGTACGGCGCCCTGAGCATTGCCTGTCGCCGCCACCTCCTGCTACGGCGTCGGCGTTTGGGATCCTAAATGTCGACCATTCTTCCCCTTGTCAGAAAGGTTCTGGATTGTCCTTGCCGGGGACTATGCCAACAGTGGCGGCGGCGCCGTCGCCGCCGCAGCGCTGCACGGCAGCGCGACGGCGTCAGGAGGCTCCGTCAGCCGCAGGGCCATGTAATGCACGGGGCGCGCCGCCGCTGCTCCGGCTCTTGGCACACCAACTGCAGGAGCTAAAGCTGCAGGACTGCAGTATCCTCTCGGGGAACAGCCGCGGCGGTAGCACCGGTCCGGGTCCCTCTGGCCCCGGCAGCGGATCAGGGTTAGTGCCTGCGACAGCCGTGCCGGGACGTGGCGACGGGGGCGGCAACGGTGGATGTTGCACGATCTGCGGTGGCGCGTATGGCATTCCGCCGGCAGCCATGCCACTGTGCACTGCTCTGCGGAGCTGTACGGCGTTGCGGCACTTGGGGCTTCGCCACTCGGCCGCCGACGGTTGCCCCGTGCTACAGCTGCTGTTGCAACCCGGCGTCTGCTACTGCGGCGGCGGCAGTGGTCGAATACTCCCCCGTTGGACCACCTCCCGCATGTCCTCTTGCCTTCCAAGTGGCCCGACTGGATCACGGGCCGTAGGAGAAGACTCAGGCCAGCGCAGCAGGAGTGGCTGCGGCGCTACTGCCCCCGCGCTCGATAGAACGACGGCAACCACAGACCAGAGCCTCTCCGCGCCGCCGCCGCCGCCGCCGCCGGCCATCCTGGGGACCCTGACGCAGCTCCTTTCACTCAAGGTTCAGACCCCGCTGCCCGCGCCTGGCGGCCTGGACGCCCTGGCGGCGGCGCTGCGACAGCTGAGGGGCCTTACGAGGCTGGAGCTGGGCGCGCGGACTGCCGTGCCATCGGTGGCATCGCTGTTGCTGCGTGCGCAGCCACTGCAAGCGACTGGCGCGTCTCTGTCTCCGCAGCAGCCGCTGCTGAGTAATCTCCGTGATCTAAGCCTCGTGAGCGCGCAGGTGACGTCAGCAGTGGAGCTGGCGGCGCTGGCGGAGCTCCGCGAGCTGACGAGGCTGTCGTTGGGTTCGCTCAGCGTGGCGGTCCCGACGATAGCGGCTGCGGCGGCGGGGCCCTGCGAAGCCACCGGCTCAGGGTCAGGCGTGCAGGACTCCCCACGGTGCCGTACGTCACACCAAGGATCAGCCAGGGCCGCGGCGTCAGCCCTGCAGCTGCCGCTGCCTCCACGGCTTGGGGAGCTGAGCATTGCGGCGCCGTTGTCCCCTGCGACGCTGCTGGCGCTGCGTCAGCCGCCGTCGCTACAAACTTTGCGTCTCACAGGCTTTACGCTCGACATGAATGACGTAGAAGATCCTGGAGCTGACGGCGGCGGCGCCGATGATGATGGCAGCGCGCCGCTAGTGATGCGCACCTCCTCAGATCGCCAGTTGTCTGAAGCTCTCGCGGCGCTTCACGGCCGCTTCGCGTACCGCGATCTCGGCATCGAGCTGCACATTGGTTTCCTGGGGCCGGCAGCAGGGCGGCGGCGCTACCTGGCGGCGCCGGACGGCGCCTACCGACCCGTGGGTCATTGGACCTGGGCTTCGCGGCTTGTGCCGTTGGCACTACAGGGCTTAGAGCTGGCGGGGTTGGAGCTATCGGAGGGAGATGTGTCGGCCCTGGCGCGTCATCTGTGTACGCTGGAGGTACGGCAGGTTGGCGTGCTGAGGCAGGAAGGCTGGTTCCGGAGCGCGGCAAGGAAAGAAAAAGCGTCCGCGTTTGTGAGGAACTTTAGTTTAGGCAGCACATGTCACACGTACTTTATTTCGTGCTTTATTCATTCTTCACAATTTCACCCCCCTTTTAACGCATCTATCAATATGTAAAATAAATAATGAATAAAATACATGTATCGCAGTTCGCTGTCTGACGGGAAAGCCCATCAGCTAGCCAGCCAGCCGCGCTCCTCCCTCCCGGCTCCTACGTGTTCCTCCCTGTCTCCTCCCTGCTATAGGACCTCCGACTGGACTGCCGCTATCCGCTATACTCAGTCCGGCACCTGGCGGCCCTCAGACGGCTAAGAAGACTGATGCTCAACGCGTCATTTTGGCGGTCCCGGTCACAAGCCCAGGACAGGGATCGGGACAGGACAGCACAGCCGCCGCAGCACCAGGACCAGCAGCAGGCGGACGAGGGCGACCAGCTACCAGAGCAGGCAGCAGCAGTAGCAGTAGCAGTAGCAGCAGCAACGGTAGCAGCAGGAGGGCCGCTGAGCCACACAGCCGATGAGCCTGTGGGGACGCGACACGCGGGCGGCCAGAAAAGCGCAAGATCGGATGCCGAAGATGCCGCGGCGGCGCTCATTTTATTGTGCAGCGCGGCACCGGAGTGTCTGTACGACATAGCGCTGGCGTCGTATGGCGTCGCTTCGGCACGGTTTTGCGCTATGCAGGCCATGGTTTGGGCAGAGGGGAAGCTCCCCCGGGTCAGGTTTGGTGCCCTGAGGTTGTGGGTGGCACCTTGAGCGGGGCGCGCGGGGGGGGGGTCTGGGGCACGTGTGGGGTGCTGTGGCTGTGTGTCAAGGTGTGTATGTGTTTCAGTGGTCTGAGCTGCGGCACGAACTGGCGAGGATGACACACGTGTGTGTGCGCGTGTCACTGTATGTGGCTGGTGTGGGTTGGATATGCCCCCTCCTGGTTGCGAAACACGGAGGGGCGAGTGTGGACGAGGGGGAAGGCCGGGAGCGGATCCTGAAGGGGCCCACCCTGTCCTCCGCACTCCTTGCCCCGTGGGGAAAGGGCTGGGGAGAGAAGAGGGAGGGAGGGAGGTTTGTTGGGGTTCTAGAAGGTAGCTAGGGAGCAAGGATCGTACGACGTGTGATGATGTGTGAATGACGTAACAGACGTGGAGGTCTGCGTTGGTGAGCGAGTGCGGGAGGGAGGGTGCCTCTTGGGGTGCAAAGCGGGGAGAAGGGCGTCTCCGGGAGGGAGGAAAGAGCTAAATAAACACACACACACCTGGCGCGCGCTCTTCCTGTGCTATTGCTCCGCAGCGAAGAGACACCCTTCTGCTAAACAAATTGAAAAATAAAAAAACGTGCAGTCAACATGTTATGGAGTTAAGCAGTTAACGCTTTCAAGAACCGCGGAAAGCTGTAGAAGAAACAGTGACGAAATCGGCTCTTGTCGATGAATGAACACGGAACATGTTTTTGGGAAGAGTTTGAGCACACAAGATGTGCTTACAGACGTACATTACACGTCAGCAGTGTATTTGGCGCAATCGTGGCACAGGAGGTCGATTGAGTGGAGGGAGGAAGCAGCCAATAGTCCGAGTTTTGGTTTGGATGGCGTCGGGGGCTAGACCTGGCTATAGGCCAAACATACGACGGGAGACGTGAGTGGCGAAACATCTTCCGTATGGAACGGAAAGAACATAGATGGCTGGGCGGGGAGGTGTTTACGTAGGAGGTGCTTCATTTGGTAAACCACAGAGGTGAATAAGCAGGTGATAGATATATAGGCCTCTGGATGCCCAGCAATGTCAAGCGGGCGTGAGGTTGTGTCAGGCCCTGCTCAGCCAGCCCGCGCCAGGGGGGTGGTTGTTTCAGTCCGGAGGTGTTTCAGTCCCCTTGTACACGAGTCAGGCAGGCAGGCGAGTGGGCAAGGTGTCAAGGCGGGAGCTTGCCTGGTGGGGCTATAGCTCGCTGGTGGGGCAGCACCTCACCACAGGTCACCACTCCGTCAGGCACATTACTCCTGCAACACCACCCTCGCCTACGAGGGCTTCGATTCCTGGACGTATCCTTCTTCACAGTAGCAAGCTGAGCAACCGGCACCTGGGTCGCCCCCGTCTATTCCTAGTTATTATTAAATATACTGTTACTAGACCATCCTCTTATTTCCCTTAATGGCTGTACGATGGCTGCTGGGTGTATGTGTGTGTGCGTGTTCGTATGCATTCTTATATATTGCGTGTACGTTAGATTCATACATGTACATGCTCGTCCATGTATTTGTTAAATCGTCCATGATTGTGACTATTTAAGTCGTTACTGACTTTGAGCTGCAACTGAATCGTGGCATGTGACGATAGGAAACGGAGCAAATCGCCTTTTGATCCAACACGTCCCGTGTGTCTGCCATGCTGGCATCCAATGTTGAGCCCAAGAATATGCGGTTCCTTTCCTTCGGAATCCCGTGGATCCTGTGGATCCACTTGATCTTCATCCATGACCGTACTTGCTGCTGGACATCGCGCTGCATCTTCTTGGCGAGTTTTAGGCATGGGGTCGGAGAGGGGCTGGAGAAATGGCGATAAAATGCGGTTATATTTGTTTGTTTGGGATTTAAAGTGTATATGTGCATGTGTAAGGCATGTAGTACAGAGGCTGTGGTGTATGGTGTCCATGCTTGTCCAGTGTTCCTATGGTCCATACATGTATGCAACATGCACACACACATATGCACACACACATGCACACACACATGCACATCGGATCCCACCGCTGTTTCCCCCCCGGGTGAAATAGATTGCGGTGTCGGATGCTGAGATGAGACACTGGGCTCCTTCAGTGCGCTGGGCGGCTGGGCGGCTGGAGTGGGAGCCCAATACGAGACCTATACACAGCCGCTGAGTAGTGGCGGAGGATTAGTTCTGTATAGGGCCTGGACGAGACTGCATTCCAGGTGGTGGTTGGGATAACGAAGCCGGCAGAATTTGCAATGATAGGGTGACGAATGGCACCGGTATGAGTGCATTGGTAGATCGCGCAGCTGTAGAGCATGCGCTCGGTGGAACGGAGGTTGCTTGGCATGTAGCTGCCTAGAGGATTCGAACAGGTGATGGCGCCTTGCGTTGATAAGGGAGAACGGTCAGAGGACTCTTGACCGATGTAACGCTCCTCCAATGATGGAGGGCTTCGGCGGTCATTCCCGTTGGAGTGCGGTTAGGTACCACTAGTCAGCGTCAGGCCCAGATCGTTATGCAACAGATACAAACAGACAACATACACGTACGCCTGCACGCGCACACGCACGCAAACATATGCGTACGTCCACACAGTTGTATGCCGTGTTTGTTTATCCTGTGTGTTTGTTTCCTGGGGTATGTGGGGTGTCCAGGGATGGCAGAGGCAAGAGATCCTTATAATGGCCTTACGTTGCTGAGATTCTCACATAGCAGCACGATTACTTGTACCTTCCCTGTGCCGCGCAGGTAGGCAAAGTTGGAAGGGGGGTTGGAGCGGAGGGTGGACGGGAGGGCGGAGGGGGCCCCGGGTGTAATAGCCTACTTGGCGGAGATGAAGATGTTGGACCGGTTTCTCGGCAGGGTGACATCGGATGTAGATCACATAAAAACGTTGTCATGCGGGTGACGTCTTAGGGTATGCTGAGGACCGTTGGGCCGTCAGTACTAGCAGGCCCCATCACCGATGGACTTTTGGACTTTTGGGAAAACATGCAAGCAGCCATTGAAGCGTAACAGTGCGGAACCATTGCCAAGGGATTGCGTGGCTGGGATACTGGAAGTTGTTACAGTGGAACCTGATCGGCTCGCACCTGCGATACCAAACCGGGCGGCCTTGGCGCTGTTTGCTAAATAGCAAATCGGCCAGGAACGAAAAGGAGTTGTGGCCCCAAACCCTAGAGCATAAGAGAAGGTACACTAGGCATCTTCTTTTGTCCACTGCTGTGATTGCATGGCTCACATGTCACGACGTCTGCCAGATGGATTCTGGGTACACACGGACTCGTTCATTCGATTCATAATGATTCCCGTAGAAGCATCTCCCAACGCGGTTGATATTCCCTGCGCATGCATGTGATACGATACATCCCTGCACGGAGCCAGTGGCGTCCATTCTTAGCTATTTTCACACCCAGCCCTGGTAGGTGCGGCTGGTAGGTGCCCAGCGCCTCCTTCCGCTCCACAAGCAATATCCGCCAGCGCCCACTCAACCACCACTCAGTAACCCCCGGTCACGTGACACCCCACACCTCCTTGCCACACTCAGAACCGGCCCGTCAGCAGATGGAGATCTGCGCCGTTCCTTCTGCATGGCAGGCTTCACATGAGGCCAAAGCCCTCCGCGTTCTGCAGCGCCAGCTCCAGACGTTCCTGCGTGAAGATGAAGGGCATCTTCAACGGGAACACACGTACGCGAGGGGGTACATGACCAGGATTCCTACGGCCAGCTAAGAGACTGCGAACCCAACGAAGAGCATGCCGGGCCGTCAGGTACATTTGCGAACCTGGCGGGAACACACGAAGGCACAACCAGAACCAAAAGCGCTTCCGCCAGGCCCCCATGCCCTCCGCCTGTCCACCGTCTGATGCATTCAGGGTTCGATTGGCCTGCCACTCTACCGCCTGCATCTCGGAGCCGCGCTTCAAGTGCTGCGTTAATTTAGGTACGCATTGACAACGAGGCACTGGACCTGATGACCACCCGACCGACGGACATCAGTCGGCGAACCCCAGCGAACCCCAGCCGTCACCATCCAATCTCACCCTACCTCACCTCACCTCAGCTCGGCTGACCTTACCTTGAGTACTTCTTTGCTAATGTAGTGCGGCAGCAGCAAGTGGTTAAAGCATGTATGCGCGGAGGGCAGCCGGTCCGAGTGGGCACCGGCGCGGGATATGACGAAGGGCGGGTTCAGGTGCGCCAGACCCTGCATGTGCGTTGGATGAAGGACGCCCGGTAGGTGGGAGGGATGGACACAGGTGGATAGGGGCGCATAGGATGGCGCATGGACAGGGATATCGCAGCTCCGAAACAGGAAAGACGGAGCGCGCTGCTGCTCACCACAGCGTGGGAGCCTACCTCTACCAACCAGCCTGAACGAACCTCCGTCCAAATCCCCACAAATCCCCACAGATCACCCAGTCGCTCTGATGGGTACAAACGCACGCACCCACCTTGATGGGTACTCGGTCGGATCCCGTCACGAAGAACAGCAGCTGTTTCTGGGAAGCAGGGGGCAGTGCGTGAACGACCTCCCAGAACCATCGAACCGGCTGGCACGCGTCCGTGTATGCATGCGCATCGGGCAGTGGGCAGAGAGGAGAGGTGTTTCGAGGAGTCAAAAAGTCCAGGCCCGGTAAAAATGGAAAAGCAACGGAAGGCCAGACACAGAGAGATTCGCTTACGACATGGTGTCTTATGACAATACATGGACTGAAACCCTGAAGGAGGGAGGACTGCTGGCGATGGCGCATAAACGAGCAAACTTTACCCTAGGGAGGAGTCCAGCAGTTCTGAAATGTGTTCCTTCCATCGCCGCCGACAGCAGGAGGGCTACCGAGGGCTCGCGTGAACACACACACACACATACAGACACACACGCATACACGACATGTGCGAGAAGTGTGGAGATAACGACTTATCAAGGGCGGGCGGCCGAGCCGGCAGGTTGGGTGAACAGGCGCAGCCCTCAAGCCAGAAGGAACAAGTAGAGCAAGTAGAGCTAAACCCCTAAAGCTACCTCCGAGTCCTTGGTGTATCCGTCATCATACTGAGTGGCGCCCTCCAACTCCTCCAGTCGCAGCTGCCGGCTGCCACACACCAGCAACTCCAGCTCCGAAGGGGAAAACCAGCCCAGCGCGGCGCCGGAGCACAGGCGCAGGAAGCCGCGCTGGAAGGGGTTGAACTGGGGTGCGATGGAGTCCTGGCAGCAGCAGATTTGGGTTGCATTGGATTAAGATGAGTTGGTTAGTTTGTTGTTAGACTTGGTTGGGTGGCATTGGTTGGCTGGCACTGAGGGAAAAGAGCGCGGAACAGCACGGTAAACGTTGGTGCAGACACGGTGCACGTGGACGCCCAGGAAAAGAGGTGCGCGTGTTGAAGTCGCTCGGTAAAGGTTTTCCCCATTACGGTATGCGAGACATCGGGCCCGGCGTCCTCTTGAGGGGTAGGGCCAGATACTGATGGGAAGGCCTCAGGGGAGGGGAATCAGGGACGTTTGGCGATTGACAGCGAATAACAAAGTTGGATAGATAATAATGGTTCAGAGGAACACGAGACAACCCGTTCCTTTAAATGAAACTGTCCTCGTCGGCAGCGCGAACTTCCCCTCCTCCTCCGCCTCCGCCTCCGCCTCCGTCTTCTGCCCTCACGCGGTGTGATACCTGAGCAATCCACCACGACCCGAAGATGCAGCGATGCTACCCCACCCCACCCCACGCACATTCCCACGTATCTCCACCATGAGGCGCTCATTAAAAGCAATTACAAATGTAATTTTTAAAGCTGCACGTGCGCCCGCACCTGTAGCAGGTGCCTGACGTACAGGTCCACGTAGAGGCGCCTGTTGGCCGCACTGACCGCCATCTCCCCTCCCCCCGGCACGAGGTCCACCGGCTCCACCTCCCCAAACCCCACCTCCATGTCCACCTGCACAAAGAGAGACAGGGAGAGGAGGTAGGAGGGGCATTACATGCAGGAAACAAAGAATCAACTGCTGGAGTCGAAAGCGGGGAGCCACTTGTAAGACGAGGAGAGGGACGTGGAAAAGCACTACTGAAGCCCTTCAGTCCCGGCCTGCACCTGGAACACGAGCCCCAGCGAGTCCACCAGGTCGGGGGGCATCTGAAGCAGCTTGGCGAGGGAGGAAGCCACCTCGGGGGCCAGCTCGCGGAGATCCTGGGGACGTGCGGGTTAGCACAGGCAGCGCGTGCGGGGAGCTAAGACGAAGCACTAGTGAATGAAGCAGCGTGTGCCGCGGGAGGGGGCCAGGTGGGGGCATGGGGCGTGTGGGCCATGCATGCGCTGTAGAGGCGGATTAGAGGTCCTCTTCCATAATTAAGGAAGCTTCCCGGAAAGGGGTGCTCTTGATAATACTAGCACTAAAGGGTAGCCAAATTGCACGGGACTGGCGTGGTGTAAGGAAAACTGGTTTGCCAAGGATGGCATCTCACGCTTCTTCTACAGTTGCCCCCTTGAGGTTTGCAAGCTGGCTGTCTGGGCTCGCCGGGGGTCTAGCCACTGAGGGCAATGCGCAACGCACCTCGAGGCCGAGGACGCCGCCGCCGCCTCCTTCACCTAGGTGGTGAGGCGCCACGCCGGCCCAGCTGCTGCCTAGCATGCTGCCGCTGGTGGCGGCAGCGGCGCCGCTGCCGCCGCTCCCAACGCCATGCACGGTCTGGCGTGCGGCTCCGAAACCACTGGCGCCGCCGCTAACGCCAAGGCCCTGGCTGTCACTGCTGCTGGAGCCCAAATTTATGGCCTCTTCCACCGCCGCCGCCGTTGCGTCGCCGCCGTCGCCGGCCGCAGCACAGCCGTCGCCGCCCACTGCCACTGTCGCACCCATCAGCTTCTTGTACAGCACGGAAGGGAACTGGAATTCCAAGATGTGGCTGTTGTAAATTGCGAGGCCTACAGCAGCACAGTGAAAGCGTAGCCGAGACAGAGATCCATCACGAACAGTTCCAATTCCAGCCAAGAGCAAGGGATGTGCGGCCGCATGTAATGACCCAGAATCAAGGAGTTTTCACAGCGAGTGACCCATAGGTCATGTCCGCAGCGCAGTGCGCAGCACATGACACGAAGTACAAACAAGTGTGTGTGGTTGTTACAGTGGGCTCCAGACTCACGAAGAGTAGAGCCAGCGGGCCACAGTACAAGCTATAATTCCTCCCCACTCCACCCTGCCCACCCTTTCCGCAAAGCTCGCCTTAACAGGACAACTCAGTGCGCCAGCATATCACCCAGTTACGGCAGCCCTAAGCCTTAGGTAGCCATGTTCAACTTTCAGCTCGTAAGCAGGTGCTAAACACCTGTCTACGAGCTTCCTTCCCATCTATACCATGAGTCCATGATGATACCAACCACTCTTGTGACGGCCCCACCAGCCGCAGCCGCAGTGCCCCAATGGACGTCCGGAGAGGGAGGGATATGAGGTAGATATGAGGGACAACATCCCGGAGCGACAGAAACACTCTCTCCTGTCCGATCCCCAACCCACCCACCGTGCTCTCCATCTTGCAGGCCCATCCTCGTCCAATATTAAAGACAAATGCCATTTTGGCTAAAAGCCCCGAGAAGAACAGTATCCTGAGCAGAAGTCCCCCACCCACCTCACCCACCTCACCACCGACCAGCCACCAGCCACCACTCCCAGCAGCCGCCGTGCTCACTTACCTATGAGGATGCCCACGAGCTCGAACTCCAGCTCCATCTCCAGTCGGGAGGGCCGAAACCAGTGCAGGTGGGAGGTGGGATCGGCGGTGAACATGCCGTAGTCCGGGTTGAACAGCTGCCGAACCAGCAGCTGGAAAAACTCCTTGGCCACGCCGCCCTCATCCACACCCTCCTCGCCAATAAACTTGACCTGCGGCACGCGGGGATAGCGCAAAGCAGTCCTTTCATGCAGACGTGCCCGACGCCAAAACGCATGAACGGTGCCATGAACCGTACCACGAGCGTAACCGTGCATGCAAGTGGCCAGGGATGGGTAGGAGGGGCCAGGGCTGGCTAGGAGGGCACATCCCCTCACCACCTTGAGGGGCTTCTTGAGCGAGTCCGTCTCCTTGGCGCGGTGGATTTGTATCAGCGTGTCTTGCACCAGATAAGGCCCGCGCCGCACCCGCAGCACCAGGAAGGGGCACAGGTCGGGAAGGACGCCCGGTACGGGACTGGGACCCACACCGCCGAAGAGGCCCCGCAGCAGCGCCGAGTTGAGCTCATTCACCTAAGGCAGGAGCACGGGCGGCCCAGCGGAAGTGTGGAGAAGAACAAGAAAGAGGAGTCCGTAGAGGAGGAGGAGTCAGAGGAGGGGGAGGCGGTGTTGGCGGAGGAAGAGGAGGGGGTGGAGGAGGAGACAGAAGAGGGGAAGGCGGAGGGGGAGGAAAAGGCGCTAATAAACCCGTTAAAACATCGACCCACACGAGGAGATCCAAAGAGTCGAACCAGATTGCGACATCGCCCTTCATCCTCCGTTAGCAAGTTACAGGTTACACGTTCCGCATAAATGCAGGGCCGTCCGTAAAAGCCTTGTGAGGGGCCCACGGCCATGGGCGGTGCAATAGCCCATTATTGTCTCTCCTACCCACGTAGAGCCACATGCAGGTGTGCTGTGACGGCTGCTGCGGGATGTGCAAGGGGCGGCTGGAGCCTCTGGAAAGTTGTAGGCGACTGCTGGAGGAATATTGAAGTGGGAAGCGGCTGTGGCCCTGCCCGCCTGCCTGCCGTTTTCTGCCTGCATCCTAGGGCTCCAAGACTGGTAGCAGGTAAGGAACTCTTCTCCAACAGTTCGCTCACGCACTCACTCGTCCCGTGATTCGTAAGGTGAGGCCCACCTGGCTCATCTGGTTCTCCATCTGCAGAATGCGCGCCTTGGACCCCGGGTCGTACATGAACGGGAACTTGCAGAAGCAGAAGTCGTACTTATGGGGCTACATACGGCATGGCAAGATATGCAGCAAGGCGTGCGGGGAAAATTTTGTGAGGAGGCATGAGAGGAAGAAATAGCAGGAGAAGCAGGACCTGGCGTGTGTGTTGGATCACAGGGAGCTTCCTTGGGAAGAAGTACGGCGAAGCCATTTTTAAGACCATATTCGATGCCGGACCAGCTGTCTTTGCGATCTCGATTTATTTCACTCCTCCCTCTCCTTCGTTATGCTTTCAAGTACGCGGTTAAGAAGCCCGCGGTTACAACGTGCGCTGATCCCAAACTTATATGACGGTGCCCACGGGCATGCGCGGCCTTTTCGGCGGTCAATTTTTCGGCGGTCAATTGGAGCAGGATATGAAACCTGGGTCAGCCAACACTGAAATCAACCCCAACCGCACGCCGACTCAGATCTGGTCCTAAGACGCTTGCCTGCCCGCCTGCTTGCCCGCCTCCCTGCCGGCCTGTTGAACCCCATGGAACACACCCATCATTTCCATCACCATCACCATATCAACATCATGGGCAAGAAAACGACAGTCGGAAAACGACAGTCGGACTCACGTGCTTCCATTTTCGAAAATCCTCCTTCAAGTTGAAGTCCTCGTGGTTAATGGCATCGTTGTAAAACGCCGCCGGCTCGAGTGGCCGCCAGCCAGTCCCCGAGGCCGTCCGACCGCGGCCGCCGCATGCCACTGCGCTGCCGCTGCCGCTGCCGCCACCGCCACCAAGCGCCTGCATGGCTCCGAAACCCATGGACGAAAAGCCCAAGTCCACGCCGCCGCTGGCTGCTGCCTGGCCCATAAGCGCACCCGCCGCTTGGGCCGCTGCGGCGGAGCGCTGCCCCGCGACCTCATTCGCCTCGTGCAGCAGCGCCACCAGGCGTGTGGCATCCTCCACGCCACGGGTAATACTCTATTGGTGACGAGGCCGAGAGCGGCGACGACGACGACGAGACGAAAAGGTGGGTCCAGGGAGGGAGTTCCGGATGACGCGATGGCGCACGCAGGAGCAAAGGCTCAGGAAGGGGCGGCAGGGAATCATACGACACGACACAAGGACGAGCAAATGGTCAACAAATGGCCAAGACGTACAAAGCACCGACTGCTTAAGAGAGCTTAGAACTTTTGCAGCGCATAACACGGGGCACCTTGCTTCAAGACATTAGACGCCCTCGCTGCCGATCCAACCCCTTATCTGCCCAACACGCACGACCATTAGACCGCATTCCCTTGAAGCACCTCATAATATGCTATATGCTATGCACTTAAAAGCAACGCAACGCAAACCACCCTAAAACGCACTCCAGTCCCCTACCCACCTGCATGCGGAAGAGCGTGAGGCTGATGAAGGAGTGCAGGCGGGACAGCAGCCTGCGGCAGTATGGCGAAACGCAGGGGCCCCGGGGGGCCAGGTGGGCCCCGTGGACCGACGTGAGAGGGGAAAGGACGCGCAGAGACTTGGTTCAAAGGCTCTCTCTTGTGGAAGACGTCCACTACTTATGAGTTGGACAGAGGTGGAACGGACGGTTAGGTGAGTCGGTGTGTCGAGGCGGAAGGCGTCCGAGGGAAAACTTGTACGCGTGACGCGTCTCCATCCATGGATTGCAAGAGAGAGCGAGGAGAGGCGAGGCGAGCAGGAGCTGAATCGAAGGAGTGGCAAAGCGGCACACAGCACCTCACAGGACGGAAACGCACCACACAGCAGCTCACGCACCTTCTCCTTTTCCCCCCCGTGGCCACCATAACCATAACCGTTATTTCCCTTTCCAGGGGAGTCACCCGAGGTGGGCCCCGATTCACCCGACCTACCTTCCACGACCTATCTACGCCACAAGCTACCTCTCCGAGTCACAAATCACCTACCCACCTATATATGCCACGACCTACTTACCTACTTACCTACCTACCTACCTTACCTACCTTACCTACCGTACGTACGTACCTGCATACCTACCTACCTACCTGCACAGCTCGTCAGCCGGATACGTCACGAACAGCTCCACCAGAGCTTTCCGCTGCTGCTGTGACAATGCGGCGATAAACGCCACCAGGGAACCCAACATGCTGTTGTGTAGCCGTACGTGGAGGGAGGGCGGGCGGGAGGGAGGGAGGGAGAGGGGAAGTCAACCAGGGTGTCATCAGGATGCCGAGGGAGCACATGCAGTGCGCTATATTCCCTGACAGTCGTGCACATGATCATGATTACCTCTGTCACCAACATCACTGACGCCAGCAAGCAAGCATGCATGTAGGGCAGGTGCGGGAGGGGAAAGACGAACCACGAACGAATGAAGTGCGGGACGGGCGGTATGAATCCTACGTGGTGGAGTAGTGGTAGAGAGCGCAGTACGTGTAGAGACATGCCGCGAGAAAGGTTAGCATACATGTAAGCGGCCTGATGCGTGCCTTGAGCGTGTCGAGTGACAGCGGCATCATCAAATTCAAAGATTCAAAATTAAGCACTAAAATTCTAATACCCTCAAGCGATTATTTACTGGTATTAGGAAACATAAGCAATATAAGCAATGTAGGGAACGCCACGTGGCAAGGGCCACCGTCAAGGGCCACAGACCCATGGGACAGTTCGTATGGCATAGTACAGTGTGGTAATGGTGGATGGTGCTGCATGGTATGATAAATCGTAGAAATGACAATGTGTTCAAATGGCCCAGAAGCCTCCCACTTTGTAACAATTCAATTTAATTCAATTCAAGATTCCCCCGAGCATTCACGATGCTCAAGCCTCCCCGCACAAACCCCCCTACGGTTCGTGATGCCGCGATATCTCCACGGTTGATGTCTAATTAACCCCCTGTTGACCACCGAAACGTCACACACGACGCGGTGGGCAGGCTGGTCCACGCAACCCGACCCGCAGTTTCCGTCCTCCTCGTCCTCGTTTTGCATCGAGGGGACGAGAACTCACTCGTGGTGTTCGCCCTTGTCCAGCAGGGGGTTCGCCAGCAGCACCCCTAGCTGCCGCGCAAGAGCCGGATTGACGGAATGTGGAAGGTTGCTGAGTGCAGATAGCAGTCCCTCCACTCCTGCCGCCAGCGCACTGCCGAGCGCCGCTGAGGTCCCCGTGCCCGTGCCCGTGCCCGTGCCCGTGCCCGTGCCCGTGGCCGGCGACGGCGGCCGCGGCTGCGGAGGACCCGTACTGTCATCCGGGCCCGTGGACGACGACGATGACGATGCACGGCAGCCCAGCACGCTGTCGTACAGCGCAGCGACGGCCGTGAAGTCCAAAGGGCATATCCCAGATGGCCCTGCACTGGGTATCGTGGAAGAAGGGGCGCTACTGGTGACTGTCTTGGCGGGTGTGTTTCCGCATGCCGAGCCTGTGGCATCGGCGGCTCCGGGACCAGCGCCGGTCGCACCGGCTGCTTTGCTGGCGGGCGCACCAGTCCGGCCGCTGCTGCCGTTCCTGCTAGTACTGGCGCCTGGTGAGGTCGGCGCTGCGACTGCGGCTGCTGCTTTTTCCTTCGTGCGCGATGCAGGCGGAGGCAGAGACGTCGCCATCTGCGAGTAAGGTTGAATTCGTGGGACCATGCTATTAGCCTACGTTACAGCGTTCCATGGAGGCATTTGGGTTGGGTGTACAGTGCCATGCATGCGACGGCAGTTCAATGGTAGTTCGGGGCAATGCAAAGGGAAGTAGCACCTAGGGACTCTTACGAACTTTTCGTCTTGATCAAGAAGCCGTATGTACTTAAACGACGCCACCAGCATTTTTTAAAAGGTTCAGCGGCTCATCACGTGTGCTACATGCCTACATGTAGATGGCTACCCAGCTCAGTTCCCTTCCAGCATTTATCCCCGCCAGCCATAGCGCTTGGTACTAATTGTGTCTGTAATCCGCAACATAGTTCCCGGCCCCTATATACGCGTTTTGCGCTATGTATTGAAATCCAAGGAGCCATTTTGCTAAGGTTGATGTGGGTCAACTGCGGGCGTTAGACACGACCGCGTTAGAACGAAGTAAAAAGCAGCAGAGGGCAGGGGCGTGCAGCTGTCTGTTAACCGCAGTCCCGAGCTTCGTTTTTGAGCCAGCGTACCTCCTTCGGCCAGAACGCCGCATTTATGCAGTCCCCGCTCGCGAAGAAACGAGTGACATGCGAACAGAGTTGGCTGAGCGGCGTGGCGGCTTCGTCCCGTAGGCGGCGAGCCAGGTCGTCAGGCGTTGGCGGAAGCTCGGCTGAAGACACACGCACGCGTTCATGTTCGGGAAAGTAGCATTAGAAGCAGCATTAGGAAAAACGAAGCAACTTTAAGCCAACGCGTCCCGGGAGGGCTCGAGTCTCTTTTTGATACCCTCTGGCGGAGTGGTATGGAAAATGGGACACGCCAAAAGTGCACCAACGGGTGCCAAACTGCGTCCCCGCCACTGTGCACACAGGATTCGCAGTGCCCGGCATTTCGTCCGCATGGGGATGCCCACCTAGCACACGCCGTTGGGTGGAGTCAGCAGGCAGCTTTACGGGAGTCCACAACCTCATGCAAACCCCTCCACCCGCTGAGGCGTAAACGAATAACTCACCGACGCCGGCTGCCACCTTAAGCGCGAGAGCACAGGCCTCGTTCGGCTCCATCCCGCGACGACGTAAGATGTTGAAGGCACTATGCACAGCGCAAAAGAAAACGCATAAGTATTCGCAGTACTAATTTGAATTCCCGAGCCGCTTAGAGGTTTTGGGCCGTCAGGCGTTTCTTTGCCGATACAGTTACACATGTACCTGTGGACATCCTCTGCGAAGAGTGCTCGCTGATCCTCAAGAGGTAGCCCCGATAAATTTCTTTCCGGTATGTCCATACACAAACGACGTGGATGTTTACGCTGGGCCGAAAAGCTGGACTAGGACGGTGGGGCGAGTAAATCAAGAGTCCCTACCAATGCTGAAGCACCATCTTATATGGAGGGCTTTATGATATATGAACCTTCCAAGACCTGGATGGACTGAAGCTTACAAGCCCACTAAGTAAGGTGTCGGCCTGTGAACGTCGCGACCCTCGAGGTGTGTCGCAAGCTGCATATAGCTCTTTTAAACGACTGTAACGTATCTTCTGTATGACCAGCTAAAACATCGCGGTCATGATAGATTGTGATTTGCGGGGGCGAAGCCTGCACAGCATGCATGACGTGGCCGAGCATCTAGGCCGTTGGTTTGCTTAAGCCCCAGGCTTCAAATTCAACGATTGCGCATGCTAGACATGGACAGTACGCATTTCTCGGCACGTTCTCTTCCTTCAGAAAGTAAACTTATCGCTTCTCGACACATTCAAAAAGTACGACACATCCCCAACAGCCCTAGCAAGGCGCAGGAACCACCTTCCCGAGAGCAATCATTACAAAAGGGTCCAGAACCACGTCCAACGTGTCGAATACCGATCATGCAATGACGCCTCTGAACTTGGACCTGCGGCCCACGGCGGCGCTTCTACAACCCGCTTCCACACCACTCATCCTGGCGCCACCAGAGAGTTGGGCCTAATCGTCATCAGCCTCGTCAAACTCGTGCCTCTGCTTCTTGCTGTAGTCCGTCATGCCGCGCCCACTGCCAATGACGCCCACCTTGCTGCCCACAAGCCCCTCCGGCACCGAAAAGATGGAGCCCTTCTTGATTGAGCCTGCCGGCATGACATGCATACATGTTCTAGAAACCCCAAGTGGCATATGCTTCAAGGTGCACGACTTCGACACATTAGCAAACAGGTTGAAGGGATGCCTACAGACCCGGTTAAAGGAAAACCCCCAGCAGTAGTTCTGCATTATGACTCCAGTCTCACTATAATAGTAGCCCTTTTCACATCTCCTACTTACGATTCCTATCCCGAGCCTATGACGTCATCGGCGATGCACCATCGCCCAAATGCTTATGGCTACATAGAACTCATCGCGTGCCGCGCCCCGCCAAGCCGTGCCGCCCCGCCACACGCAGTTACTCGCCTGTTAAGAAGCCGGTCTTCTTCTTGCTGCCCTTGCCCTTCAAGAACGACTGCCAAGTGTCCTGTTTCTGCTTCTGCGCCAGGTCCATGTTCTGGAACCGGATCTTGGACTTGAAACTCTTGAGCAGTTTCTTCTTGCGCGCCTTGGTCTTCTCATCGTCCGTCTCCTTAATGGCCAGCCACTGCAGTGTGTACGGCAGCCATGTACATCCAACCGTCGAAAGCAGGGGAAAACATCATTCCATGCGCGAAGCCATGGACTTAGCCGTCCCCTTTCCAGGAAACGCTACCTGAAGCGCAGGTCCACCTCCATTCCATACGGCTTGTCATCCTCGTGCCAGTCAAGGACACTGCATCAATCATCGTCCTCACCTTTATAAAGCATTCCCTTGCCTTTTAACCGCATACCGCCCCTTCATGCAGCCACTGCAATTGTCCGCAACAATCACATGCCTTCCATGCCCTCCTACTATACCCAGCGGCATGCAACCCCTGGCATCGCAGCTGCATCCCGTGAAGCTCCACCACGCCAGCCCCTACTTAAGAGCTGGGGCCCCCGCCCACATCACCTTGGGGATTTCCGTCACGACCGGCTCCTCTTCGACGCGCTTCCGCTTCGGCGCTGCCACACCGCGGTAGCCCTCGTCCGCGCTGGGCCGCGGCCGTACCCCCGTCAACCCCACCTGCTCTCAGGTCCAACGGTAAATAAACGGTAAACAGGTTACATCAACCACTGCTTGACATCGGGTAATTGAGGAACGCCTGACATCGCGTGATCACTTAAACCTCACAAAACCTTTCGCTGGGGTCAACAAGCCAGGGATGTAGCAGGACAGATACGAGGCGGTTCGTAGAGGCAGATAATGGGTAAGCGACCGACCCAGAATGCGTTGAAGGCAGCTCGATGGAAAGGAAAAGCGCCATAATCAAAAGCGCCTAAACAGCTTGCGAACTGGATTACAGCGCGCGCGCACGAAGAAGCTCACGCCCCTGCGCACGTGCCTGCGCGTTGCAGTGCCGCCTACTCAGGTGCAGCGCGCCCACGCACCTCTTCCTTGTTGCCGTACCCATCGAACACGACGATGAAGTTGCCAGCCTCAGAGACAGCCTCCACCGTCGCGTCGTAGTACTCGCCGTCCGCGCTGTACACAGCTTGGCATTGCGCGCCAATAGCCCATTCCCCAGGCGCTTGACCCGTCAACGCAGCGCGAATCTGACGAGTCGTGACAATGACGGGCGCGCAATAACAGCCTTTCTTCGCGGGTACTCAGCTCTTTAAACGTATGAACCAGCGCACAGGGAGAGCCTGAGAACGAAGAAGCTTGAGCAGAGGGAACAGCTTTATGCGCGCTGACCTGGGCATCAAAGCCCCGATTCTTGGCACCTCGGGGGCAGTGACCGGGACGAGTCACATCCCATCCATGAGGGCAAGGCCGGGTATGCCACTCCAAACACACAACTGTTTGGGGATGGTTGGGGCGCAATGTCTTGGCCGTCATTGACGGCTTCCCTCTTTTGCACTAAAGTCCGCTGCGGCCCATAATGTTGCTGTACCCGCGACCGATGCGCGGGACTACCAACTGCTTTTAAGTTTTGCATTTCCTATCCCAACTCAGCCGATGCCGATGCCGCTCTCTCATCCAGTACCAAGGCCCGCGTTGCTTCCAGCGCCGCCACCAGGTCCCGCAAAAGCCTCGCAACTTTGTGCTGGCCGGCGAGCTTCATACCTGCGCTTTACGGATTTGCTCCGCCACCGATGCCGGCAGGATGGCTGGCAAGTTCAGCTCCGGAGGCGTGACGATTTTGGCCACAGGGCCTGCAGCGTCGCCATCCGCTGCGGCGGCAAGCGCTAGGACCACGTCGGCGTTTGTCCCTGAAACCGAGTCCGTGTGAGGCACATAAAGGTAGGCACGGGGACAGTAAGGATTGGACAAAGGGGGTTGCTCCTTCGAAGGGAACGAATCCTTCGCAGCTTGCCAAGCACGTCAATGTGCACCTGCGTACCCCGTGTCTTCCCGTGCAGGCTTTAGCATGCTTAGGTTCAGGTTCCTTTTCCTCTCCACCTATCCGCCAAATGCGACTCCAGGGTAATATGAGGCCCAGGGCCCGGGTAGAGCCATAGACCGAGCGATAGCTAGCTTGGATGGGCATTTGGAATGGAAGCAATCAATCCATACGACATGTGACACCAAAGCATTTTGCTGCTGGCGGCATGAAGCTTGCTGCTGCGGAACACATCATAGGCCAAAATAGCTCTTAAGTCCAGGGCTTGGATTGGATAGGTGTAAAGTAATCCATGCCCGACGCATGCGGGTCCCACCCCCACCCCCACCCCCACCCCCGGGGCCGGCTCGAGGGCTGGGTAAAGGCCACTGGACCCTCTTGATTACCTGTCGGTAAGGCTCCGGCTGCTAGTCGCTGCTGCTCCAGGGCGTCCTTCAAGAGCTCCTCTGTTAGTTGGATTACCTGCAAACGTTGCCCCGGAGGGCTTACCAACTGCTTTTGCAAAGGCGTGCCCTGCCGCAACAGTTAACGTTGCGGCACTAGAAGTTGCCACTCCGTAACTCGCCTCTGTCAGGCTTTGATACATGTCCTGCAGGTCCTGTCCAGGCATCTCCTCGTCGCTGCCCATCATGAGTAGCTGCTCCACTTGTGCCAGCTGCTCCCGATATTGCCGCAAATTCTCCTCCAGCTCTTGTGGAGTCTGTAGTCCACTCATTTTCCGCAATTGTGCAGAAGCTTGTTAAAGTTACTGTAACTATTGATGCCGGTCCTATCAAGACGCCCGATTATAAATGAAATAGCTTAAAGTCTGTTCCGCAAAGGAAGCGAGCCACGTAGAGTGATCAAGCGATGTTCGACGAACGTCAACTGTTCTTGTAAAAATGTGTCCGTGTCAGCCTTGTAAGTCGTAAGGAAAAAAGAGGTCCTAAAGGGTTACGTTATTTTGGCCTACAAAAGTATAGTAAAAGTCAACAGTCGGCTCCAGTGATGCTGGTGATGCCTCGGGACAATGGCGAAGGTCCTCGATGCACGGGAAAAGGACTTCCATAAAGGACATATCCTGGTTTTGGACCCTTTAGCCTCGTTGGGTAAGAAACCATCGCATATATTATCCCGTGAACATGCACATCCGAACCTCCATGCCGGGGCGCACGGATATGTACGGCCCCATCCGGAGAATACAGCACCACTATTCAGATACGCCACAAATGGGGGCATGCACACTTGCTTGGATTAGGGAGAAAGGTTTTGGGTCGACATGATTTCACGTGTGGTCGTATTGCAGCAGTCCGGCGACGTGCGCGACAAGGCGGACCTCCAAAGACGGTAGCAACATGCAGCCAACGTCCGCGGTTGTGTGTGGTATTTTATGCCATTGAAGCCTGATACGCGACTGCTTAACTTTACTACAGGAGAATCCAGATCGCCAAGGCTGGTGGACAAGGGGGTGCAGGACCAGAAGCTGACCAGGGCAAGTACCACTTGGAAGCAAACGCAGCTCCTTAGGTTGCCTTAGAACGCTGAGCTTAACAAACATTGGACGCACGCCTGTACACTGTTCAGCCGAATGCTACATTCTGGGAGAGGGGCCAACCTGCTTATGTCGCCCGCAGCATGTTCATCAACCACTTCGATGGGCCCTCGGTGTGCACTCGACGACCCGTGAGGCGAATACAGTTCATGTTGTATAACACATCCTGCAGGATAAACCGGTACGCCGATGAATCACTGGTGGCCATTGGGACATGCATTCAGTTGCCCACCAACCGCAGCGACTGCCCACGGCTCGTTACGGGGGCGCAGACAGTGAAGGCTTATACACGCTATATATGAAACCACAATCTTGACTTCATGCTAGTTTTACAGCTCCATGATGCCATGTGAAGACGGAGCTAGGGAGCTGTACGATTCGGATCCAACTCGGCAGTTTCGGCCCTGAGATGGACTGTGTCGCGCTTCTAAGGTGCTTTGCTTCGCTTAGCAAATAAGTTTGTGTTATGGAAGGTATTGTGTAGCAAATATCTACCAAGCCGCGAATCTTGGCCGGCTGCTCTTTAGTTCGCGCCGTTACACAAACGCCGGACTTCTCTACTATAGTCGATGTCATCATGGTTGTTTGAAAAAGGAAGAAATTGACACTTTAGAAAGGAAGTATCCAGCCAGATTCGTGAGCTGACTGGAGGAGCGCAATCTTGACGCCGAGATGGGGACTCCTCTTGAGCTAATCAAGTACAACGCAAGGAATGGGAAATTTGAAGTCGGAAGTTCAGCCTTAGACACGCTACGTAAGGTATATAATGGCGTGGCAAGGCACAGCATGTTGCCCGTCCCGCCTCGTACGCAAATATCACTTCATGTCTGCTGCCCCCAGGTCAAGGGTCCTGTTGCGGTTGTAGCCGTCTGCGGTCGTGCCCGGCAAGGCAAGAGTTTCATTCTAAATCAACTCCTCCAAAGTAGTGGTGGCTTCCAGGTATGGGAGACTGAGTCCGCCATAGGGCCCTTGGCCAAACAGTCCTATGGGTATGTGCTCATCTGGCCAACGCAGATATCTCGCCTGATAGGGACCGATTGCTGGAGGGAAGGCCCCTTGTTTGCCCTCCTTTATGCTCCTGGTATTCTCTTGGCTTGTCACGTTGCCGAAGTGCTTGAAGCAACCGGTGGTTGCATGCTAAGAAGGGACAACCCCTCTGTCCGTTCAGTCAAATACCGTATCCCATATGGTCTGTTCGTACCTTCCTGCTTCCCTTGCCACAGGTCGGTGCCACACACAGGCCATGCACCAAGGGCCTATGGATGTGGTCCTCCCCTCAGCGGGTCAACGGACCAGACGACTCGACCCATCACCTTGTGCTACTTGATACTGAAGGTATCGATGCGTACGATCAGGTAAGGCGTACCTACGTGCACGTGGTAAGTCCACGTGCACCTACCGATCATCGCGCGATGCTTGCCGGTGGCATTCTGGGGTTAGGTTCCCCTTGCGTTGACATGAAGTTATGGATTAGCCTTCTACCAAGAAAGGTATGCCTAGTGAAATGTTGACGCGCCCAATACTCCTTCCATTTCTGCACACGATAGAAGCGGCCCTGAGGCCATTCGGTCCTCGTCATTGATCTGAAGACAAGGACTGCATGGACCGCCCGTGGGTCGAATCCACGACGTGTATGACCTGCAGACCGCTCAGTACTCGACCCAGATTTTCAGTCTGGCCGTGCTGCTGTCGAGCCTCTTCGTCTATAACCAAATGGGAGGAATTGACGAGAGCGCTCTGGATCGCCTGAGCTTGGTGACGGAGATGACGAAGCACGTGCGTGTGCGCGCGGCTGCAGCTAACAGCACCAGCGGTGAGATGAGTTCATTACGCCTTATGTGGATGGTTTGCCGAATGTTTAGGTTTTTGTTGTAAGGTGCCAGCGACACTCGAAATCGAAATCATGGCATAAGGCTTGCCTCCTCGAAGGCTCTGCAGTGAAAGGCTGGATTGTTGAGCAGGCCTGATCCAACCGCAGTAGTGCAAATCGATGGCTTGTGCCCCCCGGAGCTAGTAGGCTGTGGTGTTCTGTGCGTCCTGTGCATCAGGTGGAGAAGAGGGCCTTGGAGAGCACTCGCCAGCCTTTCTATGGCTGCTGCGCGATTTCTACTTGCAGCTTGAGGAGGAGGGGGGCCGCAAGGTAAGCCATACTGTTCTTGTCCTTTGCTAATGCTTGCGGGACCCAGTGCATGCTTCGTTGACTGAGCCCGTAAGGCGCTCTGGTACATGTTTTGCGCGAAACCCAGATCACTCCGCGGGAGTATTTGGAGACGGCGCTGCGGCCGGTTCCCGGCACAGGCCCTGCCGTGTCGGCCAAGAACGCCATCCGGGCGTCCATCGCGCAGCTCTTTCCGGCGCGGGATTGCTTCACGTTGGTGCGGCCTATGCACGACGAGGCAGCCCTGTCGCAGATGGATTCGCTGCCACGTGACAAGCTGAGGCCTGAATTCCGGCAGGTGAGTGTGGCGCCATGGTGATGTTATACGGGGCTCCACACCGCTGGTGAATGGGGGCACCGTCCTACTAGTAGCAGCAGGACGTGTACTGCAGGTTTGGTTCCACGCCGTGGGCAGCGAAAAGATATACAGGTCCACCGGGAAATGCACTCAAGCATGCAATGATTGGCGACTTAAGGCCCGAGTCAGTCATCCACAAGAACGGTTGCACAGACGAGGTGGTCAGCTGTGGAGGTCGTCATCGCGTGCCGAAACCCACACGGTGCTTACTTCCCAGCATGTCATTGTCATGGCGGGACGGCCATCCTGAACAACAAAACCCAACAACACATTGTGTTTGGGCTCGGCTTGTGAGGGTCGTGGAATTGCTGAGCCAACGCAACCACCATTCTGAACCACCCGTTTTTGCTATCCTGCCCGATAGTTTTAGTTAATTGCTCTTTGCTCTGTCTATGGCCTGGGGTCCTTGCAGGGCGTAAAGGATTTGACGGCACTGATTTTCCAGCGAGCCACTCCAAAGCGCTTCGGCACACAGCTTATGACAGGTTCGGTGCTGGCGGGCCTGGTGAACGCCTACGTTGTGGCAATCAACCAGGGCGCGGTCCCCACCATCGCCACAGCCTGGCAGGTGCGGAAGCCGAGGGTTTACTTTTCTTCCGTTTGTCACCTGAAGTCATTCACACATCATGCGACGTTCGTACGTACGCGCAGCCCCTCTGACGCCATGTGCTTATGCCATCTGCGAGCTTTTTGTCTTATCATTTTCGCGTCATTCTGTACTCACTAATCGCGCGGTTGACGCGATGTGGATTCATTCTGTAGACAACTGAATGCTCTCGTTTATTCCACGTGGCATTGCTTGTACGAACAAGGAAGGATTTGGGTCGTGTCGTGCTTCTTCCTGCCTATATATTGGCTCGGTTGCATTCAGGGTGTGGCGGAGTCCGAGTGCCGGCGCGCGTGCGATGCTGCTGAGGCGGCCTACACCGCGGCTTTCGCGGCGGGTGGAGAGGTGACAGCAGAGGAGTCGGAGCTAGAGGCGCGGCACCAGGTTAGCAAGCAGCGGCGTGGCGCGTTTACAGGGCTTCATAGAGCTACGAGGCGCATGCTTTTGGTGTGCGACCAAGCTCCATAGGAGAGCTCCCTAGCATTCCTCGAAAATTGGGTTAGGAATGTGTGCGACAGGGACGTATGCGGGCGGAAGCCGAATGCTTGCTACTCTTCGGTTTTCCGCCGCCTTTCTTTGCATAACCGACCTCTCGTCCTGGCGATTACCTTGGCATGCAGCGAAGCCTGGCGGCTGCGCGGGCGGCGTTTGAGGAGGTCGCGGTTGGTGATGAGGGCATTCGCAAGGCTCATGAAGCGCGTTGGATGTCGGCGGTAGCCAGCCGCTACAAAGACCTTCGCGGCCGTCGCTTGGCGGAAGCTGCAGCGGCAGTCAACGAGCTGCTTTACAAGGGCGCAAATGACGTTGCGCAGGTAACCTACACGCATTACTTAAAAAAGCTAGGTTTGCGTGCGCAAAGCCGAGGTCTCTACTCACATCGGCGAGTCCTTTCTTGGCGGTTCATCAGATTAAGTTTGGCGGCTCCGGGCTCTGTACGTCTTTAGTTAGTTCACGACAACACTGTGCAGGTTACCCTTCTTGTAGTAAAATGCGGCTGCAGGCAAAGTCTCGACATCCATTGCGAACCTGAACCTGAGACTGCACTTGCAGGCGGTGCGCGGAGGAGCCGATTTGTCGGCCCTGCAGCAGCGGATCACCGCCTTTGTGGCAGCGTATGAGAAGGCTGCGACAGGACCGACCAAATGGCACAAGCTGGCTGCATTTCTGGTGGAGACCTGGCCAGCAATAGCAACCCAGGTGGGCAACGTTGCCAACTTCCTCGGGCTCGCTTTCCTCTGGGTGATTTCCTTTCGATATATGTCAGCGGATGCGCTGGCTGCTTAGACTGCTGGGAGGCCAAACTTCTGCCGTCATCCTCGTGTGCATGTTTCGGGATACGCCCTCAATTTCGGTATGCGCCGGCAATGGAATGCACCCGGGCTTCACGAGTACCTGGTATGGTATTGTACTGGATTTGAGCTTCCCATCTATCGTCGATCTCCATTGTCCAGGTGCTGGATCGGCAAGCTGCCGCCGCGAAGGCCGCCTTGGAGGCGGTACAACGCGAGGCGTCGGATATGCGCACCCAGTTGTCGGGAGAGCGGCAACGGGCAGACCAGGTGGGATCGGCTGGGTTTTTATATGATGGCCGCCTCGGTAGAGGGTCCCCACAGGGTTGGCGCTCGCCAAGAGGATTGCCTGACACAAGAGGTCCCAGCCTGTGTGTCATACACAGGCTGATCAGGTTCCCACGTACCCTGCAACCTTACGATTTGCACTGCTGCCTTTCCTCTCGCTGCAGGCGGAGCGGCTCCACCGCGACGCCTCCAGCACCGCCAAGTCGCTACAAGAGCAGCTCGGCATGGCACAACAGGAGATGGTACGAGTGCGGGCTGCTCTGGAGCAGAAGTCGAAGCAGCTGAGCGAGTTGCAGGAGGATGCGACAAGGTTACGGGGGGCCCTTGAGCAGAAGTCTGGTACCGCTGCGAACCTGCAACAGCAGTTGACCGACGCGCACCGCGAGCTGACCCAGTTGCGGACGGCTCTGGAACAGAAGTCGGGCTCTGCTGCCAGCCTTCAGAAGCAGCTGGCAGAGTCGCAGCGCGAGCTGACACAGGTGCAGATGGCCCTGGAACAGAAGTCGAGCTCTGCTGCCAGCCTCCAGAAGCAGCTGGCAGAGTCGCAGCGCGAGCTGACACAGGTGCAGACGGCCCTGGAGCAGAAGTCGGGCGCTGCTGCCAGCCTCCAGAAGCAGCTGGCAGAGTCGCAGCGCGAGCTGACACAGGTGCAGACGGCCCTGGAACAGAAGTCGAGCTCTGCTGCCAGCCTCCAGAAGCAGCTGGCAGAGTCACAGCGCGAGCTCACACAAGTGCAGACGGCCCTGGAACAGAAGTCGGGCGCTGCTGCCAGCCTCCAGAAGCAGCTGGCTACCACACAGCAGGATGTGACGCAGTTGCAGACGGCCCTGGAGCAGAAGTCAAGTGCTGCTGGCAGCTTCCAGCAGCAGCTCGCAGAAGCACAGCAGGATGCGGCTCGACTGCGAGCAGCACTGGACCAGAGGTCAGCGAAGGTAAGCATGCAAGGCGCTAGCAGTGCGTCATCTCGGCCAGCTAAGCGTTTCCAATTTGGGCGCTTGGGCTGGGCTACTCGGATGCTCTCGTGGGCATTCAACCCACATTTGTTGCTGGAGCATGACACTTGGATCTGTGAACCTGTGCAGGTAGCGGCCCTGGAGGCACAGATGTCCGAAGTCCTGCTGGTCAGCGAACGTAAACAGGTGCATCACGCGCGGCGTCACACGGTAGAAAGTCATCGTCCATGACCCCTTGCGCGCATGCGTGGAGCCTTTAACAGCAGAACTCGAATTAGGTGTTGTATTAGTAAGATGGATGGCTTTCACACCTCATTTGGCTAGCTTCTGGTATGACTCGCCACAACTTCATCGCGGTCCTGAGTCAAGCTGTGTCCTTAACCCCCCGCACCGCAGGCCGGCGCTGTGGAGTTGGCGGACGCACGGGTGCGTGCTGCTCAGAACGAGCTCCAGACCAAGGTTGCCGAGATGACGGTGAGATGGTTGCTGGGTCCCTTCTCCTGTCGTCTTTCCTGCATAGCCGTACATTGAGACCGGGCCACACCCACCCTGGGTAGCGGTGGTCGGGGGAGCGCATGAAGCATTGCATTTTCACCAGGTTCTTGATGCGAACTCTTGTTATGAAGTGTGCGACAAGCCTGTGACCCGAGGGCTTTGGGTCAGTTTATATTCGTTCATGTGTTTCCATGATCAGCTCAGTTACATACGGCAGCGCCCCCTGCTGCCTCTCTGTGGCTGTAGGCGATCTTGACGGCCGAGCGCGCCCGCGGCGATAGCCTGTCTGCGGATCTTGAGGGTCTTGCAGCACGGTGCAGCAGCGCGGAGGGCCGGCTCGCAGCACAGGAGGCGGAGGCCAGCGAATGGCGCAATAAGTACATGCGTGAGGCGTCGACCAAGCTGGAGCTAATGGGCCAGCGGGACGAGGTATGTTAGCAGCATGCAGATTATGTCAATGTAGATAGCGCATGCCATACATTCCATGCACCCGTTTGCTGGGAAGCCGAATGCACGTATTTGCCCTTGCTTGTGCTATCTTGCGCCTAATCGCATCCCAGTGATTCTGTTGCACAGCATGCTTGTATTAGAAGAAAAAATGAGGTTGTGGTGCGATGCTTGGCAGGCGCGTGACAGTCTTCAACTACTCATGGTGGAACGTGATAGCGTGGCGCGGGAGCGGGACGCAGCACGGGCAGAAGCGCAGCAGCTGCGCGCTGACCTGCAGGTGAGGTGCTGTTGCAGTGACGACGGTGCGCACCTACGAGACTTGACAGATTATTATCTTGTTGGCGGCGATGCACTGAAACTCGGGAGACGCCCAGCGTGACGAGAGACGAATGAATAGGACCTGGAGGTGAAGGGTCGGTCCTGTTTAGTGGGTGCTAATGGTCATCAAATAAGGAAAGAATGTGACGACCCCACAGTGTATATTTAGCAACGTTAGCACGTTTGTTAATTCAAAGCTGCCCGATTGTGGCCTGTGGCAGTAGCATAAGATGTCACGCATGCCAATGCGCCGAGGTGTTTCACCGGCCTAAGCGCCGAGATACCTTCTGTGTACATGCCGTGCCAATCCATGTTCCTGCCCCGTTGCTGCTGGCATGCATGCCCTTCGAAGGCCGAGACTCAGGTCAAGGAGTCCCTTCAGGTAAGGTCTGTCGCACGTAGCGGGTTTGCTGCGTGTCGTTGTAACTCTTTTGGACGGTTTTAAAAGGCGCATGACTTACCAACATCCGATTTTCTGTACAGAATCAGATGGATGGGTACATCGCGGAGGCGCAGGCCGCGCGGGCACAGACCGTTGGCGCTGCTGGTGTCTCTTACGGTATCGGCAACGACGAGAGTAAGTATCCTCGGCTTTGGCCTTTCCTAATCGAAAAAACGTCCGTCGACTTTTTTGGTGTGCCCTCCTGCATCGGGCTTGGTTCCCTTCACGTCTCTCGCTAATTAGCGCTGTAGCAGACCTGGATGGCTGAGGCATTGGCACTGGGTGGTGCACTTCAGCGCAATTCCTTCTGGAAGGGTGCTAGTTACTGCAGGCGCGCAGCCTAAGTCCAACCTCCTCGGTGCCTGCGCAGTCGGTACATGTTCTTGCTGTCGCACCTGTAAACCCACGTGCTTGCTCCTGCGATACCGCGTGCAGACTCCTATCCGACGGGTGGAACCGGTGGCGGGCGCGTGCTAGTTGAGGGAGGGAACATCGCCAAGATGACGGTGCAAGAAATTAAAGATGTGCTGACGCAGGTGAGTCAGGAAGTGGCCGTCTTCCTTGCTAAATTGCTGCTAGTGGATTGCAGTGTCCGGTTTAATCGTAAATGTCCGCTGAAGGTGCCCAACTGGGGTCATTTCAACAGCGTGAGGTCTTCCTGGATTTGGGATTTTTCGTGGATCATCGGTGCTTGTTTATTACTCGACTACCCCACATGATTTATGTACTGCCCCACATGATGCTTCCTAGTAGCAGCTTAGGATGGAGTTCTGCACCTAACTAAATGGCCTATGCCTTTTGCTCTGCTGAAAACATGCAACAGGCTGGCTACCAAGAAGATGTTTGGGCGATGACGAACCGCAAGCCCGCGCCGAAGAAAGCGGATTGGATCGCGCTGCTGGAGCGCCGGCAGCAGGCAGCGTCCTAAGATCCCTGACCATTAGGTTTAGGATGTCCTACCTTTATATTGCGTCGATGCATGATGCACTGTCCTTTCACTTGGTTGGGTTCAACAGCTGTCGTAACAACTGTTCAAGATGTACGTTGGCCGATGGGGTAGGGTCGTTATAAATTACGCATTTTCTGATAGCTCTCTTTCTTTCAGGTGATTCAGCATGCGGTTAGGGTAGCTTGTTGTTATGGCCCATGCCTAATGTTTTGAGTGTATTACCGGGCCGTGCTTTGCGTCGGAATTGGCCTGATGATTCATTACGAGCATCGCTATTGGGGCTTGCCTCTCCTCAGCCGTCTGTATGGCAGCGCTTTCCCACGTGCACTGTTGTTTGCAACGCTCGCGGCGCTTGAGACGGCTTTGCTTTTCGAGTTTGCGCCGAAGTACGTGACTATGGCACTTAAAAATCCTACAATATTCCAGATTTTTGGCTTCGTCGTGGGCTTTGCGCTGGTGTTCAGGCAAGACCAAAGACACGTGCAACATGCATGTGTAACGCTTTTCCGTTCCTTATGGTATATGGTCTTTCCTTTTAATAATTCTTACACTTAATGGTAATACATATAATCTGGTGTTCGCACCATGTTAACCGAGTTCACCTTGTGCACTGAGCTGAACAATCCAAGGGAGGGAGGGATGGATGCCCTTGCAGGAGCAGTCTCAGTTACAACCGGTTTTGGGAAGCTCGAACGATGTTGCAAACTTTATCTGGAAGGCTATCTTACTTTACGATTGAGGTGCGCCAAGGGCGGCCGTGAGGGGAAGTGGACTTAGGGAAGGTAGGCAGAACCCTACCTAGGGTTGCGCAGCCCTAGGGTTCGTTGCGAGCCTAAGCCGTTGGCGCAAGTTTGCACGTGTGCGCCCAAACCCCCCAAATTCCCGGCCCTGAATGCGGCGCCGCTCAGGAAACAAGTATCATGTCAGCTAGTCAATTTCAAATCGCAGACCATCGCCGCCGACTTGGGGAGTATGGACCATGAATCCGCCTCGCCTGAGGAGAGGAGGGCAGTTCACAGGTCAGTCAGGCGCCTCCTGGTACACCATCTCCCTCCCAAGGCATGCTGCGATGGATCACCCTGTGATAAGGCCTCGTATTGTACTCCTCGGGCATCGTCCTTGTCTCCTGGAGCGAACTATTCTACAGTACCACTACCTGGGGTCCCCTCCTCGACGTGGCCGATGGCGGAAGCATCTCACGCTACTACTACTACTACTACACGCCGCGGATCGAAGATATTTATGACTAAATGAATGATGTTTCAATGGGTCCTATCAAATCACTGCCGGTGCTGTCCACATCCAAGCATCCAAGCAGTGATGTAGGTGCTAACCAACGACCATCATCCGGGCTCCAAGCTGCGAAATAACTCAGGATGCCATGGGCCATGCCATGGCCTCATCTTCTACACAGCTTTCTTCCATTCCAAGAATTGGGTTTGTTTCTATCCTGGCTTTTGTTGACGGTGGGCGCCTCGTCCGGGGTTCCCCAACTGTTTCATTCCCTTTCCTCCTCCCCCTCCTACCTGCGCCCCACCTAGATTCCACAATGAGTTGTTGCATCTGGTCAGCCTGATGTACGCACTAATGATCAAGCACCTGCGCCAAGACTTTGACCTGTCCACCGTCTACACACATGACATGGCCGGCAAGCCGCCGTACATGGTAGGTATGTAGGTAGAGCGAGCAGGGCGCTGTGCCGCAGCGCGTCTTTACGTTGGGCTGGACAGAAAAGCGCCCCGGTAGCTGAGATGTCTCGAGAGGGGAACCTCGGAAAAAATCGCCAAGATCCGAACCCGAAACGTTGGTCGTGTAATGGCACCCTGCAGGATTCGAACGTGGGTGTTCACGGCTGGAGCCGCTGGGAGGTGTTCATGGCTCGTGTCTTGGCGCTTAACGACCTCTTTAAAATCCACAACCCGCAGCAGTAAGTAGATTCTCCTCCTAGGCGTTATGGTTTTACGCCTGCGTCTGAGCTCATGGCCAGTGCTGGGGCCGCCTGCCAATCCACTCCTGGTCCCCACAACCGCCTGGGCCAAGCCTTGGACCCTCGCCTGCCGTCAAAGCCTCCTACCCTTAATAACTGCGGCTTTTTTCCGGGTGGTCTGGATGCTATGGTGCATGGTTGGTACCTGGGGTGTCTTTTTTTGCAAATCCTATCTGCAGGCAAGCCGAAATCCCGGTGATAGGAGGGCTGCGGGACGAGGAGTGCGTGCGGTTGGCAGACCTGGTGCCCACTCCGGCAATGAAGGGTACGGATCTTTGGTCACTCTGTCAAATCTGTCAAATCCTGTATTATCACGTAATATCTGCTTGGAAAAGGGGCAGGGAAAGGAAAAGAAGAGCGTCAAGAATCTTAAAGCGCTTTTCCCAGGGAAAATGGAAACGAGGCCCGCTGCGACTTGTCAACACCGCGACCACAGCCATGGCCACAGCGAGCCGCACATGTCTGCTTGTAAAGGGTTGCGTTCCTTAGCACGAGACGGAGACGCCTCCGAGCGGTGAGGGACCCCGTGTGGAGTAGGCCAGGCGTAACGATGTGTGTGTGTGTGTGTGTGCTCCGTGTGGTTACGTTGGATAGGCGGACATGGAGTCCTCGGGAAGCGTTGGGGCAACATTCTGGTCTTGGCTTGTGCGTGTTTTTCGCTGGAAGGTGCGGCCCATGGCCCCATCCGCACAGCCCTTTCCTAACCGCGGTGATTGCAAACCGGCGCCCGTGTGCTCCTTGGCGGCGGCGGCAGGTCGCGGTGCAGCCGTCAACGGCGCGCGGCCGTACGCGGTGTTTGCACTCATTTACCAGCTTTACATCAGGTAAAGCGCGCACCACCGTTTCTGCCTGCCGTGCGCTGGCCATACCGTGTAGTTCTTCAGCGACAGATTGGGGCTAGGGGGTGCAGGGGGTTCTGGCGGGTGGTTTCGCATGGTTTCAAGTAAGCATATCTACCAAGTGCAAGCCGCATGTGCCGAACTATGAGATGTTTGTTCGTCGTACCCGGCCCGGTGGCGCCTGTGGGGTGTACGACGCCAGGAAAGCGCTACTTATCCATTTCTCCATGACCTCTAAACGCGTTACGCCCCGAGTGGCGTGCACTGATGAATTTCCTTTTTTCCTTTCTCCTCCTTCAACTCCTCAACCTCCGTCTCCTCTTTCCAGGCGCATTAAGGAGGGTGGCCTGCAGACGCACCCGCCGCTGGTGGCGAGGCTGGGGGGCATAGCAGAGGAGGGCATGGCAGCATTTGGGCACTGTGCCAAGCTCGCGAACACCCAATTTCCCTTCGCCTGGGCCCAGGTAGTTGGGCGCGTGTGGTCGCAGATCACTATACACTTCAGGCCTGGGTGGGCTGCGAAGCGAAGAGACAGCGGAAGGTTCTGTCCTGTTCTGTTCTCCCAAATGCTCTCTCTCGAACTCTTTGACGGCCTTCATGCGCTTTGAACGTTTTTGGAACCGTTTTACTTTTCTCCTTTCAAATTTTTCTTCAGGTGGTCATGGCTTTCCTAGCAATTATGATGTTGCTGCTGCCTTTTGTGGTGACCAACTTCGTTGAGGAGCTGTGGATGGGCGTCGTACTGTCGTTCGTTGTCGTACTAACGTATTGGTCACTGAACGAGGTGGCATCGGAGATGGAAGACCCTTTTGGCTTTGGTGAGTCGTGATGTCAAGAGGCTGCGTTCGTTCTATCTCCCACACGGCCGCGCCCCTGTACCAATTTTGTTCCATCCGCCTCCTTTCTTTAGCCGTCACCCCACTTGCTCTGATCCGGGACTTACGGCTCGGATGCGTGGCATCCTCTCATCCGGCTTTGGATGCAGCCCCCAGTCCGCCCGCCCGTCCATGCATTGAGGGGTGTCGTCTGAACTCCTTTCGGAGAATTACTCATTTTGGAGAATTACTCACTCAAGGCCGGGCGAACAATTGAGGCGAACTATTAACGACCTAATGAAACAGCAGAGACCCAATGAAACTGCCTTCTTTCCGTTCTTCCTCCTTTCCTTTCCTCTTAGCAGCACCGCGAACTGCCTCCCTATTTCCAACACCAATGCCGCCCCCTTCGCCCCCTTCCCTCCTTTCCCCGCGTTGCCGGCAAAAGACCCCAACGACCTGCCTCTGGCCCGATATGCCTTCGATTTTAATCAGGTGGAATGCGGGGGTTTCAAGTTCACATTTGACTTCCTCAAGTCTTGGGGATGGTCACTGGGATCGGGCGCGGAGGACAGGGTGGAATGCAAGTTGTGAATGAGGCTAGGCCCTTGCATATACATGGACGTCAGGGTCAAAAACCCCCAGGCCGGCTCTGCAGCCTGGATGCCAAGTAGTTCTCGCCACATCGGTTGTGGGGCCGTAGGTCCTCTTGGGGGCCATGCCAAGGCATGTGAACCCTCCTCTTTCATCTGTGAGTGAGTTAAACACGTAACATTATAACCATCGCCATGAGGACTGACTTCAGCCACAGAGACAGATGCAATCGGTTTCGGCTATTCCAAGCAGGTCCGGTTTCTCGAGCACCTCGAGCCGTACCGCCTCTCCTGGCATGAAAGCTCCTTTCCCCCCTCCCTCCCTGCCTCCCCCCCACTGGGCCCTTCCCCCCTCCTGCCGCCCTCCCTCCCCCCCTCCCTGCCGCCCTCTGGCCCCTCCTCGCTCCGACGGTTCAGGGCATACTGGTTGCTGTGCATCAATTGCGGCCACCGTACTTTGACGAGCTTGACATCGTAAGTCGGCACTGAGTGGTCATCGCTCAATTGGTCGTTGGCAGTAGTGTGCTGCTGCATAATTCACCTCTGGCGGACATATGCACTAGGCCGCCTTGGAGGCTGTAACGCCTGGAGGCAGTCTTCCTCCGCTGCCTTCCGGGGAGTCTTCCCCTCCGACCCGTGAAGCTTAGGCGGGAGATGAAGTGTAGCCGCGTTTTGTTCTCCTCAAATGCCCCCCGTAAGGATGACGTGTGTGGGGGGGCGTATGTGTATGTGTATGTGTATGCGTGTGTCTGTCCCCGGAAATGATTGTGAAGGGGCTTTGCGGTATGCACCCTTGAGGTCTGCACATACAAAAATATCTTTTGTGCCGTATGCGACCTGTGCGTAGGAGGAGGAGGAGGAGAAGGCCAGGAAGGGAAAACAGCAGCAGCAGCAACAAGTGGAGGTGTTGATGCAGAAGCCCGCCAGCGGCAAGGCGGCCCCAGGGAAGGCGTCCTTGGCGGAGTTTTTCTCCGCTGGGGGCGGTGGTTTCGGAGGCAGCACCTGTGCCGTCGCCAGCGCAGACGGATTCAGCCACCCTGCCACCTCGGGCACGGGCCATGTCACGACGGCGGCTTGCTATGGCTGCAGCCATGGTGGTGAATACGGCGGTATTCCTGGCGGGTCCACAAGCGAAATCGACGGCGGCGGCGGCGGCGGCGGCAGTAGCAGCCACCCCAGACCACCGGATGCTCTTCCCCCAACTCCTCTGTATGCCGGACCGGGGGCGCCCTCGGACAGTCCTCGCCCCTTTTCAGCGAGGAGTTCGCAGCAGCAGCAGCAGTCGGCGCCGGGTACTACTGCACGCATGAGGTGCAGTTATATGTCCTCTGCAGTCTTTCTCAATGATAATTCTGTGCAAATGTAAATGTAGCAAAATGTGACGGCCTGATGAGCAAACTGCTGGTTCCATCCGCATCAGTGTACAGCAGGCATTTCATTTCATTGCATTGCATTGGGCGAAGTATTGTACTTTCCGAGGTTCGAAGGACCTCGCCCAATGCGGCTCATCCCCCGTGGTGCAGGTGGGCCCCCGGGGAGACCAACATCAACAGCAGAGTCACCAGTAGAGTCGCCACAAACACTGCGAACACCAACACTGCGAATACCAGCATGAGGGGTACCACAAGCGGCAGTGCCGGCAGCAGCAAAAGCAGTGGCAGCAGCAGTGGCGCTGGTGATGGTAGTGGTGGTGGTGGTGGTGGTGCCCAGGCGGCTCAGGGCGCCACGGACGGCGCACCGTCACCTCCTAATCCGGGATTGCGAGCACCCGCAAGCACAGACTCGAACCTGAGCCGGCCGGGATCTGCGTCTGCAGTGCCCCCCGCCGTAACCCACTCCAAACCCGTATCAGTGCCTGGCATGATGGTGCTAGATTCTGATGCTAACCTTGCAAGGATGGCGGCAGTCAGAGGCGGAGGTGGTTGCAGTGGCAGCAGCGCCGCCGTTGCTCAGGACACCTCCACAGGGAGTCTGTCCGCGACTCCGTTCAGCCGCCAGGCGAGTGGCATTCGGTTGGACTCAATGGGGGAATCCCGTAAGAGCACCCTTCCGCTTCTGAACAACTGACCCATGGGTCGGCCGTCGTGCCTATTCATCTGCCTGTCGACTGCCTGGCATCTGGCTGGCTGCCTGTCGACTGCTGGTGGTGAAAAGCGATGGAGGTAGAGGCCGAGATTAAAGTATGTGGAGGGAAGGGCTGGAATATGGGAGTATGGGATGTTGTGTTGCGCTCTCAGCGCTGCGCCGGCCGGCAATAATGGAGCATAAGGTCCTGTAGCACAGGATGATAAATGGCTAATACCAGGAATACCATACTATTTTTATCACAAACCCAGCCTGAAGTAGGCAACCAGAAGTCGAACAAAAAGAAGTTCGGCAGTCATGCAGTTGTAAGCAAAAGCAGTGTTAAATTGAGCCAGTCAGGAGAGGTGGGTAGGTAGGCTTAGGACCTGAGATACAGTGTGGGCAGATTTCCCTTGCGACCATGTAGCCTAGGAAAGGTATGCAGGTACTGAAAGTCCTAGGTCATGATAAGGGTGGGGCATGCTTAAGGGTAGGGCATGAAAGAAAGAGAAAGAAAGAGAAAAGTCAGTGAGGTGGCTGGAGAGGTATAGATGTTATGGATAGCGAAAGTGCGGAGACTGAGGTGGCGATGGATGGCGATGGATGGCCACGGGCGGCACCATCAGCACGGCCGGTGCGCAATGCCCGTCATGCAGTTGTGTTGTTAGCGTAGCTTAGCGGTCAGCTTTCATTATGATTACATTTTGTATTCGGTGAAAAGGTAAGTAACAGCGCTATTCGGATTGGTGACGGCATTGGTTAGTAGTAGGTACTTTTTCCGGGTCAAGTGATGGACTGTGCGTGGTGTAGTCCGCATGGTGGCGAGACTGGGCTCGCAGTTAGTTGCAGTTCGTTCGTTAGTTAGTTGGGCTCTATTGTAGTGCCAGTAAAGATTGGTGACATGCGAAGCTTTTGGCATGAGAGTAAATGTGGGAAAGTGCGAGGTGTTGTATTTTCATCATGACCCGGAGGCACGTAAGGCTATGCACGTTTTGGGTTCGTACGGGCTTGTTACCATGAGTGTGAGGGAGGCTACGGGACACGCGCTCAAGAGTTTACCTTGGAAGGAGCGCGCACGATATTTGGGCCTGCATTATGGATCGGGTACAACTTTCGAATCGTGCACAGATGAGTTGTTTGCATCAGGCAAGAAGGCGCTCTTCTCGCTGGTTAGTAAGCTTAAGCGACAAGGGTTTTTTGTCCCAGCTGTTGCGGTGAAAGCGTTTGATGCCCAGGTTTTGTCTATTCTGTCGTACGGGGTACAGGTTTGGGGCCCGTTAAGGGTTCTGGACATCCTGGAGCGCGGTTACCCTAGCAGCCAGGAACCACGATCGTGTTACTTTGAGATTACACTGCAGGACAGGATGGTGGAACTGCAGAAGAACTTCCTGAAGCAGTTGAGTGGTGCTGGCTTGCCAACAAATCGGCTACTATTCAGAGAGTTGGGTCAATACCCTTTGCAAGTGCATTGGGCAAACCTGATGTTTCGTTTTTGGAACAGGTTGGTTGAGGCAAAAGGTTCTGTGTACCACCATTGCTTTCGGGAGGAACTGCGGTTGGCATTATCATCTGGCATGACGTATGATGGATGGGGAGCGAAAGTCCTGAAGATCCTTGAGTTGATGGGTCATAACGTGCGGACGGGTGTGGACGACTCAGGCGACATTGAGGTCAAAGTTGATGCTCTGGCGACACGTTCACTAGATGTAGGCCAGTTGATCTGTGAACTTCGGAGCCGATTTGATGATGACTGGGAAAGTGAGCGGTTGACAGTGGATCCAGCTTTGTTTGTTTCAGATAATAGGCAACCAGGGGTAAAGATGTGTCGCTATAAGCATTGGATGGGTTTGCCCAAGCATGGCAGCGGCTATATCTCGCCAAAACAGCACGTCACGCGGATGCGATTCAGGATGTGTGTTTGGCCTTTGGCGGTTAATCGACCGCACGGTAGGGAACGGTCTGCCCGGTGGTGTCGGGTCTGTGGGAACCGGCAAGCTGTTGAGGATGAATGTCATGTGCTGCTAGATTGTCCTGCGTATGCGAATATCCGTTTGAAGCTTTTGGACCTGGGGGTTACTCCTGGAGACCGCATGATCGAGCTTATGGGCGTCAAGGATCAACGCGGGTTAGCGCACGTCCTGGACGACATTAGAAGATGCAGGTTGCAGTACGTTGAAGATTAATCAATCTGTTATTGTTGGGTATGGGCATTTTTCTTTTTAAGTTCTTGTTTCCAGTTCGGCAGTTCATGAGCCTTTTGGCTCGTCTGGACCGTACAAGCTTGAAGCTTGTAACAAAAAAACATCAAAAACGTGGTGACAGAAATTCTGGTGACAGCCGTCCTGATGTTTCGCGATGATTCTTGCAATTGGTGATGGCCCAGAGGTAGGAGTATTGGTTCACATTTTGGCCTTGCCTGAGCACCATGTTCACAGTCACAAAGCTAGCGCAGTGAAGGCCGTTCCAGGGCATAAGCAGTAAGGTGTGTGGGACAGGGGGTCATATCTTCACCCTGGGGCCGCTACCCGGCAGACCCTGCCTTCCCCGGTACTTCGGGGCACCCTCATCTAGTCACCCTAGCGGACTTCTCAGTGGATCGCTCAGGTTCCGCACCCACAACCGCTGTGTGCATGTATGCATGTATGCATGTGTGGCTTTCGGGTAGAGTATTGCCCCAGTGCATTACACCATCAAGCAAGTCGAGAGAGTGTGGAGGTTAGGATGGTTAGGTGGTTAGGCGGAGGATCATCATCCGCCGTGGGCAGATCACTCAGTCTTGAAGACGTTTGCGGGTGGCCCACTTTACAGTGGTGTGGGGTTGGGGTGGATAGCACGCACTCACTTTCACGGGTAGTTGGAAGGAAGCGAAGATGCGGATGTTAGGGGGGAAAGATAATGTGCTGTTGCGGGAGCTGAGCTGTTATGTTTAGGGAGACGTAGCTAAGTCTTGTTTTTGCAAACCATTTTTTTGCTAAATATCACATCTCTTGCTAAATATCGCACTAGCGGATATTAACTGGTTTAGGTGCGACGGAGTGAAGCGATTGGAGCGTCTGGTTCTGTGCGACTGTCGTAAAACCGTGATGAGTGGCGAGCATTCGCATCAGGCATTCTGCATTCACTTAGTAAGTAGAGCTTCGGCTTTTGTAGCTGCTATGCCCTTGGCAGCTGGTCCCCACTCCCATTCGTCACTCTCTCACAGCACGTTCTCTCTGGTCAGCTTCAGCAGGTCCACGAGATTAAAGTAAAGGTAAACAGGAGCACAGAAAGTATAGCGTCGGTTGGAAGGTCTGTAGCTAGTATAGCTAGAAGTGTTGGACGTTTTGGCCTGAACATTAATCAAGAGCCACAACAGCCGCAGCCACCCTGGCGGCCACGGCCGATGCAGCCGCAGCCGCAGTAGCTGCAGCAAACCAAAGCCCAAGTACAAAAGCCAGGTATCCCAGCACAAGCTGTTGGAAATGACCGACACTCATACACCAGAGGATGGTAACAACAGCAATTATAGGACCCAGAAGGGGTCCGGCGCGTTGCTGGTCTTAACACAAGCCTCAGCCCCAGCCCACCCAAAAATCGCACCTTTCACCGCTGCCCTGCGACCTGTGCTACGAGCTTATTTCATAAGCACACTTCATTCCATCGACATGTACAAAATTGCCTCAGCCCCAACGCGCGGTGGACTCGGAACTAACGTACTAGAATTGAGACCGTAAATGGAGGAGGTGGAAGGCCTATTCCAGGTCAAAACCTCTGCCGAAGAGACAGGTGCCCATGCGTCGAAGTCAATTTTTGATGTGTATGACAAGCACTTGCAAGGCTCACGAAAAAACAGAGCCACAAACAACGACAGATTCCATCCCAACCCTCAGGAAATCATACGAAAAGGCGAGCTCTTCCGCTTTAGAAGCCAATATCACTCGAGCGGTCAATGGATGTCACACAACACTCCAGCGTGTTTCATCAGCAAGCCCCTTTTTCCATTCAAGAAACCCTCAAACCCCAGTGGCCCCAACATACATACATACATACATACATACATACATATATACGCCGCTGCCCTGATGCTCCATTGATGTGCGACGTGATGCTTTATGCTCGCGTGTGTGTGTAGTACTACCGGCTTTACCGCATTCAGCAATCCTTGTCATGCATCGCATGCAGACTCCAGGAGCCGTTGCCAGCCCCCCCCACTGCCTCCGCGTATACAGCCTCCAGCCCCCAAGGGACGTTTTGCTGCTCACTTCCTCCTTTTTCAGCAGTTGGTGATGCTGCGTTTTTTTGTTACCACAAACAATTGATGCGCACCGCGCGCGAGAGATGTAAGTTGTCCCTCGTCTCCCGTCCCTTTCCAGGCCCTTCCCCCTTTTTCCCCTGTTAAACACCGCCATCCTGCGTGCCCTCACCCTCCTCCCCGTCTCCCTCCCCTCCTTCCGCCGCCTCAGCCGCCTCCGCCTGTTCCACTACTGTGGCCACAATCGCTGCGGCGTCCGGCATCCACGGGTAGGAGTACACTGCTGCCTTGACGAACTGCAACACCGACAATGTGCGACCGAACAGAAAGCCCCGCAGCAGCAAGTGGGCGGCCTTCTCACGTCGCATGCTGCGCTGAAGAGCCTGCAACAATGTATAAGCAGATACATACAAATATGATGTGTGGGGCAGGGGGGCCATATCTTCACCCCGTGACCTTGCCTTCCCCGTATTTCGGGGCACCCTCATCTAGTAACCCTAGCCAACTTCTCAGTGGATCGCTCAGGTTCAGCACCCACCACCAGCATCCAACGGAGTCGGCCGGATCAACGGCGGCTCAACTCCATTCCTGATCAGCTCGCAGGCCAACTTTACCCCAGGTCAACACCGTCCATCAACACTAGGGGCACTTCTACCTTCCACCATCGGAAGGATTTTCCAACTCCTAAGTTGAGGCGCCGTTGATCCGTTAGATTTGGTAGGATGCTGGTCGTGAGTTGCTGAAGTCGGATGGGGTGATTGGGTTAGGGTGCCCCTCTATCAGGGGAGAGCAGGGAACTGCCTCGGGAAAGGGGCCGCTGGTGAAGCTATACCACCCTGTAACAACATACATACAGAGCTCATTACGCATGAGAAGCTCAGAAGAGGTGCTTAAGCAGAACGGTTGGGTTGGGTTAGGTTGGGGTTCGCACCACCCATACAGTCACCCCCACCCACTTCCACCATCAGCCCCCACGTGCCCGCGAGGTGGGGCACATTGGCACACGCACTCAAAGTTCAGATCTGTATGTCACGTCCTTTCGCGAAAACCCTAAACCCCAAAAAACCCCTTGAAGAAAATAGAAAATACTCGGAAGTTACTCGGTATAGACTCAGGTTTAATAGAGTTAGTTATACTGACTCCTTTATAACTTTCTTCGGATGTCTGTTTGATACCAGAATTAACGACTTCTTGGCAACTCCCCCCTACCTGCAGCACCTCGCACTCGGGTGACACCGTCAGGTGCTTCATGGCCACCCGGATGTCCGCCACGGAGTCGTGCAGGTGCACCCCCTCCGCCAGCCGCATGTTGATGGCCTTGCGCTCAGCCAGTACGGCAGACATGATGTCGGACACGAGGCGAAACACAGCACGCAGCTCCCGGATCTGGTCGGGGGAAAGCTCTAGGGTGCGTACGACAGCATGCCAGTGGCTGGGATCGGGGGCCGTCAGGACCTCCGTTTCCAGGTGCGTCTGGTGGGTGAGGAGGTCGTACAGGTGAGCAGAGCGAAAAGAGGTGAGCAGCAGAGCGACAGAGAGGAGGGGTTGTTAAGAAAGGTTCCCCCCCTCCTCCTCTTCCTCCATGGTTAACAACCAACTTCCCTCCCCTAGCTCCCCCCACATCTCCCCCCCCCGTACCTGTGTCACGACCATCAAGGTGTCGGGGGCCAAAAGGCTGGCATGCTTCAGCATGTGGGTAGCCTCACCAGCCAGCTGTAGTACACTTGCGGCAGCCCGCTCGTCCTGGCCGTTTGACTCCAAGGCCAGCAGCGGTACGGCCACCTCGGACAGGTAGTGCTTCCAACCCGCCATCAGCTGCCCCTTCTGCAGGGAACGAAACCTACGGCCAGGGCGACACAGCGGCACAAGGAGGCGTCATGAGACACAAGGTGATGGCGCCAGTACACACACACACATACACACATAAAAACACACATACACATACATACGCACACATACACACATAAAACACACATACACATACATACGCACACATACACACACGCCGCAGTTGCTCGCAGTTACGCAGCCCGAACTCCCCAAACCTCCCCAAGCGCTGGGGGGCCCCCCAGGACTGCAAGACGGTTCCAGTGTGTTTCAGGTGCCGAACCCTCCCCCTCCCCCTCCCCCCTCCCCCTCCCCCCTCCCCCTGCCCCCTCACCCTCACCCCGCCCCCTACCCCCTCACCCTGCCCCCTACCCCTGCCCCCTCCCCCTCCCCCCTCACCCTCCCCCCTCACCCTCCCCCCTCACCCTCCCCCCTCACCCTGCCCCCTCACCCTGCCCCCTCACCCTCCCCCCTCACCCTCACCCTCCCCCCTCACCCTCCCCCCTCACCCCGCACCCCGCACCCCTCACCTCTCCCGGTCCGCCGCTGACAAATGCCCTCCAGACGCCCTCAGCAGGCAGCTGCAGCTGGACATCCGGAGCGCCTCAACCGCGGTGTAACCACCATTGCCACCATTACCATGTTCATTGCTATCGCTAACACCCGCCGCCGCCACCGCAGCAGCAGCAGGAGCAGGAGCAGCCGTCTCTGCAGTAGTAGCACCACCGGACCATGAGGCGCCGCCGCCGCCGCCGCTGCAGCCACCGGCACCTCCGCGAGTGCCACCTATCCCTACTCCCACTCCAACCCCCCCTGGAGCGGGTGCCTCCTGCGGCGGTGTCCCCGGTGCTGCTGCTGCTGGTGCTTGTGTTGCCGCTGATACTGGTGGTGGCTTTCCTGCTGGTGCCTGTGTTGTGGTTGTTGTTGTTGTGGTTGTTGTTGTCGCTGCTGGTTTTCCAGCTCCCCAGTATTGGGGTAGATCTTCGGGGAGTCCCCGCATCACCTTCAACTGGTAGTCCCGCATCTAGAGGACCGCAGGGAGCGGGGCAAAGGGAAGAGAGAGAGAGAGAGAGAGAGAGAGAGAGAGAGAGAGAAGGGGTGGGGGAACTAATCAGCGAGGCATCGATCGGCTTACGAGAGGTGTGAAGGAAGACGGGGAGGTGCAAGGAGGTTCCCAAGATGGTACGCCGTACTTGTATGACTTTCTCCAGTATTTGGCTCCGAAACTTGAGCTCCTGGTTTTCGAGCATCAGTCGCTTCAAGTCCTGACTCTTCTTGGCTGCTATGGCCTCCAGGTCCTTCATCTGGTGCTGCTGTGGGTGGCGTAGGGAGCAGGGGAAGTTATATTACATGCCAATATGACCTTAGATAGATAAATATACAAAATGCTGTGAAAGGGGGGAAAACGGGGAGGGGGCGGGGGGAAAACGCCATTCGGAAGCAAAGTGCACACGGCGCAGGGGGGGATGCAGGGGCGATGCGAGTCAGGGGGGGGCATCCCGGACAAGGGATTCGTTAGGTGTGTTGAGTGGGTGCAAAAGAGGACGCGAGGAGAGTGCCTTCATAGGCCTGAGGGTACATGTTGGTGGCCACGTGGCTGTGTACATGGCCGAAGGTATGAGTCATGGAAGAATGGCAGAAGGGGGAGCCATTGATTGGGCAACGCTTCATTGTGTGAGAGAGGCGGGAGGGAGGGAAAGAGGGAGGGGGCTACTACCTTGCTCTTTCCGCTGACAGCGTCGCGTGACCGCTTAGATGTGGCATCTCGGGAGGGCTTCACTTGCTTGGAGATCTGGGGCTGTGGCTGCTTTAGTTGCTGTGGCTTCGGGTATTGGCCAGGTGTTGCTGCAACCGGTTGTACAGGTATAGGTGGCCCAGCCCACCCATCCGAGCCTGCCGACGGAAATGCGCTACCGCTGGATCCCCCGCTCCCTTGGGCGTCTGGTTGTTGGAGCATGGAAAATAGGTCGTCGTAGTCGAGCAGAGCATTATCCCCATCGACAGGTGTGAGAAATTGATTTGTGTCAAAATGGAATGTATCCTGGATTGCTGCCTGGTTAAACCCGCCAAATCCGCCCGGATTAGCCATGTACTCGGTCATTCTTTCGGAATATGGCAAAGAGCTACCTGAGTACAGCGCACGTTAAAGTCAAACTACTAACGTGGCACCAAGGTATGCAAGCATAAGTGGAAAGTCTCAGACAACCAGCGTCAGCTCCTCAGAGTATTACGTTGCACTATCCAGGAAAGCCAGTACGGAGGCCACGTGGTGCGGTTTTTAATCGACTCTATTGCCAGTATCTATGCGCTGCATTGCAGATGGACTTCTGCTGGCTCAGCAAGAAAGCGAGTTCCGGTAGTACAGAAACGGTGATAACTGCTATCAGGCAACGAAGCAAGCCGCTTCCTGACCAAGCAGTTGCTTGTGGGCTCCCCTACTTTAATACAAAGCTATGTGCAACTGTAATTAGTATCATCGCAGAATGTTCAAAGATGGACATGCGCGCTGTGTCCTATGGAGGGCAGACTTCCCAAGGGGACTTTGTTACGTTAAGCACTCATCTTCTGCGCCTTGACGACCTGTTGGTATAACGTTATGTGATGTGATGTTACAAGCTCGAGAGAGCTTGTAAGGCCCAGACGAGCCAGGAGTTCTTACCGCGAGTTCTTACGTAGTCAAATAGAACGAAGAAACAAAAAAGGAAAAGAAAAAAGTGCTTATGAAACCCATTCGCGAGAGTAACAAAACAGTAACTAAAGTAAGCGACCTCAGGCGTGCGACCCTCAGGCGTGCGACCTCAGGCGTACGTCGACTCATCCAGATGTTCTGTACGGTTTGCGGAAGCAGTCATGATCATGGCGCGGCCGACCGCCGGGTCGGCTAACTTCCCAAGACCACGCCCCTAAGCGAAACCGCAGTAGTAAGACTTCGCATGGATGTAGCACGTCGTGTGTTTGGGCGTGCCCATCCAATGGGTATGCCGGCACATCTTAACCCCTGGTCTACGGTTGTCCGATACAAATTCCCGGACAAGACGTGGGTTCTGCCAGTAATCATTAAATCGCTCCTTCAACGTTTCCATGACAGATCTGACACGAAATTGACGCCCCCCTCTTCATTCAGGCCCGGGTGCACCTCCGAGAAGTGTCCTAAGCACCTTAGACCCCTTAGCATCATGGCACCCCAGTTGGCGACAATACAATCAGAACGCACTGCAAGACGTATCTCCTCACGCAAAACATGGTGATACACAGTCCCTTTCGCAAGGATAACCCTGTTCCAAAAACAAGAAAACAGGGCCCAGTGAAGGTGGAGGGGCCATTGACCAAGCTCCCTAAACAACACACACGATTGTCCAGACCAGAGAGATGCTAACCCAGAGAGATGCTTCAGAAACGTGTGTTGCAGCTCGACCATGCTATCCTCTAGAGATCTTTCGAAGTAGCAGGACAGCCCTTGTGCATCAGGTGGTCGTTCAACGACCTGGAGAATGAACTCCGGTCCCCACACCTCGACTCCATACGACAGAGAATGGATCTTATTTGCATTTCAAAACACTTGTGTGCTGTAGGCAGAAACAGTTCCTTCCTACGCAACCTGGCTATCAGGGCATGTGTGGCTCGCAGCCCCGCACGAAATAGCTCACCAATGCAGGATTCGAAGGAGGCATCCAGCCCGTAATGAAGCCCGAAACACCTGGTCCTGCTTGCCAACGCACGGCATCTCTTCAAACTGCGCAGTGTTTCCCACTGCTCGCTGCATACCAATCTTTACAAGGCTCCCAGTTCACGCATGCAGAGTTCCATTGGGGTGAAAGTAGGCAACCTCAAATTTACGGGTAAGAATGGTCATGCCAAATGCTGCGCTGCACCCCTCCCTGAGGGCATTAAGAAGGCACATTAGGCGCCGGTAGTTGTGAGCAAAAGCAGATTCAGGTCATCCACTTCTTGATCTACCAGGCGATCGACATCGGTACAAATAACCCTTAGGTTTAATGGCTTCATACTTTTCTATTCCGATGGCGAAGCTGGGACAGAGAGTGCCTGGAGGCGTTAAGAGGCTAGCAGCCCTCCCAGCTCCCTCCATGGCCCGCCTGCCTGGAGGCCTTGTAAGGCTCGCAGGGAGATAGAAGTGAGGTGGGAAACGCAGGAGACCTTACAGAGGTTAGGGGGGATTTCCCCCGTCGCGTCGCTCGGCCCCATCGGTACCCATGGGCGGCTGCGTCGGTCGCTGCTGATCCCACTGCCCTTCTGTATCGCTGCGCTAGCTGCACACATGTCCCCACACATGTGCAGCTGCTGGATCTCCCAAGGAGGACTGCTACTGCTGCTCCTAGTGCTACTGCTACTACCGCTACCGCTACTACCCCTGCAACTGCATCTGCATCTGAAACTACTGCAGCTGCTGCTGCCCCGCCTTCTCTTCCGACCCCAATGCCGTCGTTATCTCCTTTCCCTCGCCCTTCCTTTCAAGCTCCTCTTTCTCTTGCTGCTGCTGGGCCGCCAGGAAAGCCCCCTTCCGCTGCTCCAGCTGCTCAATCAGTTGCCGCAAATCCCAGGCATCCACCACACGGTACGACCCCACCGCCTCGCGGCGCAGCGCAACCAGATGCGCTGCCGTACCCAACGCTCGTCCCATGTCGTACGCCAGGGACCGAATGTACGTCCCCTGGTAACGCAGCGTAGGAAGGCAAGGCAGGTGGATGAGGGGCAAGGAGGTTAGGAGAGAAAGCGAGGCGGAATGAAGAAGAGAATCAGAAAATAAAAGAAATATATAGCACCGCGATAAAAAACGCTGCTTCTTTTTCAAAGCACCTATACATGTACACACATTCCGGGGTTGACCAGCCCGCTGCGCAAATCGTCCGTAGTTCCTAGAACCCAAGGCGTCATGGTTCATGAAAAACTCTTTTCTCCTAAGGAATTTGGCACGTGCAGTAACGGAAGAAACACGACGCACGGCACAATTAGCACACGCAATAAAACACACGGCCCGGCACCGCTCTCTACAGACATACGCTGACTCCCAACCGTTCCCTAGTTTCCCGCGCCTTCCCCCTTCCCCCTTCCCCCGCACGCACGAAGATAAACCACCCACACGCACGCATCCGCCCACCTTGCTGCACGCCACGTAAAAGTTCACTTCTTGCGGATTTGTCTCTGAGCGCCACACCCGCAGGCTGCTGATGGTGACCGGCCGCGCCGGCAGCTCCAAGCTCTGCCCCTCCCTCGCCAACTGGTACAACTTCTGACCGCCCACCTGGATCCACAAAGTCCAATATCCATGTAAATATATAAATCATCACATTCACATCTCACCCCACATCTCCAGTTTCACTATCCTCAGACCGGTAATATACCGTAGTAAGGCCTACTAAACCACAGCCCTAAGAAACCCGCATAGCATCACGTAAGCAAAAGCGAGGAGCAGAACGAGCAGTAGTAGCAGCAGCAGCAGCAGGCCCACATTTGGCATGTCGCCACACAGGCGTCTGGACACTTTCCGCCGCGCCATCGCCACCCCTTCCCCTCCTCTCCTCTTCCCTTCTTCCCCGTCCCCCGGGCCGCCGCCGCCAACCTGCCTTGATTGCGGAAAACATGGGCGGAACCTGCATGATGTCCCCAACAAAGCGAGCTGCCGCCACCTGGAGGTCCATATCTGCGAGATGGTATTGCCGTACATACATATTGCCGTACATACACCACGAGCGCGAAGCGAGTCGCGCGTGAGTATGTATTAATGGTTCGGTGGGGGATATCGTGTGATGATGCATGCAAGAGGGCTAGGGCCTAACTGCCGACGGCCAAAGCACCCGCTGCTGCTGCTGCGTCCAAAGCCATCACGAGAATGTATAGGTGGGTGGGGCCCGGACGAGACCCCGTGATGCGTGATGAGTGATGCGCGGGCGGAATGAGCCGTGTGTAATTGCTGCTGCTGCTACTGCTGTTGCTACTGCTGCTGTTGCTACTGCTGCTGTTGCTACTGCTGCTGTTGCTACTGCTGCTGCTTAGGATGACATGCCTTTGCCATTGCTGCCGTAACTGTTACGACTGCTTCGTTTCTACGCTGCTGCTGCTACTGCTGCTCCGGTTTTTACTAAAGCGTACCCGTCGCCTAACTGGTTTCCCTCAGCAGCCAGCAATTCCCCATGCTACCCCGCAATCCTCCATCGGGGCTTCTTCAGCCACTGCTTCATCTTTAACTTGCCTGTCACGTGCTCCCAAGGTAACCGCTCCGTGACCTCGCACTCGGCGTCGTACGACGCCGTACCCTCTCCCAGCCGCATCGTGCCTGAGTATTCCTTGTCCTGGTAGCAGCGACATCGACACCACAAGCAGGGTTAGGGAGGTAGGGATGGACGATTGGGGTGTGCAGGCATGCAGGGATGCGGGGCAGGCAACAGTTACGTGTCAGCTGTACCGCCGTACAGCTAGAACAGGGACGGGGTCAGAGGTTCCTCAACTCCTTCCTTACTCCCCTTCTCTCCCCCCCTCCCCTCGCCACCTCCCAACCCTTGAATCCCACCGGCTGGACAATGGGGTCTTATCAACCACGGTCAGGGGCCCCGCAGAGCTGAGTGAGCTGAGCAAGCTTGCGCACACGCAAACACATGGACAGACAGACACACGAACCTGTGCCATGAAATCGTCACAGAACTTGGTGCCGCGGCCCGTGCACACGATCAGTAGTCCAGTAGCGTGGGGGTCTAGTGTCCCGGCGTGACCGACCTGACATGGAACACGTACGTACGTAAGTATGTATGTACGTATGCGGGGATCTCTCGTGTTACATAGGGGATAAGATGGGAGCTAGGAAACGGACAGGACACGCAAATCCAGATGGGGTACGGGGGACAGAGGGTAGCACCAAAGGAGGTACGCAAATGTATACAGGTAATACAGAGGTTGTAACATCGGGTAGAAGCGTAAACCTGGGAGTGCTGGAAAGCAACTGGTGTGTGCAAGGAGTCTGGTTTAGCAATGTCGCAAGAGGGTGGTGTAGTGGCTGGTAACGGGTGGGTAGGGTACGCATGCGCACACCTTTTTGACGCCTATGAACTTGAGCAGGTTGCGAATCTTGGCGCAGACGTCAAAACTGTGAGATCAAGGAGCGAGAGCGGTTAGGAGGCGATATCATAAGCGGAGGGATCAGCAACCAAGTCGGTCAGTAGCCGGGAGTGATTTGCGCGACCAGAGGGCGGCTTTTTTGTTCTTCGGCAGGGGAAAACATATTTTCAGCCGGGAGGGGTTGAATATAGACATTGCTCAGGTTATGCGCGCATACCTCGTCCAACCAAGAGGCTTATCCACAAGGATGACTCCGTTCTGAAGTATGTTGACGTCCTCGATTGCCCCAGGCTTTAAGCTAGTCGGTGATACACGTTTAGATTTCGGTGTGATCACGGGGGTATTGCTGGGGGCGAAACCTGGGTCAACACCATTGGATGTCGAGGCCTCAGACGTACGGTCGCGTGACTCGACGCCCTCAGCGGTTTCCGCTGGCATAACTTCACATTCTGGTGCGTGTGTTGACAACCCAGATAGTATTGCCCTAGCACGCCCAAGATTTCGCCGTTGGAGACAGCCCAACGGCCGGCGGCCAGCCACACGGCCCATCAGCGTAGACTGTAAATACATTTCCTTGATGAGAAAACAGGGAAGCCTGTTGTTGTTTTGCACCAGCAGGAAGTTGCTAAAGCTTAATGCTATTACATCAACGAAAAACGAACCGAGTCGAGTCAATTACATACGCGTGATTCCATGCATATCACTATGTAACTTTTTTGCATAAGTTAGAGCTCGCATTACAACTAAGAAAACAATGCTCCGTTGTGCTTGTACTGGAATCAAGACCCCGCCCAGGCACGCACGGCAAATCCGACAAATCGCCATTCTCGCACGCTCCAACAACCCTTCTGTGGACACCGAAAGCGCGGCACAACATCTTAGGCCTTTCCGTGCCTATGCGCCCAACGACGACACGGGCGGTCAGCTTGAAACGGAGGTCCTTGCATCAACCGGCAGCCGCGTGTTCACGGTATCGCTGAGGAAACCCCTCGGACTGGTTCTCACGGGTGCGCGTATCAGGGAACTGCCTCTTGGCATCTTTCAGGGAGGGTTTCAGTAGCTCCACGGTTCACCTACAGCAGGTTCTGCATTTAAAAATGGGACTGGGCCAGGAGTGGGGCACGCGTGGGGCAAGGAGGCAGCGTGGACCATGAGTTGCCTTGCTGAGGAGCCCCACGCGCCGGCAGCCTGAGTTTAACTACAACACGTTGAAGCATTCCCGTGTTTGCGCATGTGCATCTCTGTGTGTGTACGTGTGTGCTGGCCGCGAATCACGCTCATTGGGTGCCAAGTCGAAATCTGGGGAGCCTTGTACGGCCCATGTACGGTATCACACCAGTGGAGAGGATTTGGTATGATTCTGGTAGGGAAGGTTTGCGTTTGAGATGTCAGCCACTGAATGCGTTACACGGGCGCCAACCTGCGAAGTCATCACACGGTGTTTAACACACGCTAAGCAGTGTATGCGGATGGATTACTGTGATGGCGGACTGTGACAGCTACCGTAGCGGAACACTGCACGGAGGAGCTGTGCATGCGACGTCTCGGCAGCAGCGGCAGGATCAGCAGCAGCAGCAGCAGCAGCAACAGCGTAAAGACCGGCGGAATTTCGATACATGCGAGGGCGCCGATGCCGGCCCGATATTGCAAAACTTACAAGTTCCGCACAAATGGGGCCCCTGGTGGCCCGATAATGCTATAATCTTTCTCACGCATTGCCTCTTTGCCGCAGCGGCGAGCAGACACATGCTTGCCATTTGGCATGTAGCGCTGGCACGGCATGCCCAGCATGCGCCTCAGTGGCCCTCACGTCTTAAAGCCTGACAGCCATGCCATGACGTCAAACACCATACCTGCATCTCCCACCAAACGAGTCTGACACGAACCTTACAGCACGTGCACACCTATAAGCCAAGGCATTAACGCAGCAGCGTGAGCATGTGGGATTCCCTTATCATATTTCGCGACCTCAACCGCAACACCCCGCGAAACCCTGGTTTCAGAGCGGGCTGGGCGCATTATGGTGGAGTCGGTCAACACGGGAAGCCACGCGGCGGCTGCGGGCGTTATGGCAGGGGATGTATTGCTTGCGACCAGCGCACGTGCCCAGGTAGTTTTGTTTTACTGCTGTGGCCTGCTGTGTGGGCGAGGAGGGTCCGTCAGGGCCCACTGCAATGCCAAAATGCCAACATTGGAGGGATGCCCGGCACGGTGGCGTGGTGTGGTACGGTTACGTGGACGGGTGACCGCTTGCCGTACCCGGGCGTTACTTCTTCAGTCCCTCTATCGCCCTGCATGCCCAAACGCAGGTAAACTCGGGCAAGTCGACACTTCGGGGGCAGCTGGTGTTGTTGTCCACGGCGGGGGAGAAGTTCTCTACTGTGACTGCCGCCATTCGTTCCAACACCTGCTCCCAGTGCAGCGTGCACCTGGTTCTGGAGCGGCAGCAGGACGCAAATTGAGGAGCTGTAACCGAGCCCGTCGTTTGGTGTTGTGTGCATGCCGGGTCGTGGTGGCTGTGATTGTATATCGTCAACGTGTGCCCGGGTTTAGCTTGGCGTACTAGCAACTTTAGAGTTACTTAGGTGTAATTGCTGGGGATGTGGTGTGGACGTGCTGGCAGCCGCAAGAGCTGCGTCAACGGTGAGGCATTGCTGCAAAAGCAACACCGGCGATAGGAACTAAGCAATGGAAGGGCAGTAACACCTATGACGTGTATTAATCAAGATGATTGATCTGGATCGATCACTTTATGTAAAGTGTCAACAACACGGAGGCGGTTTGATTTGCGGCTCCTCCTCCAGCTGCGGCAATATTTGAATGCTTTGCGCGGTTCAGGAAACTAATTGCTTGTGTGCACGGTGCAATTCATGGGCGGCTAGGTGCTGGGGTGGTCACGCTAGCGCTGATCGCGACTCTGCGGACTACGCTGCGAGCTGCGAGGCCCTCATACACGTTCCGATTGAACTAGGAGTCACATAATTAGTGACCCAACAGACACCGCGCGTTTACACGACGCGCCACATGCTGACCATCCCCGGGGGCAGCTGTGGACCGTGAATTCGGTTGCATCCTCCTTCCAGTGCGTCTTAAAATGTCCTGCGACAATTTACCAATCTTTAAAGCGATGACTGACTTGTCGCCAGCTAAAGCCCTACTCGGGCCCAACCATGAATGTATACAATGCGCTCCTAATCGCATCATTTGCCTTTCATCAACCCCGAAGCCTTTAAAGGACTTGAATCACGCGTCTGCTGCAGCAAACGTCGCCAAACTGGCAAAGGCCTCTCACACACTCGGTGACGTCATGGTTCGCGTTCCGCAGCAGCGTCCCTTCAAACCAATGTGTTCGCGCTGTATCCTGCACCACAGCGCACTGACATACGCGCAGGCCGGCCACGCAGGTTTTCTTTTTCTAGTATCTACACAGATGCCGTGCCGTGTGGTTTACGTGCCGTGCTTTTCGCAACGTGCCAGGCCGTCTCAACGCGAGCCCACCTACCCATACGAGAGAATCGAACACACAGGTTTCACTACACATGTGTTCACAATGCGTAACGGTTCCCCTCCTAAGATATTATGACAGCCCAAGCCCACGATGCCGGAATAGCCCTTGCACTGAAGCCCCCTGTAAGCCTGCACCCGGAAACTTCTGCCTTCGTCATGTTTGTAACGACCCTCGAAGCGACTCTGCACATCTTCCCTTTGGAAAGATTCCCCACCCTTTGGACAACACCCCGGGCTTCCGGAACGAAGGACCCGCCTGGTGGTGATGGGATCTCGCCAAGGCACGTGCCGCCCCTCGGTCTGTCACCTCACCAGCTATGTGCTTCGTAACTTTTGTTGCAAGCTTGCAACCACCGGAGAGCCAAACATAGCTTTCTGCCCCGGTCCGCCCCATAGGCAAAAAACCCCACATTGTGCCCTGCCACCTTCAACCATTCCCCTTGCTGCTCGGAGCCAGGGCAGCGGCTAATGCGACCGCATCAGTGGCGGCTCAGCCTACTCAATACGCTGCGGTAGTGGCCGCCATGCTCTCCAGCTTCTCTAGCAATTGTTGGCTGTAGCTGGGGCTGTAGTACTTGACGATCTCCTCGGGGTAGCAGCTGTTGATGATCTCCACGGCCTCTTTGAGTTTGCTACCCGGCGCCTCTGCCATCTGCTGTACGGCAGCTAGGCCGCCGCTGTGTACGAACTGAGCGCGGCCCGCGGCGTCGTTCGCCAGCACTTTGCCAACCTGATGGCGGCGGGATAGATCACGCAGCAATTGGAGGTTAACAGAGACATTGTTGGAGACAGCAGCACCAAGCGCTAGCACCACAACGCACATCAAGCGCCAATCCAAGCCCCAACTAGCATGGGCGATGGGCAGCTACAATATTTTACTCTCGCCTCCGAACGCTAACGCAAAAGCCGGCAGAATCATTACACAAACCTTCCCTTGTCCCTCCTCGGCACCACCGCCTCCAACCCCGGGTCCCCCGTTGCCACGCCTTGCCATCCACTCCCCAACGCCAACAAACAAGCACCCGCCTCCCGGGTATCCATCTCCCCATGTCCTCCGCTCACCTGCTCCAGCACCATCTTCATGACGCTCTCCGGCAGCGCCCGGTGCACGAGCGCATCCAGGGCGGGCAGATGGGTTAGCTTCGCAATCACGGACTTCAGCGCGCGCCGGCACTTCGTCTTGAGGTCCTCTGAAGAGGCGCCGTCGCTTTCCAACGACACCAGCGTCGCCAGGCAGCCCGTGTCTGCCACCGCCTTGGCGTGGTCCGGTGTATGACGCCCGATCTATAAATGGCATAAATGGGGGCAAGGGACCACGGCGCTGCGTCAGCCAATACAGAAACCAATCACCGCATGCCAGGACAGCAGGTAACAGCTCACGGAGGGCACCGCATCCTCCAATGCGAGCGGTCGGCCGAACAGCCGGGGAAGCACAGGGCGCCAGCTTCAGCTGCGACGGGGAAAACTGTTCAAGTGTTACCACCACACCGTTTCCCAGAGAGGTTTCTGGGCTCACTTGGGGACGCTCCCCGCAGGCAGGGCGTTACGTGTATGTATGTGTGTGTATGGATCCGCTTTCCTGGCCGCTTCCTTTTACCTTGAACTTTCTCACAAGGCGTCAGGGACGCGCACGACGGTAACCCATCGCCTTAACCTGCACAGCTAGAAGTGCAGCCAATATCCACGGAGCCAGACGGCCAGACGCGCTAGTTGTGCCAATTCCTAATCCTCCACCAGCCATCCCCTTGCTCAAAATCCTAGCCAGACATGGCCGCCACAATTCCCTCCCTCCCCTTTTCCCTTCCCCCAAGAACTTATGTCATCGGCCTCTCGCCTCCCCCGTGCTGCACCCTCACCTGTCCCAGTGTCCATGCTGTCGCGCTTTTGAGGTGGTCCTCCGGCTCCTCGTTTAGGGCAGCCACCAGCGGCGGCAGGGCCTTCTCGGCAATAACTGAAAGCGCCAGCGTCTCCGAGAATGCGGCAATGTACCCAAGGGCCATGATACCGGGTAGCCGGTTGTTGCCCGTGGAGTCGCCTAACGGGGCACGAACGGACAGGAAGGAGAGCACCCGCTCAGGTCAAGCCCATAAAAAGACTCGTTGTCGCTATTCGATACAAGACGTATGTCAACGCTCAATCCCCCAATGTATTACTTTTCAGCAGACGGCAAACACCCCATTGGCTTCCTCCCCGGTACCTCGAAATGTGCGAGAAGTGCACAGGCTGATTCCAGTACCATGGATGCTGTGCAACGAGGTGCACTTCCATGTACGATTTGGCTGCCTAGTTACTACTTATAAGGAGTAACTAGGGTAATTACCCGCCCGCCTATGAGTTCTCTCCCCATCTATTATCCCTAACAGGACCTTTTCTCCCTGTCCCTGCTGCAGGCTGCGCCTTATATTGCGCGCCTCATTACGCCTTGACCATTGTGAAGAGCGAGTTTGATCTCGCCTTTCAGCCTGACCCCCATCCCCTTCTTCCCATCCCCTTTCCTGCCTCCCTCCATCAGCCTCTCAAGCACCCTGCTCACTGATATAGTCCACCAGCGCGCCCACGCCACCGTTGCCCACCACCAGCTGCGCCAGCTCCGGCGTGTGCTTGGCAACCTCTCGCACAACCGTGGCGCTGTGCTTCTTAACAAACTCATCTGGGAACTTGAGACAGGTGAGGATTTTAGGGAAGATCTCCGCACCCACCACCACCTCAGCCAGGTCCACGCTGTGCTTGGCAATTTGGCTGAGTGCGCAGCAGACCTGAGAATATGATGGAGTCGGATCGGATATGATCGGGCTAGGGTGCGGCGCGGAGCGAGTTCGTGCTCAGCCCCGGCGCTGCTTTTACCGTGCAAACAGCGAACGCTACCGGGGGCTAAACAGGCTCAAGCCCCAACTAAGCAGTGGGTAAGTGCTCGACGCTGGATCACGGCTTCAGCTTAGTAAACATAATTCATTCCATAAAATGTGCGCGCTGTGTGGCGACACGCTCGGAGGGCCCGTTCCGGATACACATACGTGACGGCGGAGTGAGGTACGTATTCCAGCTGCGGGTGGCACCGCTCGACGAGACGTGCTTAGGCGAGACACCTACCAAGACGTTTGTACAAACACTAAGGTCTCCTAACCCTTCCAGGATAGTTAAAAAAGGTTCTGTCCGCCGTTCCAAGGATCCCCCTCTTCCACCAGTATCCGTGTGTCGGCATTGATACTCGCAAAACTGCCTTCCCCACCTGTCGTTTAAGCTTGGCATCCTGGTTAATGACAAGGGGCGCCAGGTATTGGACGGCACCAGCGTCGACCACGGCCTGCGCTAGCTCCGGTGTATGCTTGGCAATGTCTGAAAGGGCCGACGCCGCAATACGCTTCAGGCTGAGCTCTGGCTCCTGAACACAAAGTACCAGGAGCGGGACCGCGCCCGCATCCACCACTTGCTGTGCCAGTTCTGCGTTGTGGCCAGCGATGTACCCTAGCGTCCAAGCCGATGCCTCCTTCACACCCGGGTCAAACTCCTCCAGACACGTTACCAGAGAGTCCAAAGCACCACTATCAATCACCGATTGAGCAAGCTCGGGTGAATGCCGTGCCACAGCCCGCAAGCAAAAGGCCGCGGCCTGCTTGTAGAACCTGTTCTGCTCGCTAAGCGAGTAAACCTGCAAGCCGCAAGGTTGCCCTTAAATACTGTCCATTAAAAAGAGCCCGCCATAGGTATGGGCTCAGCATACGACGTCAGCAAAAAAACCAAATCAATGTCCTACCAGCTGGGGCAAAATCTCGTTCTGGACGACAGCTTCCGCTAGATCATCGCTGTAGTTTGCAAGCCGTCCCAGGGCCAGCGCAGCGGACTGCTGTATGCTGCAAAGATGGAAGCGGCGGGTTGGGAATTGCGGGCCTGTGACTTACGCGAAAATCAATCAGCAACGGCTAACCCACCTTGGTACATTGTCCAGCAGCAATGGACGGAGGAGAGCCATAGCTCCCGCCTGCTGGAGAGCCTCGATGTTCTGCGGACCCGAACCCACGTCAAAGCACGGCCCCAAACTCCGTCATAAAAGCAAACGCACTTGAGGATTCTTAGCCATTTCAGCAACAGCTGTGACGAACGCCACTCGCTCCTTCTGATACCGCTCAAACGTTTGGAGCACCGCTCGGGTCGCCATGTTGCTAGGGGCGCCCAGGGGCGCGTCACAGCTATGTTATATGATTGCCTCAGAATATAACTAAGTCCAGAAACGTAATCAAAATATGTACTTTTGGTCCTCTCAGGCAATGTTTCGGTGGCAAATCACAGAAGAATAGGATAACCAAGCAGGTCACTAGGAACACAAAACGACACAAGTGAAAGCAAGGTGTAATGGAACTGCGTGATTCCCTGCCCTGAGGGGCCCAAGAACCGCTTAGAACTGTCGTCATGTACGGCGTTTGTTTTTTCCTCACAAGATTTCTAACATGACTATTATGAAACCACTATAACATCAAACTTCTGCCTGCGAGAAAGCTGGATGTAACTTGGACGTTTGTTGCAGCAAGTTCTTTGGATGGAGCTCAACCTAGTATACCGTAGTCATTAAACGTTACATTTTCGTGCTCCTAACACGTCAATTCATTGACATGTAACAGCCCTAACGGAAATGCAGCATGAGTCGGACAACTCGTTAAAGCCCCTGGGTATCGACCCAAGTGCCATCCAAGGCGCCATGGCTTTGTCATTCACAGGCTTCTATTAGCTTCTCTTACTTAAGGGTTGCAAAGAGCCGGGGGGATTGGGGTGGGGCTTGGCGGCAGAATGCAGCAGCACGGGCAAAAGGGAATGACACGGCAAGCAGCCTCGAACACGCAAGCCAGGAAGGGGTCGGCGGCAAGTGCGCAATGAAGAAGCGCTTTCGGCGTTGCACCCGCGGACGGGATGAGACGGAGATGAATGCTTGAGGAACGCAGCATGGACCCGGACCCGCAACAGCCCCGTGCCTAGGGGTAACGCAACTCTCGCAGCTCCACGAATGCACATGTCGCGGACGAAATAGCATGCCCCTCGATCGCTCGCAAGTGCACAGGCTAAAACGGTGCAGCTGGTCTATCCGCTTGACAGAAACAGAACGGCTGCGCATGATGCTGCCGTTACATGAGGGGAGGGACATCATTGCGGCTCAGATCATTAAAACACCTTAGCTACAAGACTCGCCGGTGTCGGGCGAACCTAGACCTGAAACAGCTGTGTGAGGTTTTACAATTGATACAAGCAAAAAGGGCGTCGATAAATGACCAAGATGCTGTTAACGTGGACCCCACCGGGTCGCAGGGTCAACAGCGCACCCAAGTATCGTCCAGCAAATGCCCGAGGACATGCATAACCGTATGAGCTATGATCATACCAGCAACAGCAAGAACCTGAAACCAGCCTGCTACCGACCCCCGCTCACCTCGTGGACTTGCCCTAAAGGATGAGGGGATAAGAGTGCAAGAATGAGAGCGAAAGAGAATGAGAAAGAGTGCGGGTATGGGTACGGTGGAGTGAAAGCGAGTGTGCCTGAGTGGGAATGGGAGAGAGGGAGCTCCCCGGATACTCCTTAAGGACCGACGCGGGATTAAGCACCGTCCTACGGCAATGCCAGCATCCGCAAGCGTTTTGCCTCGTGTACCCAACATAATGTTGTCTCTCACGAGCGAGCGCACATGATCAAAATGACCTCCGCTGACAGGCGCGTGGTCTCAAAAACCCAGTAATGCGTTGCAGACATAATTTGCATCCCGTTCACACCGCGTGAAAAATGGGCCACGCATAGTGTTATGGAATGTCTGCTGTAATCATGGACCTACGGGCCGAAGAACTGTTAGCCGTTACCTTTAGCAACGCGCATGCGCTGTGTCCGGCTGTGCCCTGCAAATGTGACTGGGGAAACTTAGGAAGCGATTGTTAGGCTCACGCGTCCGCGTCGTATCTTGGCCAACGCGCCCATCGCGAGGCCGTACTAGGGCACTAATAACAGAAGCCTAGTACCGGTAGCTGCCTAACCGCCGATTAGCGCAGACGAGAGTGCAAAATTCGCGAGCGTATGGGAGCGACGGCATAAGCAAGCTGGTAGCAAGTATGGCGTACCATGCTCTCTGGCCCATCTGAGGAAAAGAGTATCGCTATTTTCCTTGTGCAGACTGTAGCATAATTAGCGATAAGGCATTATCCTCGTTTTGCATAATGTCATTATTACGACGATCCCCCAATCCCCCAATTGCGTATGCAGTAGCGGAGTGCCGTGACGCCGCACCCAGCATGCCACTCCAAGTTGTATCGTACAACTTGAAACTTTCCACAAGGCAACCATATGCTTTCTACCTCTTATTAAGTGAAGATGTTGGAAATATTCCTGCTTACATCTCTAGAACAATAGAGTGCCGCGTAGGGTGTTTGCAGTTCTCTGGAAGGCTGGTCAGCAATAGATCACGGAGGCAAACTATCAGCGGAATGAACAAGATATATACTTAACCGACATCTTGGACATGGTTTCCACAAAGCAGACGGTCCTAACTGCATCTCTTGTCTTTACAAAATTAGCTGCTTCCTGAACGTGTTGCCTTTGCCACTGTAATAATCATCTTGAAAAAATGGCAGATGCTTCCGACTTCGCCCTGGAACCACCGTTTGCCCAAAAGTGGGTACATTTTGCGGGACGTCGAGGGGTCTGATGCCCTAAGAGATTGGCCTCTAGCAGCGCGTTGGGCCCTTGCTCGCAGATTCAAGCCATCTCGTGCCAAGGAGATTATTGGCACTGTGCTTGTTGCACGACTGTCAGGGCAGCAGTACCACGCCGACAACACGTCCTCCTGGGCACGCGAGATAGCGGACGAGATCAAGAACAAACTCAAAGGCGAGCCTCCTGCTTGCATGGTGCTCCCGAGCTGCGCGTGGGTCCCAATACATGGGAGCATGACATGGTGGGGGTTAGATGCCGCACGCTTGGGTTTCGGGGCGCTCACGCTGCAGCAATGTGCGATCCGCAGAGGAGAACTGGAGCCGATACAAATTCGTCGTCCAGGTATTTATTGCAGAACAGCGTGGAGAAGGTGTCCGGTGAGTGAGCCATCAGCGCCATGCAATGGTTTAGCGCTGCTTGCCGGACCACTAACAACAACCTGTGAACTATCCAGGTTGGCATGCAGAGGGTTTTGGGACCCAAGCACCGACAACTACGCGCACGACACATTCTCTAACGTATGTAGGGTGAAGCGGGATCATCGCCTGCTGCAGCCATATTGACTGGCAACACGTTTGGGTCTCCTCAAGTTGACAATTTTTACTATTCATTTTTGCAGGAGAGCCTGTTCTGTGTGGCAACAGCTTTCGGCGTTTACTTGTATTAGGCCTCCTGTACACATTTACAGGGGCGACTGAGATCCCCGCTGCCGCTACAGAACGTTAGGCATATGGGTGGGAGCGGCAACAGAGCTACCGCCCTTCGGAGGATGACAGTCTCATAACTCTGGTACAGCAGTCAGGAGGCTGGCGGCACATCGGACATCGCCGGTTGGCCAGCTCAATAGATAACTTTGATGTACAAGAGCTCTTCTGTAAATAGTGGCTTGCGGCAAGGCATATGAGCTGTCGGTGTCCTTGAGGATCAACTGGGTGCCGTACATAGGACTCGGCGCGATAGTTAGGCGTGGATGTGAGGATGCTGAGCTGGATCCGACAGACTGTAAAACACAGTGGTTACCGCTGTGGAGCAGGTGTATAGTGTCGAATATGCTGGACACAAATACCAGAACCGGTGTATCATGCTTCCCGGGCAGATGTATGATGTTACAGGGTGGTATGGCTTCACCAGCGGCCCCCTTTCCCCAGGCAATGCCCTGCTCTCCCCTGCTAGAGGGGCACCCTAATCCAATCACCCCAACCGACTTCAGATTGGTTACATCTGAGGTAACATAATGTATTTATTGGGTTCAGCAACTCACCACCAGCATCCAACCAAATCTAGCGGATCAACAGCGCCACAACTTAGTTCCTGGTTAGCTCGCGAATTGCTGTAATCATGTCCTACACCGTCCACGAGATGGGGGGCCATCTCCCAATTCAACACCCCTCACACACCGAGGGGCCGGCAGGCGGATTTGAACCCGGAACATCCGGGAGCAGAAGTCAGGCTTTAACTTCTGCCAGCCACCTGCCCCTGAAGTATACTTGCATAGTCTGAGCTGCCAGCGAGCAGCATATGTAATGCTGCCAGCGGCTGCAGGGGAATTATCTTTTTGCAATCGTTCGTCATTCCATCCCATCCTTCGCGTGCCTTTTGCACTGAATAATATTACTCCTATGATCAACTACCATCCATGGGCCTGCCGTGGAGCAGCACAAGATCATAACAGGCAAGGCCAAAATGCAGAGACTAAGACAGCAAGAGTGACGCCTGGAATCCTAGAGATGAAGTGGTACCCTGGTACCTTTCAGGGCCTGAGTGCGGCCAGCACCGGTGATCTGGTCGGATCCACTGTAACTTCATTCATTTCATTCGGGTAGCCAAGCCCGGGCCAGATTTCCCGACCACAACTCGCCATACGCCGAAAGGAAGCGCACGACTAGTCGCCTGCTGCAAGACCTGGCAGAATACCGACACCATAAAGCGGTACCTTTTGGCAGGATAGGGTAGTATAGTGGGCCCTTTTGGCCACAACTCGGAGAAAGCCTATACTGCTGTGATGCAGGGTAGTGTGCGTGCCAGGGGCGCGGCCCAGGGGAGACCATAATGTTTGGCGTATCGATAAGCATTCTTCTCAACCCGCAGGTACAGACAACTTTCGTCTCTAACTACGTGAGCTACTCACATCTTCGCCATTAGGTTGTCCAGGGGTCGTTTTGCTGGTAACAGGGGGTTTCCATGACGTGAAGTCTTTTTGCAGCAGCAAGCACGACCACAACACCAGAGGGTCCGCACAAGCATGATAGCTGTTGGTCGCCCGAGCTGGAAGGTGGCACACCGGGAGAGGACGCTAGGGGTGGCATGTTGAATCGTAACTTGCAAAGGGCAGAAGACTTGGGTGTGGCAGACATCAGGGGTCACCATTCATGATGCCACATCAAATAGCTCGCCATTTGCCTGTGATGACAATCGGCTATAAAGATACGCAGTAGAGATGTGCTTTGGTCTGCAAAAACCGATGTAAGCAGTGAAACGTAGTTGCATCGACCGCCGACAAGACAGAAGGGTGAACGGCATTTATGTCTCGGTGTAATGATCTATAAAACGGATGTAGAGCCATGGACACACCCGAAGTAACTGAACCTGCAAACGTTTCCGCGCGTGCAGAGGTGGATTTCCGCTATTGAACACCGCAAAGCATGGATAGCCGAGGCACAACACATTTTGAGGGATGTTTCAAAAAGCATTGAAGATGCATGTCGTGAACAGTTTGCCGTTTGTAATCAGGATCCATATACGGCACTCCCCCCATTTGCGCGGGTACAAGACGTCCACACAGCGCCACCAAGATACCTATCCTGCCTGTCTCCTTTAGATCAGAAGGTGAATTTAGTGTTAGTCTCATCGCCTCTAGCCTAGTATACATCATCACGTCAGCGAAAATGAACAGCGCCGAGGTCGACGCCCTGCTCAAGCCCCTTACCATCAAGGATCTGCGTGTTCAACTTCGCATGCGTGGCTTGAGTCCAGCTGGTATGGCTGTTGTTTTGGCGCTGGGCGGTCCTGCTAGATGCCATGGCGTTCGTAATGAGCCGACAGGCTGTGGCGCAAGCCTCAATGCTATGTCTTTGGCAGATAGATAGTCCTGTATTATTGTATGGGAGCAGCCGGCTTCGAAATTATTCAAGACTTCTATGTCCTCTTCGCGACTAGGTGGCCTGGAGGCCTTGCGAGACCGCCTCAAGGAGAACATGCTCGAGACCAAGGATTTCTCTTTCAAGACTGAGTCAGGAGAGGATATGGCCGTTGTCCAGGTCACTGCCGGTCAGGCATCCAAGGACGTCGCCGCTGGCAAAGGCCAAAACAATTATTCTAGGTAAGGAACTAATTATGTATTGCCTCAGACGGCATGTGGGGGCTTGTAAGTTTATAGCTTTACGATGTCGACAGTTTGCCGTCACGTCTATCTACGTGACGCCGTGGATATTGCTGCTACTATTTGTTTATTACTCAATTATCCCGTGATGCATTCCGTCAAACCCTTTTTGTAATTTGTGCAGGCCGGCCGGGCAAAACGTAGGAAACTTCATCACTGACCGTCCAAGCAGCCGTGTTCTGGCGGCACCCGGAGGCGCATCGCAGATCGTCTTCGGCGATAGCGAGCCCCCCAAGGTGGGTGGGCTTTGTGTGTGCTAGTAAGGGATTTAGGTACCATGTGACTTTTCTTACCGTTGTACTTGTTTCCGCAGGCCTCGTCGAACAACTACTCAAGGTGAGTGGCGTGCAATTGGGTTTGCACGAGGACCCTGCCATATCACACTACACATGTTGGTTTTGCTTGATGACCTGTCACCATAACTTGTAATCGTGCGCAGACCTGCGGGTCAGAATGTCGGAAATTTCTTGACAGACAAGCCGTCGTCCAAGGTATCGGCACCGGTAGGTTTCTTGCAGTCCAGCTCAATTTGGTGGCGGTCGCATTTTATGAACACATTTTCACAAGTTCGCATTTCCACGCTCGCAGCCGGGTGGTGCATCCCAGATCATCTTCGGTTAAATCTCAAGTTACAGATTTCAAGCTCGTGACGTTTGCTTTATGGATAAGGACTTTTGACGACAGCATTGATTCACACGCAATGTGTTGTGTTTTCTTGTTGTACGTGTATGCATTCTGCGGGTAGAAGCTCTGATTGGTAATGGGCAGCAGTAGCAGTATTTCGCAGGGCACTGGAGTGGTGACACGCAGTAGTGACGTAGCCAGATGCAGCGCGTAAATCAGGATGTAGATGCAGCATGACCTTCACATTTTTTGACTCGATGACCTGTCGGCGTGGAATGTACATATATTATCGCGTTCGTGAACGCTATGCCAAGCGCAACTAGACTTCCTGCTGACCATGTGCAGCGTTTTGTAAAATGGAGTTGATGCGTTGCTTCTTTTATGCTCCAAAACATGGCACGAATATAGTGAACTTTAATCCGTAAAATGGTCACCCATACTCACAGCAGGTATAATCCAGTTCAGCAATGAAATCCGGGGAAGAGACTAACAGGGTATTTCCACTAGGCCGCACACTAACTTTTGGACAGTATCTTTAATGTGGACTTAGTGTGTGGCTAGTGGACAGGTGTTTCCACTAATCGCCCCGGAACCATACGACAGGTTGCTATGTAGGCACCAAACCATTGTTATAGTAAGAGTGGGTGTATTTAATGCGCAAATCATTACAATTTGGTCGGCGAATTGCTGGAATGTGGGCAATTCGACCGGTCCTGCTGTAAATTCCACTGGTTAGCGGGCTACTTGCGGCTGTGGATAAAGGAAAATACAAAAGCCAACGTAGGGCCATGAACAAGGAAAAAGGCTGACTATGAATTTTCCCGCTCGGAAGTTAATGTCCACTTTGAAAGTTATCAGCAGGTCTGAGGCCCTGATAACTAGTGTGCCACTAAGGCGGACTTAGTGTCCGAGGCGTTTCCACTGGGCCCTTCGGCTTTACGGAGCCCCTTTAGGCGACTTTCTATTAATGTATTTAACTAGTTTCTTATCGCTTGCATGATTTGCTGAGCCAGGTGTGAGATTTTTTGAACTTAATGTCATTGTGCGGCCTAGTGGAAATACCCTGTAAGACTTCACTACCACCCACTGTAACAACCACACCAGCTGGTCAAAAACTCGCTCTGTCGATCTGGATTAGACGAAGATCACTCGCGCTGAGGACATATTTCTAGTCTAAGGAGAGTCTGCACAGAACAGTCCGGGACGTTATGGCCGTAACTACAGATCATTAAATATAGTCCCCAAAGCGGAAACCTCGGTTTTTTATAAATATGATTTCCATTGTATACAACATTTCAAAAACATTTCACCTGCAGATTGCAGTATGCAGGAGCTCTGCGACCTGTACAAGTCGTTTTCTGGTATACACAGTATGGACGGAAACTGTGGCAGGTTTCCTTTTAAGCATGAACGCATAAGGGGCAACATACCACACATGTTTAAAACGTGGGTGCAAAGCCCTGTTGCTTCCTTAATTTTTGTCCGTTGCAACCACCTTGTCGTCCGTACCATACATAAAATAACATCCTGAGTTACAGTTATTCATGTATCTAGTACTTCACCTTTGTGGCTTAGTGTACGCGGACTTACTCCGCTTGGGTTCTAACTGAAATGGGTGCGGAGCAAAGTGTTCCGGCTGGCGTGGAGGTTCAGCCGGCCTCGACTGCTGGAACGGGCCAGCCTTATGGCGGGGCTCCTGACCTAAACAGCGAAAAGGCAACTGCTGTGCCATCTGCCCTTGTTTTGGTTGGCCCATCCGGTGTTGGCAAAGGCACCCTGGCGAAGCGACTAATACAGGATGGCGATCAATTTGGCTTCTGCGTTAGCCACACGACAAGAGCCCCTCGCCCAAACGAGCAGGTGTGTCTGCAGTATATGGGGCGTGTTTCATCACAGCATAACGCAACTACCTTGTACACCTTTGGCACTTCGTTGAGCTAAAGAGGATGAGAAGTTATTGCACAAATCTTTCCCTTTCCATACTTTTGCTGGAAGCTTTGCCCGGTCTCTGATCGGAGTTGATCTCCATGGAGGTATGTTGTGTCCTCTCGCCTTGCAGCACGGTGTGCACTACTTTTTTACAACAAAGGAGCAGTTTGCGAAGGAAATTGGAGAGGGCAAATTTCTGGAGTACGCTGAGGTGGGACGCAAAAGCGATGTTCAGGAATGTTTTGCTTTAGCTGCAATCATTTTATATACTCTTAATCATCCTGTGCGTAGTTTGCGTTATGGTAAGCAATCAACTTTCTTCTTCGGGCAGTGGCAAGCTTATCTACAACTGCAGCCGCTTAATGTCCGGCTTAATAGCTAGATTTAATCATAGAGCTGTTGGGACTTTGCGTCTAGCAGTAGCTGCATCGGAGTATCTGTTGACCCTGTGGGGCATGACCACTCTCCACTCGCACAGGTGCATGGCAACTTGTACGGCACGAGTGTTGGAGCAGTGCGCTCAGTTCTCGACTCTGGTCGAGTCTGTGTGTTGGATATAGATGTACAGGTGGGTTTCACGGCGTTATAAACCTACTTGAGGTGCACAGAGTAGGCTGGGATCGTGGTTTCCCAGGCAGCATTTCTACCTGCGTTGCGTAACAGGGTGCCCGTGCGGTGCGGAAGAGCGGCCTAAAGGCCATCTTCGTGTTCATTGCTCCACCTTCGCTCGAGGACCTCGCGAACCGCCTGGCAGGGCGGGGTACGGAAACAGTCGAGCAAATAACACGGCGGCTGAACAATGCCAAGGCAGAAATTGAGAGGTACGAGCAGCGCAAGGCATTCTGTCGCTAGCAAGCCAGGCCGAGGGCACAATTTTCTTTACCACGGTAATGCACGCTTCCTCCACTTTGTAAAATGGCCCAGCAGTAAGGCATTCCTACCGTTGCCCGCAGCATTAACGAGAAGGGGCTGTATGACTACTTGCTCATTAACGACGATTTGGACGAGGCAGTCAAGCGGCTCAAGGCCATTGCGGAACGCGCGGCGAAGGGATTGGACCCTGAGCCGGGCATGGTTCCGGAGCGGGTTGTCCTGGAAGATGTAAGCATTCAAGTTGCCAACGGATACAGCTAACATATGCGTTGTTGCGCCGAGGGGTATTCTAAATGGTTGGGACGTGCACGGCACACTGGCTCTTAGGTCTACGGCGCCTTTACGAACTGTTAGGCATTTGAAAATGCGGCCTTCCTGCCAGTGAGGATTTATTTGTTATCGCGCAGGCACCTCTTCCTGATATCCAAGCTCTGACTGAGCAGCAGACAAGTGGTGAAAACGGTGCTTCGGGTTCCGTGCAAGCACAGCAGCCCGCGGAGGAACCCGTGCCTGGAGCCGATAGCGTGCCTCCGGAGGCCACCGCCCAGCCGACGACGGAGGCCGCCCCGCAGCCAGCTCCAGTTCCAGCGGCGGTCCCTGCGGCTGCACCCCAGCCACCACTTCATAATGGCCCATCATCGGTGCCGCCAGCTGGGCAGCCTTCCCTTGAGGGTGTTCCACCTGGCTTTGAAAAATGGCAGGGAAAGGTAGCACTGGTTAGCGGGGCATCGTCCGGCATTGGCTGGGCAACGTGCGAAGCTCTAGCTCTCGCAGGCAAGTGCGTTTCTCGAGTGACTTTCGCGGCCTAACGTCTGGTCTGAGGAATGGCTTCAGGTTGTGAGCAGCATGTGGGTCACCGCGTAGCTCTTGATATCCGACCCGTTGTAGATTGGGGGGAAGCATCTCGTCCTTTGTGCTGGGCTACGGTTGGGTGGTCACAACTTTTGCATTCGAGTTGTTTCCGTCCTCCGTTGTCTGCTATGTGCGAAACCGCTATAAGCACGACTGATTTGAATGACAATGCTAATCCTCCCTTGCGGGCACAACCTTAGGGATGAGGGTGGTCGCTGTCGCACGGAGGAAGGACCGGCTTGAGGAGTTGCAACGGCACATGCACGCGATGGGGGTGCCACTTGTGAATTTCTTGCCGGTCGTCTGCGACATTACCAAGGAGGCGGAAGTGAGTGCAGAGTAGCAGTCTTCTCAACAGCCTTTGCGCGTGTCTATACGCAAACCTGACATGAGTTGCCTGTGCGGGAGTGACGTCGAGAGAATGTATGCTTAAGTTGCCTAAGTTCCTTGCTTGGGATTCGTCAGTGCCTAGGGTTGCCAGTCGGATGGCTGCAAAATTGAGGCGATCCTACTGCTCCAGTGGGGGGTAAGAAATTTGTGGTGGTAGATGCTTGACGGTGCAGTGATCAATTAGCAAGTAGATAATGACGCAGTCTAGGTGCCAGGTGCACCCGCAGCGTCTCGTTACTGTGAAACGGTTAGTCAGATAGTTGTAAGTTACAAGGCCCTTACAAATGCAGAGGCCTTTTTAAAGGCCGGGGGCCATAGACGGTAATTGCTGTTATTGCGGCGAGGTAATAGAAGTAGCGGTGGCGCATATAACCTGTTGGTCCGCTACCTTTTAACTATGCCCCCATCGCAGGTTGCTACGCTGCCAAAGATTGTGGCTAAACGTTGGCCCGAATGCGGCGTGGATGTGTTGATTAATAATGGTGAGGCTCCGTGCGGGGTGGGCTCATAAATTTTGCTCTCATATATTTTGCTATTGCAAGTCTCCAAACCTTCGAACCACGTCCGAGACGCCCATTATCAATCCGCTTGCTTTTTGAGGTCTCGCATGGATTTACCCTGTATATCCTGTAGTGGCCGGTGACAGAACGTGGCCAGCGTCCAGAGTAAACGAAATAAGTATTTGTCCTGGTAGAGACCTACATGGGTTTCAGCGCTTTCCCGTGCTAAGCGTTAATCGCTGAAGCTGCCGTGGTAAAATGCATTTGAAGCAAGTTGGTGTCTGCAAATTTTGCCATGCCATCTGCCTTAAACTCCATGTCAAGAGCTTCGCCGTGTTCAATCGATTTTTGCAGCTGGCATGAGCCGCAACGATGCTTCTCTCTTCGATGGCAACATTGGCAGCTGGGTGGAGATGCTGAGTACCAATGTGCTCGGCACATGCATGATGACGCGTGCGGTTGTCCAGGTGCGCGATTTAGTGGCTCGCTCGCATTTGCTTTTGCAGCACGGCGGGATGCTTGGTGCGGCATCTCGACGCTCAAAGCGTTAGTTGTTTGAATAGAGCGAAAAGCTGCCTAGACGGTACGGTCGTTTGTAGGGTGGTCGCACATAACTTGCGTCATGTTTGAATGCATGCGGCGGTTGCATCTCGTGCTGCAGGACATGAAGCGGCGCGGCACGTATGGCCACATCATCAACATGATTGGCCTGAGTGGGCATCGCATTCCAGACGGGCCTCAGGGCGGCGGGTTTTACGCCGCGACAAAGTCTGCTGTTAAGACCATAACGGAAGGTCTCCGCCAGGAGGTGAGGGGGGCCGGGGCTTTCGTTCTGCTCTGATTTCCCATCTACCGCGATGGCAGGCGCACTTTCCATCATAGAAGGCATGTTGGCCTTTGGTTAGGCCGGCGGCCATACTGTTTTCCCAGCGACAACCTGTCGGCTATAGGCATGAGCTGTGATAGTTGTTTTGGCTTTAAATTCCCCGAAGGCGTGGTATTTCAGGGCATCATGTCTCCCATGCGGGTGGAAGTACAACCAGTCGCTGAATTCAGGACTGGTAGTAGCTTTTTCGGCGCTAGCTAATTCCTAAACATACTTGACTCGGGACGTTTTAGCGTGACCTTTACCGCACCGTCATTCCTATGCCACTCAGGCCCGTGGCGCGGGTTTGCCCTTGCGCGTGTCGGGCATCTCTCCTGGCGTGGTGGAGACGGAGTTCTTCGCAGTCCGGGCTTTCGGCGACGCAGAGGCGACAAGGAAGGCGACGTCTGCGTTCAAATGCTTGCAGCCTGTGGATGTTGCCGACGCTGTGATGTGGTGCCTAAGCTGCCCGGATCACATGGAGGTGAACGATATCATCGTACGCCCAACCGAGCAGCTGATTTGACAACACGACGGGGACTGACGGACTCTGCGCTGCGTGTTCACAATGAAGGTTTTACTTCTGGTTTGCGCTGTCACAATCGTGCGTTTGAAGTGACAGATGGCGGGTGTAGATTTTGTGCGTCGCTCGACACTTATCTACGCGCATTTAATGCTGCATATGCTGCTGTGTAACTGAGAATGACATAAGATTTGAGGCACCGTAGGGCGATCTCGGTGGGCGAGGGCCGTATGAGCCAACCATGAACCATGTTTTACCGATCTGTTGTCGTGCAATGGTAGTGCACACCTCCTGGAACGTGAGGACGACCGATGACAACGATTATGGTGCTGTATGGGGTTAGGAATAAGTGTGATATGCAGGAGGCGGTCATTGCCATTAGGATACATGGAGTGTAGCCAAAACCCGACGTAGAGCACGGATTGTATCTTGCCGGCGCTCTTTGCGAGACGTGGCCTAAGAGAGACCTTGTGAAGAGCTTGTTCACATCTTAACACGAACTTATGACAAGCCACGATTTATGGCTCCGCCGTTCTGTTCAGGCTGGGAGTATCCGACATTTGCCGTCATGTGTTAGGGAGAGAAGTGAAGGAGGTTGATTCCTTTTGTGTGCTACGGACCATGTTTTACAGACGCTTAGGCAAGACTTCTTTCGATTGCCGGTGGACGGATATGAGTGTACGTGTCTGTGACCCATCAATAGTCCACATTTAACCACAAACAGCCAAGGTGCAAGGTGACCACCATGCCCAAAAGATTTCCATTCCTGACTGACATTTGACCACCCTAACGATCGTTGTTTCATAGGCCTTATGATGAGCCCGATAATCTCTCCAAGCTTGTTTTCTAGAGTGGTGATTGCATACATTCTACAATTACCGTTTGTTGACAGCTTCAACGTAAGATCACATCCATAACGCAAACGAGGTGAAGACCGGAAAGCTCAATTTGGCGCAAGACACCTCCAAAATTATCTCAAAAAAATAGCGCAAGCCACCTTCCAAATTATCTCCAAATCGGTTTATATCGTTGCACGCAGCAACGATATAAACCGATTTATCCATCCAGGAGTTGCGGCCTGTCCTTTACTACGCATGATAGCCATGCATACTCAGCTCGATCCTGTTCGCCTCCGAGCGCAGGAAAACCAGCAGTATCTGCGCCCATAGAGCATCCGATTATGAGACACGCTTGGGGCAACAAGGCGAGCAAACGCGCTAAAACACCGTCAACCGTTCCCCGCGAGACTCCTCGTGCAAAGTAAGGATAACCCATTTGCCGTTGCTGCAGACATGCCATACTCTCTGGTTCGATTCCTTCCACTACCCGCGAGCGCGCAAGATGATACGAACATGGGGAACGCGATAAGATTTGAAAGAACAAACTATGCTAGCACCCGGCCGAAAGTCGATGGCCGGTGCCGCAGCAAACACCTATTAACGCACAGAGCGACAAACGAGGCCTGCTTGTGAAGCGAATGCATGGGTGACGAGCATCTGTAAGCGTTGCTTTTTACTCCATGGAGGCCCCCAGATGGGACGGATGGGATAAAGTTGCCACACAGCGTCGAAATCAAGCGCCCAGCGGATCGCACCGCGCGCATACACTCCAAACAGGTGATCATACCACATGAGGTGCAACACAAACCGTACCTGCTCTAAAGTGAATTAAAAGCTCAATACAAAACAACCAGCATGAAAGCAGTAAAACTTCGGCTACGTAAACTTCTGAAGTAACAACAAAATTTGGTGATGTGACGACGACCCTGCTGCTGCCTAAATCCTGTGGTGGATATGCCATGCAAATTGTGCATGACTACTGCCATACCAAATCTTCCAAGAGAACTGATCCATGTTTAATGCACGCTGTAGAAAGAACTGATCATAATTAAGGTATATCGAGCAGTATGCGTAATAATAGCAAAACCCACACACAGTCACAAGAAAAATCGATCGGATATGACCCGTGGGAGACACCCTTGCGCACCGGCAAACGCCCACGTATACACGAGAACAGCTTACCGCCCAAGGGGCTTTCTGGAGCGGGGTGCAACCCCGGCAAACCCCATCCATCCTTCGTCCAACATTCCACCCACTTCCACCCATTCAGCAGCACAAACACACACACGCACTCACAAACCCATAGCTGCATATCTCCAAATCTGCACACTGAACGACATAGCAGCGGCCAAGGCATGTCCATCACACAAAAGCGACGTCGGATCACTCGGACCCAGTGTAACATTGTTCATTCAAGCACCCATTCACAGATAATCTCCGTATGTTGTATTATGTGTGCGAGACTGCAACTTGGCGCGTAACTTGTGAACCCCCTTCCTATTCACCGGCTAGCCGGCTGACCGTACGATCCTCCGACGGGGCTCAAAGGATTTGATGGAATGCCGGCGAAATGGTGCTGTGGAGAAACCCCCCGTCACTCCTAAGGCATACAGCCTGGCACCGACTTGGTTGGCCCCCCTTTCGTAATAGCACCTCCTCACAGGCTGCAATAAAAACATGACATAAATAACTACTAGAGGAAGTAACGCTCACCCTGGAGATTATATAGCAGCTTTACGCCTCTCAGCCTCCCAACAAAAAACGATTACCAAGCACTGCACTGAACTGAGACATGCGTGATAAGTATTCCACAAATCCATCGAGGCCACTTTCTCCTTGCTTCTGTAAATTTTATGACCCAACTCTCGGATTCGATCCCGGTTTCCTGCGCGCAAGGCCCACCAAGGCCACTCCGAATATCATTATCATGGACGGCTGAGTTACCCCCGGCGATCATCAGCATGACAAGACACATGACAAAGACCACAGCATCCTAGACCTCAAAAGACACCATTACAAGCCCAATCGTATCTCCAAGCCCCTCAGAACGAAAGAAGCAGAACCTGACCGCTGCACACCCCGGCCCTCCTTGCAAACCCCTTCTCCCTTCTCCCTCTTCAACTAGCGCCACCTTGCGTTGTGTAACCCCTCCTCTTCCTCTTCCTCTCCTGCCCAACCCTCCTCCTCCACTTCCTGCACTTTGCCTACTACCTCCCCTCCTACATTGTCGTTGGCATCTCCATCCCCGGCACCCTCTGCACCGCCGACCAGGTCTCTGTCTCCAACAACAACCGCCGAAGGGGAGCCACGCCCCCGGTCGACCAGCTGGCCCAATTGGGACAGGGCAAGCACGGCTTGATGCAAGGCGCTGCCGTCGCCGTCGCCGTGGCCATCACCATCGCCACCGCCAGCTTCATAATTGCCGACCCCGCCTGGACCCGACAGGCCAGGGACAGACAGCTCTCGTGTGCTGTACGAAGGGGATAGCGACAGCAGTTGCCGCTGCTGCTGCTGCTGCTGCTGCAGGAGCAGATGCTGTTGCTGTTGTGGTGGTTGCAATTGCTGGTGCTGGTGACGCTGCTGGATAACCCGCGAAGGCCCTTCATGCACTGAGGGCGCCGCAGGTTGTCCCGACTTCATCCGCGGCAGCAGCTGCGGACTCCGGGGCGGTGCCATCCCAACGGCCTGTGGCCAGTCTGAGCTCGGAAGTCCTCGCAACTGCTGCCGCTGCTGCTGTGGCGACATGGGCTGCATGTATTCCCGGTACGGTCCGATATTGCCGGCGGCCCCCGGCGGCATCCGTACCGCGCCATCGCTGTCGCCATCGCCAGCGTCGACAGAAACACCATACCGGGACGCACCTCGGGGCCGGGGCATCGACGCCGCTGCGTCATCAGCATTATCAAGCGCAGTAGTCGTATAAGGCCCATAGGTTGCAGGTGCGGTCCCTTTTGATGGCACATCGCCGCCGCCGCCAGCAAAAATGTTGCGGCCGCATGCTGCCTCAACCGTACGATCGGCGCTCCGAAACTTGTTGGCCCGGCTCCCGTAAACAGAAGACGCCCCTTTAGCCTGCGTCTGCTGCTGCTGTTGCTGCTGATCGCACATGGCCGGTGAAGGCAGATCGCAAAATGCCGTGTTTGACGCCGAAATGTGTGGCTCCGCCAGCACCGTGTCACCGCCAGGCCCCACGAACACAAGGCTGCCATCCAAGCCCAACCGGACATGTGCGACCCGGGGCATGAAGGCGGCGGCGGGCAGCCTTACCTCCTGACGGGTCCGTGACCCGCTCCCCCTTCTTAACCCTTCCTGCAAATGCCGCGGCTGTTGTTGTTGCTGCTGCTGCTGCTGCTGTTGCTGCTGCTGCTGCTGACGATACCATCGAGGCTCGTCTGTGGCACCACTTGCAGCATTAGCAGCAGCAGTAGCTACGGCCGCTTCCCACAGCCTCGAGCGGACATCGCCTTCCATGTGGGGTACGACACTCCCGGTGCCGTACTCGATGACGCCTTCCGCGGGATCTCCTGGGAGGCCAATAGCTGCCGCGGCAGAAACGGCTCCACGTCTGACGTCAGGCGTTTCGCTACGGCCGCTACGCCCTCCCCAGTTTGGAACCTGTTGCTGCTGATGCGATGGCTGTCCTCCAGGTCCTCCGCCACTGAAGGAGCCGCATAAATGCACGCCGCCGCTGCCATCATCACCGTGTGGGCCGCCGGCGCGGTCCTCGTTATCACCACCCGAAATGGCCACGTGTACTTCTGATGACGGCTGAGGACCGTGGCGGAGGCCCAAGACTCGGTGCCCCTTGGCGGTGCCGCCGTCAACCGCGACGGCGGCGGCGGATGCATTGCCTCGGCCGCCGGCGCCCCGTATCGTTGCTGCGGCAGCCGTCAGCAGCGCCCTGTCCACAGATCGAGTTCTGTTGCTGCCACCGGCGCCACCGCCTCCACCGCCTCCACCGCCTCCACCGCCTCCACCAGCGGCATCTCTAAAGCAGTACTCGCCCACGAGCCGCACCGCGGGAACCTCGTGAATACGAGCGCCACCGCCGCAGTCCGCATCGCCGGCCCCGGTGACTGCGGCGCTGCCGTCCCCTCCGCCCTTCTGATCCCTAACACCATAGTCGGCCGAACAAAGACTTCCATCCGCAGGTTTGCGTTGCAGCTGTAGCAGCTGCTGCTGCTGTAGCTGTAGCTGTAGCTGTAGCTGTAGCTGCTCTGCCAGCTCTAGGCGCAATTGCTGCTGCAGCGACTGCCGCTGACCAAACTGCAACTGCTGCTGCTGCTGCTGCTGCTGCTGCATATGCTGCCGCAACTGAAGCTCCAAATGTGACCGTCCGTGCTGTTGCTGTTGCTGTTGCTTAAGCTCCTCAGGCTGCGGGTACAAGTCTCTGGCCTCTAGGGAGACCTGCTTCGCGGGCAGGTCACAATCTGAGTCGGTATGCGCGGCGTATCCATACGGCTGTGGCGGCTTTCGCGTCTGGAGGTGTTCACGGGACTCTCCTCGGTCTCCCGGGGGCGGGGTCGCTGCACCCTGCGCCGGCTGAAAAGCGGCGGATGGCTCCATGGCAGCTCCCCTGCTGCCGCTGCTTTGTGGCACTACCGGATGACGTACAGGTCGAGGCCTGGACGACGGGAGCTGTAGCTGCTGCTGCCACTGATGCGGCCGCAGCTGGTCTTGCAAGCCTTCCATCACCCGCAGCGCGCCTCCTGCAGCCTGCGCGAGTTGTTCTGCATCCGCTGGCGACGGCGGCGCCGCCTGCCTTAAGGCATGCGCGCCGGCGGCGGCGGCTGCCGCCGTTGCCGCTGCCTGCGTTCTTGTCGCAGCTCCGATGGATCCGGTGCCGGTGAGGGCCTTCGTCTGCTGCTGGGCCCCGGGGATCGGGGCAGACGTCCCAGGACGCCACGGAACGGTCAGCAGCTCGTCCAGCGCCTCATCGTACTCTCGTTGCGGATCCATACCGGCGACGGTGGAATCAAGTGACCCATGGGTCAATATGTCAGCATCCTGATCGCCTGCCACAGCAGCGGCGTCGGCGGCGTCGGCGGCAGCCCAAGCCCTGTCCTCGCCATCGTCCCCAGCGGCGGCATCCGCCACCGCCGCAACGCGCCCCGGGAAAATGCGTCCGTCAGACATCTGGAAAAGTGTACGGACGGTACCCGGCGGCGGTGGCGTGGGCAATAAGGCATCCCTGGAGTTGGCGGCCTGTAGCAAAATCACAGGCGGGCGACCGCCTAGTTGCCCTGCAGCTCGAACCAAGCCCACCACCGCTGGCATCAGGCGTGTATCGACGTCGATGATTCGGATCCCGAGCCGAGTGTCCCAGGAACCTTGTCGCCGCTGCTGCACAGCCGCCGCCGCCGCCGCCGCGGTGGTGGCGCCTCTGTTGCCTCCGGCTGGCTGCTGATGCTGAAGGTCCCGCCCGCTGTCCGGGTAATCTTCAGCGACAGCAGCAGCAGCAGCAGCGGTAGGAGAACGTCTCACTGCCGCAAACATGGGGCCGAGGGGTCCCCTGCCGCCCGCAGGTGCCCCCTCAGGCGGCTGCAGCGACAGCTCTGTGGCGGCGGCGGCGGCGGCGGCGGTGGCAGCTGTCCCCGCCACGACGGTTAAGTGGCCGCCGGCGGTCCTGAGTCGCTTGGGGGCTGGCGGGGTCGTTGTGGTGACCTCTACAGAGGTGCTCCGGCCCAGGCTGCGAGCTTCAGGAGGGCCTGAGCCCTGGTGTCTGTGGGCGTGCAAATGGAAGGATGTGGGTGTGTGATTGACACAGAGGGTGTTCGAAAGAGAGAGGGACGCGCGCGAGAGAGAGGAAGAGAAAAAAGGGGAGAGGGGGAAAAGAGAGAGAGAGAGAGAGAGAGAGAGAGAGAGAGACAAAGAATGAGAGGAATATGGGGACGGGAGCGAGCAGCTTTAATGGCCATGCACTACGAAAACGGGAGGAGAGTAAGCGGTCAAGCTCGACAAAGACTGGAGATAGGGAAGGAGGTTTGAAACCGGTGAACTGAAACTCAGTCCCGAAGCACAAGCAAACGACAAGCAAACGACAAGCAAAGCACGAAAATTCCAAAAGGATAAATAAAAGGGCACAAAGCAAAGCAACCTCCCTCCCGTCCGTCCGTGCCATTACAACATTATCCTCTTCGAGCTGCCTTGACGGCACCTCACCGCGCTTGGCCTGTGCTGCTAGACCGCTGAGGGCCTCCGTCTGTATCGGTCTGTTGTAACAACAGTCCGCCGGAAAACTCCCTCTCCATCTTTTCCTTGATAACAGCAACTGCCGATGCTACCGCAGGGCCAGAAGAAGACGGGCCTTCCCCCAGCACAGCCGCCCTGGCGCCGCCGCCACCGCCACCGCCACCGCCACCGCCACCGCCGCCGCCACCGCCACCGCCACCGCCACCGCCACCGCCACCGCCACCGCTAGCTCCCGGATAGCTAAGCTGGGGCTTTAAGAGCAATAGCGCCGCCGCAGGGCGGCCGACGCCTTCAGCCGCGCCTTCGGCACTTCCCGCCCTGGCGCCTGACGTCCGCAGGTCCTCTAGGGGACGGGGAGACGGCACTGACGCCTGAAGTCCCACCGCCGTCGCGCCAGCCGCCGTGCCCGTTCCGGCGTCGGCTACAGACGGATGGACCAATCCGCGAGCCCGCGCTCCACCGCCGTCACGCTGCTGCACCGCCGCCGCTGATAATTCCTGGATGCCACGGCCAAGCTGTTGCAGCTGGTACAAAAGGAAGTTCCAGGAGCCCGGGATCAGAAGAGCGAGCAAATACGGCAACGTGTACGTCACGCGCGCGAGCAAGCAAGCATACAGCACGCATGCCAAATGTACGCCCCGGAACCGTACGGCGATTGCGTCAACGTCCATACCCCATGCAAACCAGGGAGGAAACCTCCCTGCCCCCACCCTCGTCGCTCCCCCCTTTCGCAGCACTACCTGAAAATGGGCATCCGAGGAAGGGAACTGGAAAGCAGCACCGGTCCCAGGCCCGCCGCCGCTACCACCACTGGCGGAACCTCCGCGCCTCATTTTGCCCGGTAGCACCGGTTGCGGGCCGCCAGCACCGACGCTACCGCTGCCACCACCGCTCGCAGCTGTAGCAGCAGCTGTAGCTGCAGGATAAAGTCCAGCAGCAGTAGCAGCAGCAGCCAAGTCCGAGCCAGGTCGGGGCAGCTGCTGTAGAGGGTGGTAACCAGAGCGATGTCGTGCAGAAGCGGTGCCGTCAGAGGCGACGGCGGCGCCGCCCGAAGGTGGCGGGTCGTCCTCCTCGTCGCCGTGCAGCAAGTGCGAGGCGCCCGACATCCTGTTGCGCGGGGCGCCGGCGGCCATGAGACAAATGTTGGTGAAGCTTGGTGAAGAGGTGGAGATGGCATGACCTATGTTCTCTGCGGTGTGAATGGACATAATCAGCTTGTTTCGGATCGTGTGCCTTTCCGCATGCTTTGGGCACCTCGTGCGTGTCCGTCAGGGCCAAACCCCCAACTGCTCCGCCTTCAAGCGCAATCTCTAATGCAAGCATGTGCCCACCGTCTCAAACCAAGCCGGCGTTTGTTAGTTATTAGCACTATTTGGCCCCAGGTTGCCTTGTGACCGAACAATGGAAACCTTCCTCTTCCTTCCTCCACGCACAGATCTTCATGTTCGGAAAATCAGCTGCCGTACCCGCTGCCGTGCTCGTCCAGTAAAGGAGCCCGTCCCGCAAGTTGCAGCAGTTCTTGTTGCTGTCGTTGCTGAGCAAGAGCAAAGCTGCCGCTGCCAGCACCGCTGCCGCCGCCACCGCTGGCAGGAACAAAGCGACCCTCGCTGCCTGTGGCGGTGGCGGCGGCGTTCTGCTGCCCTTGGTGAGGTAGCGATGCTCCGCCGTCAACATCACCGCTGCTAACTGCCCTGACGGCTCCTCTGTACGGCTGCGCGTTGCCTCCGGATGCGGTCCTGCCGCGTCCGGCGGCTCCACCTCCATCGCCTCCAATTGCCGGCTGCGAGTCTTGCGGACCTCGAAGCTGTTGTCGGCTTTCGTACGACTTGGGTGTGAAGCCGAGTTGACGCATGTGCTGAGTACAGTATCTGCAGAACAAAAAAGACATGAGACTGAACGGGGTCGAGCGCGTGCGCGCGTGCTGGAGGGACAGGAAGGATTGGCTACGCCAAATGCGAAGCACAAAAATTCCTCCGGTTTCATCTGCCACCGGTTTCCAACGTAGAATTACGCCGTGTAAGTGCTGCAGCGGTGTATTGCCCAAATGATTGGCTGTATTCCTTAGGGGACTTGGACAAGATGTTAACACCTAGATGTCGCGTATGCATGCATGTCCGCCTAGATGGAAGGGCTTAAATACGTATTAACTGGACGGCATGCCACAACATACTTGCTGCTACTTCGGAGCGCAGTCTTCTGGTCGGCACACTGCTACTAAGGACATGTAGACGAATCAGGGTTGATTCATGCGAATTGCACTCTGAATTGGAACCAAATGGGCCTGAATCGGATCTGGGGTCTGGGGGTATGATTCGGCGTAATTGATGAAATTCATTCTCTCGAAACGGCCGTTTAACAAACCAGTTTTCATTAATCACGTCTATGATAATACATTAACAATTTCCAGCTGATAAGTTACACAAAGCACACCGAGCATTCTTCGCCAGTAGCTGCATCTACATAGTACAAGGCTGGCGATGATGTTGATAAAAAGGGCATAGTTATAGAGTCATATTCTTAAATAATGCTGATCAGCTTTAGGCGTTATGAGGCAAATTGTGACTATGCGACATTTTGTGCCGCAATCGCATGTGAATACAACTCGAATCGCCGGAACGAAATGGGCATGCAACCATACTCCTACTTACACTACATGTGAACACACCCTAGTATGGCGACAGCAGCAGCTATCATGCGTGTAGCGACCACGTAATAATTGTATGAAGCGGAAGTTTAATCTCGTTCGTCATATAGCATAACGATGTCCGTCATCCATGAGAACAAATAAAGACATTATATATAAATTCTTCGCTGTCGACCTGTCACTCGAATGAACTAGAACCCAAATACGAAAGAAAGTGATGACTTCCACGCACAAATCGAATAGCTAGCTGCAAAAAATGCTTTGATTTACGTAAAAGCAACACCGCTAGCTGGCAAGCAAGCAAGCGTCCTTCAGCATCTGGCCAGCCAGGAGCGGGGTTCGCTTGCTAACCAGCTAGCTCACTAACTTGCTAGTGAAGGCAACTAAATTGTTTGCGAAAATAATAATAATAATAATAATAATAATAATAATAATAATAATAATAATAATAATAATAATAATAATAATAATAATAATAATAATAATAATAATAATAATAATAATAATAGTACGCCGGCCGGGGCCTGGCGTGTGTTAAGGGGGTGGGGAACTGAGGGGCGGCGTAGCCGCTCCTGTATGCCCGCACCACCGTGGGAAACCGTTGCGAAAACTTACCAGCTGATCATTACCGCCGGTAGCTGCGAGATAGCTCGCTGCCTACCGATCACGTTACCACGTGTAACCACATGTGACACAGGCTAGATTGCCGTCATGCATCTAGGCGCCACAGCGACAATTTCGCTATGCTGCGGTTTGGAATTGCTTTAGGGTTTTGTTTTAGTCGTTATGTAGAGGCCTAGCTTGCTAACTAAAGCCCAGTTAGGCAACAAGAGTCTAGCTCGTTCCTTAGAGTTACAGCTTCATAATGTGCAAAGGCTGGGGCATAATTAGGCAAGCTGTCCCTAAGTTCCCCCTCCCTGCTTCCACAAGCCAGGCTGCGGCCGGCATACTGTTGCTACTTATTATATTATTTTCTATACAGGTAGCCGTCGATCATTGGTCAGCTAAAGCCCAGTTAGCTTAATCCCGATCAGCAGTTACCTAAACCCACATGCAAAACCCATGTTCTGCAGCCCCGAAACCATTTGAGAGGGCCACGGCATATCAAGCCATCATTAGTTCGCTACATAGGTAGTCATGCGCGCGTGCAAGCCATGAGTATAGGCTAGGGATAGGGAAGGCTGCATGTGCCAAGTAAATTTATTTTTTTAGTATACTTTTAAATTAATATCGAGAATAATCACATACACTTGTATGGTAGGTGCGCACCTGCGAAGCCCTGTGTTGGTTAGGCGGGCAAACTTCGTGCAGTCACGGACACTGCAGATTAGGCCCTTGTGCCTTCCGCGCCGCTCCTGGACCCCTACGTCTTCCAATTCCTGTTGCTGCTGCTGCCGGTTATGGACGTTGGAACTGAACGGCAGACATGGAAGGAATCCAGCAAGCAAAGCGCCGCCGCATGCAAGGAGGCAGGCAGCAGGGGCACATACGGAGGAATAATGTAAGCGAGCAATAATGCAAAACTGAAAGGGAGAGCCCAGGAAATCATGCCTGTCTGCTGAACCCCCTGCTGCGGCTGGCTGTTTTACGTGATTGCAAAAAATGCATGGTAATTGGTTTAGATGTGGCATGGCTAATGAACTGCGAGCAAAATACATAGAATGCACTTGAGTGAGGGGATTCAAATTTTTCGAAAGCAGCAGGTAGGTCGTCGACTGTTGGATGATCACACTATCTAATCCTAGGAGGGAGTCAACGAACCATGGCCATCGAGTGTGTACCTATCGGACTTTGCTGTTACTGATCGGACCGACGCCATGCGCATGTTAAGCAAGGAACAGCAGTTCACAAGCATTGCTCGCTCGTAATAAGCGGCCGCAGTATGTATGTGAGTGAAGTGGCTCTCTTAAATTCAGCATTTCCTGCCATCCGAACATAACGATGTAAAGGAACAAATAATGCGGCCAGGAAGGTGCCGGCTTGTAATATATAGCAGTATGACTACATATTTTCCGAGATAGGCAGGGTAATGGAACCCCTGCTGCTGCTATTACCCCCTGCGGAGCGAGCTCGGTTGATGCTCAGCAGTTGGAATAATGGCCGACGAATAGCCAAGTGCGCGGCACAGCCGAGTGCGCAGCAGGTATGTATGCTGCCGCCGGTAGCAAAAGGCAGACAGTTCTAAACCAAGCTACCTGAGCGTACGTCCCTAAGCAATCTTCCATGAAAAAGCGTGCACATACAGCAGTTAGCTACGTACTTCCCTTCCCAGCAGCAGCCACGACCTCAGTACTGCTGCTGCACTGGGTCGGCGCCCAGCAGCGGGCCGGCCAAAATATTATTCACTCCACATTTATAACGTTGATAACAACAAGAATTTACAGTCTATAAAACCAAAACGACAGAATTAATGCCTGCGGAAAAATGAATGCAGCACCAGCAGAGCGTTTAGGTAGGCAGGAAAGCGAGCAGCAGCAGGGACATGCATACTCGTAACGTAGAACGTAACATAAGCAAACTGAAGTAGATGCCATGTAACGTAGCAGAAATTTGTTTTCCAAAAAACGAATTAAATAGTAGCTTTGCTTCGTCATTCATGACCATATTCACTAGTAGTGGGGCGGTTGAAGACTGTGAAGCGGTTGAAGACGAATTGCATGTTTGTGCTGAATGCCCCGCTTACAAGAGCATACGGGCTAAGTACAATGGTCACCTCTTTTTAAGGGACGCAGCATGCGCACCGTTATGACTGAGGCGCCACCCCTGGCATTGGCCAGGTACCTCTCGGAAATCTGGGAGGCCAGGCACGTCGCGCTGAGGCGCTTCGCCCTGAAGTGGACGAGGGAGAATGATGATAATTGCCCCCGCCGTACCCGCATGAATACCAATAATAATAACGTCCATGGGCCCCCCGGCTTTTACGAACACCCCCGCACTTGTGTGCGGAGCTTGTAACTTGTAGTAATACGGCTACTCATCTATCAGCCACAGACAGCATGCGGTCTCCAGCAGCGGTTAGAAAAGCTCCAGCAACAAAGACGGATTCCTGGAAATTGGTTTAGCCATAGTGGCACAGTACGTAAGTGACTGGCCTTTGGGACGGCGGCGACCTCCTTTATTACTAATAAAGAGCGATAGATAGTTCGTATCGCTTCGTCTACATTACCTACTTATGGCTACGAGCAATGCAACTATCACAATTGCTACAGCAGCTCATCGTGCATCATAACTGTAAGACGTTCATCTACACACTGAAAGGATTGCTACTCACACGACCGCCCTTGCTTCCCATCCACTTGCTTATTGTTGCACTATTTCGTTTGACGGATGACCAGCATGTGCATCGCAGATAAGTGCCATCCGATGCTGCGGCCGCGAGATCGATGGAGCACCGGAGGGATGCAGTACCAATAAAAAAACATCCAACCCGCCGCCACGCACCTCACATGCTTGTACATACATACATACATACATACATACATACATACACATACATACATACATACATACATACATAGAGATACTCACTCTTCCGCTGCCAGTAATTGTTGCGATGGCAGCTGCTGAAGCTGTAGCTGAGGTTGTGCAGCTGTTGCTTGTTGCTGTTGCTGGTAAGACGGCGGTTTTGACGACGACGTCGGCTGTAGTGAAAGTTGCGACGATGCTTTAGCGAACGGTGACTCCGCTGGGTTGCCGTCGCCTCCACACTCAATGTGGCTCCGTGGTCCGCCTGACGCTGTCGCCCCAACCGTATCTGCTCCTGGGGCAGCTGCTTTCCGGGCGGCATCAATGCCGCCGCTGCCAGGGTTCACTACAGCAGGGGCCCCCCTGCCACTAACATCGCTGGACTTTGTGCCGCCGTCGTCGGCCATCCCCTTTTTTGTACTCCCGCCTCTCCTGCCGCCGCCGCCGCCCAACGCTGAATATTGTTCAACAGCTGCCGCAGGGGGCATTCGCGGCTGTCCAGTAGGCAACTGGCGGCCAGACACAACCACTGTTCCTAGTTCATCGTCATCCTTATCCTCCCTGGAGTCCTGCTGCTGGATGGCCGGTAGTGGCGTACTTCCTCCCACCTGGCGGCTGCTGCTGCGCCGCTCCCCGTCGCCGTCGCCACCGTCATACTGATGGTAATCGCCATCGGCAGTAGTGCCGCTATCGCCGTCATTATCCGTGCCGTCGGCTGGGACATCGTCCGACGGCAGCGTCAAAGCCAAATCATCAGTGACATCATGGCCGTCTGCAAGTGGGCAAACGACGGACATACAAACGGTGATGGAAACAGAACCACATCCTGGAATCGGCGGACGCCGCCTGGAGGCAGGGGCACATCGGCGGGGCGACGAAGGCCCCCCCCAGCAGTTCGAAACACCAGTTGTTGCATTTACAGTTGTTGCGTAATGCTATGGCCCGCGGATCCTCCCCCCAAACAAGGTAAAGATCCATTGAGCATGTGATTACAAATGAAAAAGAGTGTAAGAAAGAAATGAGTACGAAGCGTGATGATAACGAAACTGTATACGCTAGCTAGCTCGCTCGTGGTGCCAGGCTGGCCTCCTTCATTCTCCGCCCCGCCATCATCGTCGTCGTCGTGTGATGGCGTCCTGCTGCATCTTGATGGGGACCGACAGCGCAGGCAGATTACGCAGCAAATGCACCTCCCGGAAGCCAGCTGGGCTTCCATCTGGTGTTACCTAGCTAGCTAGCCTACTGCTGCTGTAATTCAAATGTTAGTAACTTCCATTTATTTCTGGTGGCTGCAGTTTTCCGTCTTATTTCCGGACGACGAAAAGAGATATATATATATATGTATATGCTTTCCAGTTGTTCTACGCTTTCCTGGCTCTTTTAAGCCTTGTGATCATTCTTAGTTAAAAAAAACGTCTCGCAAAATATATGCGGGCGCACCATTTGCTGCTGCTCCAATTCCCAATTCCGTGGGGCCTCTGCTGCCACCAGCGGCAACCTCTCGGCTTCCGGCTGTATCACGATGCAGTGGCCGCCACCGCCTCTGCTGCTGCTGCGACTGCCGCAATCCTTGCGCATTGGAGTCCCTTGCTGATTGGTGGCGGTAGTGGTGCTGTTGTGCGGTACAGGCGCCGATGTTGCCATCGTTGGCCTGGTTGCACAGGCGGTCCTGCTGCTGCTGCTGCCGTTGCTGCTGCTGCTGCCGTTGCTGTTCCAAATGCCTCTGAATCTGTCCATTGTCAGCCTGTTGCTGGGGATGATCAATGTGGCGCCTTTTCTGCTGCTGTTGTTGCTGCTGCTGCAGGCTTGCTGTTGTGCTCTCCACCAAGTTGGTCCTTGCAATTGTTGCCGAAGCCGTGGCAGCTGCTGCTGCTGCTGCCGCAAAGCTAGCGTCCATCCCTTCAACGCACGCAGCGGCTGTAGCTTCTGCAGATGCACCCTGCTCTGGATCCACGACAGCGGTTGCTGCGGATGCCACCGTCGCTGCAGCTGCAGGTGGCGATGAGGGGGCGGCCCTTTCCATGATAGCGCACGAGCGCTTGCAAAAGCTATCCAGTGAGTCGTGCTAGACTGCTATGTGAGTCGCGCTACCGTCCTGAAGCTGCTGCTGCGGCGGCGGCGGCGGTCCGAGGAGTAGTGTAGTGCCCATCGAGCTTGTGCACACGCAACCAAAGCCAGCGGCCCCGCCGGTAGCAATTTTTAGTGAGAAAACTTGCAGCAAAATTTGTCAAGCAACGGAATTCTCAGAGTAAGCAGCCGCGCGTGCGGACGTCCCTGCCAACAGCAGTGGGTATATGTCGCCTGGGCGAAACCCGAGAGGTGAGTTTTAGCTTCTGCTACTGCCGCCACCACTACTGCTGTCACTGCTGCTGATGGTGCATAGGAACGTCTGCAGGTAAGATTGAGCCAGAATGTCAACGAAAGCTGTTGCTGTTGCAGCGTTGTTACGGTGCTCCTCTGCTGCTGGCCCACAAGCGCACCTCGATATAGCGGTACGCATCTCGCTCGCCAACACGGCGGACGAAGCTGGTGTAGCGGCAGCAGTAAGCACCTGTCTGTCCACTGCCTGCGGTTCGTTCCGTCGGTAAAACTTTTCATGGCGCATAGAAAGGATCATGGTATAATAGACAGGACCGTGAAATAGATAACATATTGAATCATGGTATAGGATTTTAGGTCATGCCATGAGATAGTCCTACAAAAATAGCTGCTGGTCTACAGACGAACGGGGCAGCTAACTAGCATATCAACTATCAACCTAGCTAGCTAGTCAAGTAGCCATCCGCTGAATCCCAATTCAAATATATGCATGCCCTCTGCTTGTTGCCACTAAACATACAGGCCGCCGTAAGGGAACAGCTGTGTGCCATCTATCGCATGCAGCATCATCCCATATTTAATTTAATAGTGCGAGCCCAAACCCTCCCTCCCTAACTGCTGTAGCTAATAGCTAATAATAGTACCTCAAACAAACTTTGTAGTTGATCGTGTGCTTCTTATTTTTAAGCGATTTCTACTTTTGTTTAGGTAGCCACATATAGCCAGCTACACATAGATGGCTTTGTGTCCTGGCATTCCGGCAGGACGTAAGATAAGCGAGGCTAGCAGGAATTATTGCGTAGCTATCTAGCTGATGAGTAGTAATGATTAAACAGGCCCCCCTTGAATAATCGGGACTCGCGGCAGGGAAAGACAATGCAATCAGCAGATAGACAATAAGCAATGCGCACGTATAGCAGCGACGGCAACAGCAGGCGGTACGCTAGGCGGTGGGCGGGGTGCGACGACAGATGTTACACGCACAAGGAGTTGCTGCTCGTGCCTCTAGCAGATCATCATCGTTCTCAATGGGTTTCTCAATGGGTTTCGAAGCCCGCCGCCGTTCGCCGCTGCTGTTGTTCTTGGATGGAACAGAAAGAACAACGACGAACAGAGAGCTTTAAATAGTGTTCTATGCATCTGATTTTACTTCCGTCAACCTGAAGACCGCGCCTGCGAGCAGGTGGTGCTAGTCGGCGCGCGATTAGGGGTGGTACTTACCAGCTATATATCTTTCTCTATATTGGCAGCTTTATCCCCGCCATCCCACGCACATCCAAAACGTTCGTTTGTTATCCTGAACCGGCCCTGATTGCATGCTGCCTGAGCCATTATTACAACCTCAGCCAGCCGCATCTTTTTGTGAGAAGTAAGAAGTAAGCAAGGCCCGCTGGAGCCGGGAATGGGGCGCCGCTGGTCATTTCGCGCGCGTGGGTACGCGGCCAGGTATTTAGTGCGCAATCAGATGTGTTATTAGCTATAGGTGCACGCGGTACGTTCGTACACCGACGGAAGCAGCAGCTCGTATTGAGAGGTTGGGTCTTCGGTAGTGAGATCCAATATTGTTCTTCCTTACTTCACAACGTAAGGTCTGGAATATGTGGAGCGGGATGAGTTAGACCTAGTAAGTACTACGTGGTAGATGCTGGCCTACGGCACACACGTATTAGTGTCCTTGCGTGTTTACCGCCTATGGCGGGTGCAAGTGGCGGCGGCGAGAGGCGCATAATAATAGCGGATAGGATAACCGCTGCAGACGGCCCGTGCTGGTTAATAAATGAATGGGATCGCCGACGTAACATGGCTAGCGTGTTGCGTTATCCTCGCTGCTGCAAGCATGACCTTGCGCGCGCCTTAGCCAGCTGCAGCTGCTGAGCAACGAGCAGCTAAGCTGATGCGCATGTTTGAACATAGGATGCAGCCCAGCCAAAGCTACGCACTCCAGCCCAACCCCGCACCTCTACATCAGCTCAATTGAGGCTTTCAGCGACAGGATTTGCATGTCATGAGATGGTCTGGGCAGATTTCGGCGCAATAATGGCCGACGACGTGCACTCAACTCGTTTGTGGCCCCAAAAAGACCAGGACATTATGACGATGCAAGCTCACCCACCTAGGTCCACATCCTCCCCTTGCCTTTAAACGTCCGCCGCTGTTATACCGTTGTCAACCGTCACGCCCGCTCCCCGCGTAACTGGTTCCAATAGCAGCGGCTGCGGCAGATTGAGTACGCTGCTATATGAAGAGCTTCGGACGAGAGTCCTGCACGCCTTTGAGCCAAGCACCTGAATTTGGTCAGCCAGGGGCGTTATGGCGTGTTTTTGCCGATCAGAGAGGTCCAAATCAACCGTTGGATGAGGAAGGTTTGAATTTTTCCATTCGTTGGGCGGCCTGATAGAATTCGCCGAGCAGCAAGGGAAGGAGGCGAGTATACTCGCCTCCACTGAAACACTATAGTGTTGCACCTAGCAGAAAAATTAGGACGGTTAGGACGTATGCACAGGCCACATTAGTTATAGGCGTCTTTCTGGCACCTTGACAATGCCTTGTCCAGTCCTCTTTCTTGTGGAATGGTCAGGAGACAACTTTGCTTGCCTGAAAAGGCCCACGTGGGATGGCCAAGCATTCGCCCAAGAGCTTAAAACCCTTTAATACTGATACGACTGTGTCCTCAAGATAAGATTATGTTTAAATTACGACCTAACATGCGCTGGGAGAGACTCAGCCGAAAGTACCACGACGGGAGCTTAAACCGCCCAATTTTAAAGTAAGTGACGATGCTTGCAGCCTATAATTTCATGTTCCAGATTAGAGGATCTCAACCAAAAGAGAGTTCGATATGCACGGGCAAGAAGTACAAGGGTTGTACAGCTGTCCCTATGCCAACCTGCGGCTACTCAAGATGCAACGTCAGACCTTTATCAGAGGGAAATGTATTCTCGGTCGGCTTACCTTGTAGGGCTTGGTAAGCTTGAAAACGGGAAAGTTTACAGGACGGTATACTCAGCAGCAGTTGATCCAGCAGCAGCTATTTGTGCTGCCCCGAATTACGCTGCGCTCTGATAAAATAGAGAAGCAAATATCATTGCCGCTAAGAAGCGTTCAGGCTGTCTCACTAGCTTGCCTTACTGCCTTTCCGTATCAAAAATTGTGGAAAAGAATTATCCAATCGAAATAGCGTCGGGAATGCAGGGAACTGTGCTCAACGAAACGTACGCGGTGAACTGTTTGTGCATCTTGCCTTATTCTGACCAACTGAAGCTGCAGTCCACTTGGACGAGATTGATCCCGCCCGCGCATGCAAATAACAAAGTAAGGCTTCAGCAAGCCGCCGATGATGACACTATGCCAAGCTTGCACACGCTCCACTGCTGACATTCATAATTATACAACACAGACAACAGTACTATGAACTTCGCGTCATCACCTACACAATTCAAACGGCCATGAAAACTCTGCTGTTGAATGCGCAAGATTGGATGAACCGACACCAGTCATCTTCCTCACAGAATTATTGTGCTCTAAATAATTAACTTCTGGCTGCTGGCAAAGCTGAAACGAGGCCGAAGGGGGGTTCGTCGAGCGAGCGGCACGCAGCGGCTTTAACGAACGCTACGTTACGCCAATTTATCCTTCTGGCGCTCAAGCAGCCTATTTGACTTAATATCTGCCGACTAGGAGTCCGCGTTGAAACCATACATGCGGGTGCATCGTAAGTAACGGCGGCTAACAGCACGCAGAGACAGTTTATGAGATGGGACGGGTCGCCTATGGCAAAACACTGTTTAATAATCCAATTCTTCATCAGTTTTGGTGTCAAAACCCGAGCGGCATCAGTTTGCCTGACGTATTCACGATAGATGATTTGGAGCGAGGCTGCAAATCGGGATGCGATGTTTTGGATGCAGCCAATTCAAACTATTGCTTACCCAAGCCTTGTCGCGCAACGTAAGGTAAGGCGGCCTGACGCCGTGCGCTATGAGGTGGTGGCTGTTTGGGCGGCCAGGTTCCAGCGTGATGGCTATTATGGGTTTGTTTGGCGGGAGGAGAGGGCATGGGCAGAGAAGCATGCCCATCCTGCCGCCTCTAACCGCCGCAGGGCGGAACGTCCACACGTACGTACATACATTTATGGGTGTTATGTATGTACGTATGTATATATCTGCCCGCACACGCCCGCCGAATACCAAAGCTAGTGTGCCCATATGAGTGCGTTACCCTATAGAGTAGCGGCCTGTATTGCTGCTGCCGCCGATCGAGTAACCATACACTTTTGCTTGTGCGGAAAACACTATTATTACTACTGCTGCTGATGATGATGATACTGATATTTTTATACGTACGCCAATGGCACCTATCTATCGACATGCATGTATTTCTGACAACTCGCTGGCCTGCTTTTCTTGGCCATGCGTAGGCTTGAAAGGGTGGGGTAAAGGTGCAGCTAAACCGCCGCCGACCGTAGGCCACTGACGACCCTTCCAAACTGTAATATCCACGCGTTCACAGATCAAAAAGGTTTTCGCCATTACTTAAGTAACTGCACAATACTTCCTGTGCTTAATAACCTTGAATCGATAGGACGTCGCAACCTGTCGCAAGCAGTAATAATAATCGAGTCAAGCCAGGCCTACCCAGTTACTCAAGCACTGGCAACGTAAGACATCACATAAACAATATCATATTTATAGCGTATCGACTGTCCGCTGGCGACAGAACGTGATACAGCACTGGAAGTGGTGGAACCCTGCTAGGGCTGCTGTATGATGTGTGATGTGTGAGACAGGGGGGTTACATCTTCACCCTGCGGCCGCTACCCGGCAGACCCGGCCTTCCCCGGGATTTTGGGGCACCCTCACCTAGGCATCCTGGCCAACTTCTCGTGTATCGCTCAAGCTCCGTACCAGGGTTCGACACTGACCTTCCTGAGACTTGCGGGCTCCCCCGTACCTCCCAAATTTTCCTTACGGAGGGGCCCCCGTACCAGGCTCCTGTACCGGCCGAAAACCTTACGGGGGCCCCCGTAACCCCCGCAAAACCTTTACCGGGGCACTGTCCTTGCCTGAAACGCTGTGGAAAGTGACGCTTTGCACTTTTTTGCCCTGTAAATCGTTATTATCGTTATTTTCTCGTGAACCATTACACTCGGGGACACGGCACACTCAGTGAAAGCCAAGCGCCTTGGCCGCCGGGGCCGCGGCCGCCCATCCCTTCTGCTCCTCTTTCTCGTCCTCCTCATCCTCGTCCTCCTCCTCATTATCAAAATCCTCAGGATGTTACAGACCAGAAGTTATAAAAGTATCATGAAAAGTGTAGTTAAATATTGCAATATAAATTATGTCTGCCAAGTGTGTGGCCTTATCCTATATATGGTCAAAGGGTACTACAACCTTGCACGGCAGTCGGCAATCGGTCCGTCCTCTCCCCTACGGGGGACTTTACGGGCCTCGTACGGCCTCTTATAAATCCTTAAAATCCTTACGGGTACGGAGTCCGTACCCACCACCGGCTCCCAATGGAAAATGCCGGATCGACGGCGGCCCCTGATCAGCTCGCAGGCTAACTTTATCCCAGATCAGCATCGACCAGCATTTCTACCTTCCACCATCAAAAACATTTCGACCTTGACTGGTCTCGATTGCGGAACCTCCGGGGGCGTTGGTGCATGCTCTACCAGTAATGCTTGATATATGTATGTATATATGCATGATGTGTGAAGCAGAGGGGTATATCTTCACCCGTAGCAGCTACCCTACGAAACCCTGCCTTCCCCGGTATGTCGGGGCACCCTCATCCAGTCAACCTAGTCAACTTCTCAGTGGATAGCTCAGGTTCCGCGCCCTCCACCTGCATCCAACGGAATTGCCGGGTCGATAGCGGCCCAACTCCCTTCCTGGTCGGATCTCTACCCCTGATCACCACCGTCCATTAACTAGGGGCGCAATACCTTCCAGCAATTTTACGATTTGCTATGTCGCCTTTTGTTTTATGATGTTTCTTCATTTCATTCAAAATACAAATTATAATCTACCACTGGCGGAACGCCCGCAAGGCACGCACGTAGTTAACCGTTCTACATGCGCCACACATATGCATATTGCCAGGCTTACAAGCGGTTTAAACTTATACCAATCCATAAATTCCCATGTATGCGCATGTGTACATGTGCGTACCTGCCGGGTACAGTGTGCACGCAAGCATACATTCACGTGGGTAATGGCACTGCGTGCACATTTGTTCGTTATGCCACCCTTCCTAGGCATTACAAGTAACCTGTGTGGAGGTTTTAGAGGATTTATGATAAGGAGGATTGGTTGAGGATGTTCATGGCTGTGCGCAACGGTGTTGCTTTTGTCCTCATGTTGATGTTCTGCGACCCAGCAGTTGCCATAAGATTTTATATAATTTGTCTTTGCATCTATGCGACCGCTGGAGAAGAATGGAAAACATAGCGGCCGTCGGCCTCGGCGAGGGATGGGTAGATGAAGTGCTCTGTAAGGCAACATGATGGGAAGACGTTGCTATTTTGCATTACCTAGTGTTTTAGCCACTCGTAAGGGGCCACGCGCACGCGCAGGGCGCAGCTGTTTTTTGGTGATCAGACAACCGCTACCGACTAACTGACCATAGGCCCGTTTGGAGTGTGACTCTATGTTTCACGCCATAGAGTTTGTAGAAAGCAATCGTTATGACAAGCTCTATATCACAATCCTGCACTGCTTCCCTTGCTGTCGATATGCCAAGGAGCACATTGTAAGGGACTCGGTAACTTGGTCGAATCACTGACACCAGTGTAATTCATGTCATCTCAGGACAAACATTGTACGGTTACCTGATGGTTGCTCAGGTTCTAATCGTTGATAGATCCTTACAAGGCGAGCTGGGATGCAGTTGGGCCCGCATGGGCCGGCAGGTGTGGTGGAATCTGGAATACCAGATATGTGCACACGGCAAACCTATACGCAACGCGTAAATAACATGTAAATGTCACGGCATGATTCCCCATCCACGCTTAGCAAAGCGTTCAACTCCGAAGGTTGACCTTGGCAGGACCTCGAGAGGAAAGCGTATGCCTCATAGTCGATCTCACTAGGTCCTGCATCTTGGTCTTCCCAATATGGAAACTGAAGATGACTTCTGTCTAGATGAAGCCCGCGAGACTCTCTTTACGTTTCAGCGAGCGTGTGAGCGGCGTGCTGCTGCTTTGGGCAACATCGTGGATGTTTTGAACAGGTGAAGCTGGTCATTTGGTGCACGGCAAGGCCTGCCGCATGGGTGCACATCATCCGGACAACCGATGCCCTGTGTTGTTGTAATCGTGCAGGAAGCAACCAGATGATGAATGGCTTTTGGAGGTCCTAGATGAGGCAGAGAAGGGAATAGCTTTCCACCAGCAGCAGCTGGAGATGTTTACCAACTTCCACGCACGGGCAAACGCATACGTGGAAGCACTGCGAGAAGAAGCGAACCGATTGGCCATCCAAGGTGCGGATTCGTCAGCACCGCGTAAGAGCTGTTGTTGCCACACGCAAAAAAACATAAAGGATACACAGTGCCCGGGACCCAAAAACTTGCTCCTTCCGACTCACCCCAGCTCGTGCCAAAGGGGATGGTTCATGTGCGTTGAAGCGGCACACGCATCCGCTCGCGCGATAGCGGCCCCAGCACCTTGCATCACGGGTCGCTGCTAAACAGGAACCCCTATCCCCACCCAAGCATACGCAAGCACGCGGGATGCCATTGGCCCCCTCCCGGGCCCCCTCACACACACACACACACACACACACACACAGTGCGCGGTTTCCCCCTACCCCTGCCGTTCCTTTCCCTTTCACCCGGCCTCCCCTCCCCTTTCTACCTTATCCCCTGCCGCTCTGCAACCATCCCCGAACTTGTTCACGTTTTTCCTCTTTCCGCGCCCCTTTCCCCGCCAACTTCCCCCTGCCGGTCCTTCCTGGTACAAACGTCCTGGCGCTTACTTCCTTCTTGGTGCCACCTGCCCTGTCACTCTACTACACCATTCTCCCCCCGAATGGAGCATGTATGGCATGCGCCGCTGCTGCCTGGGCTTGGGGCGGCGGCCTTGTAGCGGCCCTGCATTCAATCTGTATCGCTAGATGAACCCAACCAAACTCGGGAATTTGTCCTCTGTACGCTCGTGACGCCTCTTTCTCTCTCGCTCGCTCCCTCTTTCTCTCCCGGTCCATCCCCCTTGTCCCGACCCACTTCTCTCTCTCTCTCCCTCTTTGTCCCGCTTGTGCACGTGCACGTGCGGGCGGGTGGGCCCTGGTCACTTTTTCAATGGCGCGGCTAACCCACATCAGAGCTCGCGGATGGAAGCGATGACCAGGTGTGCATGTATGTATGCATGTATGTATGTGTATATATGTATGTATGTGGCAAGGGGGCCAATCACATGATGCAAGAAGCAAAAGGTCGGTTGCCGACAGTGTCCAAAGCTGGGGTTGCATGTGAACAAGGGGGATTGCAAAGGGGTGATGACCCGCTGCTACAGAGAACACAATCTTTATTGCATGCCTGCTTGGCAGTTACACGAACAGACAGACAGACAGACAGACCCGCATCTCGCCGGCACTGCGTCCCCACTTCCTTTCTATCGCTGCAGCTCTAGACCAGGACATGTCCGCCCCTCCCCATCTCTTCCCCCTAACCCCCCTTGGGACATCGGCAGTCGATTCCCTACTTGCATCACACGAATCGGCCCCCCACACGCACACGCACACCCCTTTTCCCCCCCGCCCCAGAAGGACCCACAGGACGAGGCGGAGGGCGACGGAAACGGCGAGGAGGGGTCAGAGACGCCGATTGCAACAGCTACAGTAGCTGCTGTAGCAGCAGCAGCAGCAGCAGGGGGCCCAAGTAACGGCTCTGGTGGGGTCTTGACCATCGGTCAGCGGCGCAAGGCCAGCAGTAAGATCGTGCACCCGGAGTTGCTCAAATTCAAACTGGAGAAGCAGGCAAAGTAAGGAGCAGAGGGACGGCGCTGTTGGAAAAGAAAACAGGAACAGTAATCGGATCCCGATGTGATTTGAACACGGACGACGTTGTGTATGCGATTGCGAATGCGCATGCCTAGGGAGTTGGGGGAAGTGCGCGCGCGGGGGTTTGAAGGGAACTGCAAGAGTCGATTGCAGATGGGACACAGGAGGTCGCGTTTGTTGCTTCAGGTCAAACAGCGTGTAGGGCAATAGCCGATGCGCGGACTTTCATTTTATTTATATCTTAAGGTTTCGAATATATATTTTACACCGCTGAAAACCGGTGACACCAACTTGAGTGTCGCGATGCGGGACTAAAAGAGTTATGTGACGCGACGTGGAGTGCGGGGCCTATAGGGCTGGCACTGTCACCATCGTGCGCGGCCAGACTGCCAGCTCCTCCCCACCCTCTACGTCCATTCCCCCTCCACTACCGACTTTTGGACGCATCGGCATCTGATTCATCCTTTCTGTTTCTCGCATCATCATCATCATCATCATCATCATTAATATCATCATCATCATTAATATCATCATCATCATCATCATTAACATCATCATCATCATCATTAATATCATCATCATCATCATCATCATCATTAATATCATCATCATCGTTAATATCATCATCATCCGTCAATCAGCATCAACATCAGCATCAGCATCAGCGTCGTCATCTTTATCATTATCAGCACCAACACCATTGTCGCCACATAATTCCCACTACCACAACCCTCTGTACTCTCGGGGTTGGGTTGTGTATTTCAGAATTCTGGGCAAGTATGGCGGCATACCCGCACTGGGGGCAGGTCGGCTGCTGCCCAAGGTGCAACGGGACGCCATTCTCAAGGTAAGATTACGTGTCGTACAGCCGTACAGCCGTACATGACAATACCCAAGGTCTGCCAGTACCTCGCACCTGGGGATTCCATCCCTGTCCTGTCCCTCCCCGCTCCGATGTGCCCAGCTGCACCCGCACCAATGTTACACTTGCAGGTGGTGCAGCCGCAGGGGACTAAAGCCTTCCCTCGCTCTCCCCTCCCCTCCCCTCCCCTCCTCCCCCTCGGCAGCAGCTTCACTCGTTCGTGGTTCGTCTTTCCCCTCCCCTTCCCCGCGCTCTTTCTTCAATTGCTGTCATTCTCTTGTTGTGATTTTTTACCGCCTGGTAATTGTCCGCCTTCCCGAGCCCCCGATTCCGTCCCCGAGGCCAGCGGTGTTTCGTTCAGCGCCTCCCTCAGCCTCCCGGCCCTGCAGTCCGTTGTTTGTTGTGTCGCCCGGCAGCTGCTCCCCAATACCCCTTGGCTTGACTTGTTGTTGCCCTCGCGTGCCCCTCTGTGCGCGCTGCTATGACCAATAGTGTGTTGCTGCAGCCCCACCACTGTACCTACCCCCATACCTCTTGGAGCAAGCAGTGCTTGGGGGACATCGGCAGTCGACCCTTTGGTTCACTGCCCCTGTGGAGTCAATATCTGTGATCACATAATCACGTGTTGCCCCTCGCCCCCTTCCCCCCCCCCCCGGTCCCCCTCGCTCCCTCCTCCCCCCCCTCCCTTCCCCCCTTCAGGCCACAGGCAGTGCCGCTGCGCGAGAAATCCACTACAGCAAGGTGGAGAACAAGGACGCGGCGAACCTGGCGCAGGTATGTATGTGTGTGTGCTTGTGTGTCTGTTTGTGGTTATTAGACGATATGCGTGTCTGTGTGTGTGCGCGTGCGTTTCCTAATTAAGTATAGTTGCTGGCCGGAACTGGTGAGGCGGATGGCACGCGAGGAGTCCGTGGTAGCATGTGTGTGTGTGTGTGCGTGTGCGCTTTCGGCCGTGCTGTCTGCTGCCGTTATTCTTTGTGCGCTTGCTCCCCTGCCCCTTCTGCTCCGTTCTCTCACACGCCTCGCTCTCTGCTTCACATGCCCCGTGGCGGCTAGGTGATGCGGTTCAAGGTCCGCCGGGCTGATGGGGAGGACGTCGGTGCGAACGGCGGCACCCCCACGCCCAGCCCGTGGCAGGCGGAGCTCAGTGCGAAGAAGGTGAGTGAGGCGGAGAGGGGGTTTGGCGCGACGCGACGCGGATGGGGTGGGGTGGGGTGAGGTGAGGTGATCCACCGGGGTATTGCTTGTGGGTTTGGGGGATTTGAGGAGAGAGATATTGATGAAGGGGAATGTGGAGAAAGGTTAGGTGTATTTACGGCACGAATAGACAGACAGACAGAAAGGCGACAGGATGATTGCCAAGCACGTAATGCGACGTGGCGATGCGGCGGCGGTTGGTTGTGGATCTTGCGGTGATTGCCGGACTTAAAATGGAATTGTGTGTATGTACATGTATACATATATATATTTATATGTATACATACATATATATACATACATATATGCGTGCGTGCGTGCTTGCGAGTGTGTGTGTATACATATAATTCGGGTCTCTCTCTTCTCTCCCTACCCCATCTTTAACCGATTCTCCATCCTCGACCCTCCTTCCCTCTCCTCTCTCTCACCCACTCCCACTCCACCCACTCCCCGCCCGCCCGCCCGCCCGCCCGCAGGGTAAGACGGCTCTCGACGGCACCGATCAGAAGGACCAGGTCACTCCCTCAACTCGGACCCACACAATATATGCGGAGGAGCTCGGAGGTGCGTGGGGAGAGGCGTACGAAAAGCCGTACGAATGGGGCAGGCTGACGTTGAGGAGGACGTAGGGAGCCGCAAGAACATAGGGAAGTTCAAGGTTCAGGTAAAGAACAGGCATGTGTGCGTGTGCGTGTGTGTATTTTGACGTGTTGATGAGTTTGCACTTACACCATATTTTGCTTTTTCTACGCACATCCCCCAAACGTCATCGCTAGTGTCATGATTGCCCCTGAACACCTTGCACATCTAAACGCCATGTACGACATGTACGGCAGGCGTGTTGCAGCAGCGGCAGGCTGCGCTGGAAGAGGCGCTAGCGGCGCAGGCGCGCCCCACGCCGCCGCCGGCTATCGGGCCCGTCATCTCGGCCGATGCCGGCGGGGAGCTTGCGGACAAGCTGCGGCGGCGGCAGTCTGTCGCGAAGCAGGTACGTGGGCGCGGACATGGACAGGGAAGCGGACGCGCGCGTGTATGTGTGCACCTTGAGCTGCGTTACCCTTCTCCCGTGGGGAACGTTAACACGGACGTGTGGCTGGAACGTCTGGCGAGCTGCCCTGCGTTGCGGCGGGGCGAGGGGATAGAATAGGGGATAGAATCCGTGTGTGTGTGTGTGAGTGTTAGGGGCCAGGTGGGGCGCGGGAGAGAGGGTTTCAATGGGCAACAAGCAGGGCTGAGGGGTCCCGGGGATTTATACTGGCGGTCTGGTGCTACCATGGGGGCATTGGCGTGCTTGGACTGGGGGGTTGTACGGCACCGCGTCTCCGGTTCGTCAGTACGGAAGATAATGTGTTGGATGTTAGGGGCCCCTAGCTAGCGCAGCTCACCACACTCTTTGCTTTTTGAAGTGAATTGAATTGAATGACCAGGTGTGGTTACACCTGGTCACGCCGCTTCACCCTTCGCCCGCTATCGCACCTCACTCAGCACCGACACCAGCGCTGCATGTTTTTGTTGTTGTTACGGAGTGGGAGGCTTCTGGGTCAATCGAACACCCCATTTGTCATATCTGGGATTGAACACCATACAGCACCATCCACCATTACCACACTGTACTACACTGCCACACGAACTGCAAGCCCAAGGCGGTTGACCCTGCCTTCTAGAATCCGTCCTCATCCAGTCACCCGAACGACCGTAGAGACAGAGGGTTCGGCAATCGCCACCAATCCAGCGTGCGAATCTTGGTCTATCAATTGTGACCTCAACTCCATATCCCAGCAGCTAGCCATTATCTCAGCTCCCAACAATGCCGGGGGTCTACCCAGGATTTGAACCCAGGACCTTAAACCTCAAGGAGTGTCTCTAGGCTAGACCATGTTCTGGTTTGGAGTCTTCGCGTTTAGAATGTTTAGCGACACCTGATCAGATATTTAAATTAGGTTACATGTGAACCGACTTTTCCGGGCGCTGTGGGCACTTGGGAAAATGTGCACCTTGTTCAGATAGAGGCGGCGGAGGCGGCCACCGCGGCGGCGGAGGCAGCGGAGGCGGCGGAGGCGGCAGCGCAGCCGACGGCCCCTGCCTGGAGCAACCCCGCAGCGCCGTTTGGCGGCGAGCTGACGGCGGCGATACAGCGCCGCGCGGAGCAGCAGCGACAGCAGCAGCGAAGGGCTAGCAGTAGCGGCGGCGAAGGGCCAGATACGGCAACGGCGGCAGCGGATGCGGTAACTAGCACCGCCGGCCGGGAGGAGAGTGGGAGCTCGGTTACGTCGGCGGAGATGACGGCGGGGCCAAGGCCTGTTGGAAGGCTGGGTAGTACGAGGCCACCTGGGACGCCAACGGCGGCGCCGACGCCGGGACTGCGAACTACGACTGTGCCAGCGACGGCAGCACCGGCGGCGGCGGCCGCGGCGTCAGTGACGCCTGCTGCCGCGGGCTTTGCTACTCCGGTAACAGAGTGCATGCGAGGGTGGGATCTGACTACATTCCGGGCTGCGTTGCAATCCGGTCCTCTTTTGTGTTTTTGCATTATTATGACGAGGTTGCTTGGTTTGGGGGACATGGTGGGGAAACGGGGGCTGTGCATATGCCTTTGGTCAGGGCCTTATGTCCCAAGGCGATGACGGACGATGATGCCATAACGGGGGCGATGGTTAAGTGCTGCATGTTGTGATGCTGGAGAGCTTATCGTGTCCAGCTTTCCAGCACCTTCACGGTCTGACCTCGTTTTCCGAAATCGATGAGAGTTTCACGCATCCTATCGCACAGCGTAGAGAGCCCTCAGCGCTATTCCATTTCCGTAAATCCCGGGGGGCCCCCACGTTCGAGAAAATCAGTTCTCTCCCCCTGGACTGGCGCGGCAAAAAGTCGCAAACCACGCATATATCTACGCACGACCCTCGCGCATGCGCGGTCCCCATACACCGACACACGCCGGCCCCGGCCCTCTGGCGACATCTCTTGCCCTCGACTCACTCTTGCCCTGGCATCAGCTTCACTCGTTCGTCTTTCCCCTCTGGCGACATCGACATGTCACGGCGAATGACTGGGACTGGCGTATTCTGGACTTGTTCCCTCCGCAGGCCGGTACCGCGGTGTTCCGACGCGCCAGCGCGGTGCCGCCGCCGTCGGCGCCGCCACCGGGGGCCGGGCCGACAGGGACGGCGGCACTGGGGGCAGGGGCGTTGAACGAGTTGCAGGAGAAGCTGCGGCGGCGACTTTCCGCTCTGGACGGGCCGCCGCAGCCCTAGGCAGCCGTAGCAGCCGCCGCAGCAGCAGTCCTAGGCAGCCGTAGCAGCCGCCGCAGCAGCAGTCCTAGGCAGCCGTAGCAGCCGCAGCAGCAGCAGTCCTAGGCAGCCGTAGCAGCCGCAGCAGCAGCAGTCCTAGGCAGCCGTAGCAGCCGCAGCAGCAGCAGTCCTAGGCAGCCGTAGCAGCCGCAGCAGCAGCAGTCCTAGGCAGCCGTAGCAGCCGCAGCAGCAGCAGTCCTAGGCAGCCGTAGCAGCCGCAGCAGCAGCAGTCCTAGGCAGCCGTAGCAGCCGCAGCAGCAGCAGTCCTAGGCAGCTTAGGCAGCCGCAGCAGCAGCAGTCCTAGGCAGCCGCAGCAGCAGCAGTCCTAGCCGGCCTGGGAACTGATTAGAGTACCACAGCAGCGCCTTTCCCTCCGCCGCCGGCCAGTGGGCAATTGGCTTGGGGGATGGGCGCTTAGATGCACAGCTTCAGAGGTGATGAGTGGGCGGGCACCCCTTCGGGTTTCCGCAGCGTGAAGAAAGCCAAAGGGGGCGAAGGGAAGGACGGTGCAACGATGCAGACATACATACCAACTGGGACTCGCCTCAAGCATGACATGACGAGGACGCACAAGGCCCGCGACGCGGCGCGACACACCGCAAAGCAATGCAAACCCAAGGGAGACCAGCCATCAACCTTGGAAAGGGGGGCCCTAGGTGGTGGTCGCTGTCGTCATCGCTGTCGGGGTTTTGGATGGACAAAGCGATCGCAATTACCACTGGAAGATAACGGCCTTCGCTGCCTCCTCGCCTTTCTGTAAATCTCGACCCGGGGCGCTCGTACGTATATACCTACAAACGAACGCATATCTTTATGTACGGTTGTTTGTACGTGGATATAGATACCTGCGCGTGCGTGCGTTGCCTCCGGCACCCAAGGAATGAACATTATGCGCATTATGATTTAGATGTCGTAGGGTTTCGGAACGCGGCAGTAGATAGACAGAGAGGATTAGGAGTAGGACATGTAATCATACACACACACCTCCAGTCCGGCGCGCACCAGGTGTGGGGCCTTACGCTGGGTGCGCGGGGCCTTCCCAGAGCTGCAGCACCCGGGCCCGGAGCCCCGAAGAAGCGCGGGGTGCTTTTTGGGCAATGCCAGGGCGCAAGGCATCTAGTGCCGAGAAACAGAAGTTCTGGCGCGCCGGCTGGTGGGTTGCCTAGCTGGCGCAAAGCCTGGCATGGTCTGGCCGAAGGCGTGTTGTTCCAAAGGGTTCCGGGGCGGGGTTTTGACTAGTCGCCGGGATCGCGTGGCGGAATTAGGAGGGCATGCCGCCCTGCTTATTACAGAGGTGCTACTATTTTGTTACAGGAGGGGTGAGACGCAGCCCGTAACGCGTCCCGTAACCGTCGGCGGTCTCTGCGCTATGCTGTGCTGTGCTGTGCTGGCACACCGCAACAGCCATCACTGCACATGTACACTTTTAAAGGATACCTCCGCACAGTGCACCGCGTACCGAGCCCAGGCTTTCGCATGTATCGCCTCGGTAACGGTTTGTTGTATGCTCGTACACGGCTAATTCCTCTCTCCTAGCAAGTAGCCTTGAAAGGTTCAGTCTCGTACCTAAGTACGGCAAAATGGCTGCGGGAGATCGAATGCGGATTGGTTTTCCTGGCCGTATGGCATGTACGGCAGGATCCTACATGCAGCTCCGGAACTCTAGGTGCACGTTTGCAGTGCAGGAGGGGTAAAAACACGGGCTTGATTGTGTGGCCCTGGTGGTCCTTGTTGTCTGACTGTTTGTAACGATTGGGGGGTCCGGCACGTCAAAGTATACATCACGGGTGTGCAAGTAAGCTTGTTTCGCTTCCAACATGACGGCAGTCGACGGGCTGGTTTTACTGAGGGCTCCTCTCCTAACCCGAACCTGTGGAAGACAAGAACAAAAGCCGTTACATGGCCAGCGTTTTAGGCAAGCCGAGGGTAGTCTCGGCACCCATCTTGAAGCACATACAAGCACAGCATGAAAAGGGACGTAGGACGGATCTCAACGCACGGAGGCCCGCATCCGTCCGTCAAACGAATGTTTGTCCGTACAGGTATTGCCGTACGGACATGCGAGCACGCCCGTATTTTTTTCCACTAAGTCTATGACTTCTGTTTCCACTGGTCGCAACCTCCCCGCACAAACACACCTCCTTCACCCCACCGGCCGCTGCCACTGTCCCAAACAAACCCTCTGAGGAGGATTCGAACTCGAAGAAGTCAAAAAAACGTTTGCGCGGCCTAAAAGCCTGCCTGCCAGCTAGCTAGCTGCTTAATAAACCAATAGCCCAACCAGCTGCGCTCGGACAGTGCACATTCCGAACGTTTGTGTGTACGTCTGTGTGTGTGCTGAAATCAGTCTCCTGCTAAAACACATTGGCAATTCTGGGCATCTCTTCAATACACAGACATATACAGATGCACACATGCACATGCACACATGCAAGAGGGCGTAAGCTCGCACTGGCACAACCTGTCCTCTTAAAAACCACGAATGTTCACGATCAGGTTCAAGAGCGTGCGTGGCGCTATAGCCAAGAGTAGCCGTACGGAGGCACATCCGAGCACCGAGTTCGGCCGGGAGCGGACGTCTTTCCGAACCGTTCCATACGCTGGAATGTCCGCGTACTCGTAGAAACGCCCAGTTGCAATAAAAGACACCCCCCGGGGGCTGAGGGCTTTCAGGCCCCCCCAAATTTTGTTAGACTGTCCGAAGCCCCGCAAAACATGAAGAGGTCCCCTCGTGAGTCTGTTGTACGAATCAATGTACGGAGCAATTCATTAAATGCTTTATAGCTCGTCCTTTAAGGTGGAAACCAATGAAGACATCGCCCTCCGTTTGGCCCGTGTCCGGAAGGCGGCCGGTTGCCTGGTGGCGGACTAAGACTCAACAACGCACCCGCTCATGCCTGTTATTTTGCCCCGCTTTAAACTCTCGTCCAGAAGTCCGCATCCGCTCGATCCTTTCATCCCCAATCATTCACATCTCACCTCCTGCGTGTTGTGTATTGATACAACAGCTTCTTACGTTTTAACAGCAGCAATCACACGGCCTTTCGGACGAGCTGGCATGTACGGCAGTCGTTCATACCGTTATCGTCCACGCCGGCCTGCCTGCCTCGGCCGTCAAGCAGCCCCGAACACAAATACACAACTTCCCTCCCATACAGATATGATGGTACGTATACGTGTAGAAAGAAGCTCGCAAAGCCATCAAGGGCGCTACCGGGTCGGCGTCCGGTCCTCCTAGGCTGCATGACGTGTATGCCGTACATCACATCGCTAATGTCACGTGTACATAGATCTGAAGCCGCGGACGGCAGTTACGGCGGCGGCAGCTGTGGCACCGGCGGAGGGGAAGGAGCTGTGCCTGATGGCTCCGAACCGCCATACGATTACACAACGGTCGTGGTAGGCCCCAGCCGCACCCTTATTCGCCTGGTTTCGTTTCGTTTCGTTCATCTCCTCTCCCTTACCCTCCTGTCCTCTTCCTCATCTTTCCTTCCTCCTCCCCCTCCTTCCCATCGCACAGTTCTCTCCCTGACCGCTCCATTCACGCCCCCCGGGGGGAATCTGCCTCAAACTCCGCCTCCGCCACCGCCGCCATGACGGCGCTACTGCGGCGGCGTGAGCGCACCAGCGGCAAAGCCGGCGGCGGCTCCAGCGCCACTGCCATTGCTGCCGTTGTTGATCGCCATGACGACCCGCGGGTCGGCAGGCCTGCAGCGCCTGACGGCGCGTAGCTGCCTCGGCCTCCGCCTCCGCCTCCGTCGTCGTAATCTCCATCGTCTGAAGGCGCCATCGACGAACAACGTTCTGGCGTCAGCCTGTTCACATCCAAAACACGACTGCGGCCAGCATGCAGCAGCGCTGCGCTAGCACCGCCGCCGCCGGTCCCGTCGCCGCTGGCCAGGTCGTCCAAAGGCGTCAAGAAAATTTCAGCAGAATCTCGGGAATTGAATTTCCAGGTGCTTCGGTGACTCTGCGGATCCACCGCCAGTGTACGGCGGTGAGAAGCGGAGATGGATTTGGAGGCGGAGGGGGAGGCGGGGCGGTAGACGGAAGTTGTGACGGAGGAGGGCGATGAGCTCGTTGCCTTGCGCCGCTGACGCCAGCTCAGGTAATCTGCTTCCAGCGTTTCCGTACGCGACGACAAGTGGCTGTAGTACGAACGAGTACTGAAGCGCGTCACGCTACCTCGGTCGCCATACGTGGTGGAGGTTCCGTCCGTGGCGGACGGTGACGATTCTAGCGAAAGTGCTGACGTGCGCTCGCTGTACGACAAGGCCGTTTGCGAGGGGCGATCCGTACCGTCATCTGCAGCGGCATCGCCGTCGCCGTCGCCGTCGCCATCAGCGCCAGCTTCGTTGCCGGAGCCGGAGCGCCGCCGGCTACAAGCACCAACAAAGGTGTCGCCGCTGTACGGCAGCGCATGCGTAGACGGTATCGCACAAGTACGTCCGGTGCCATGGGAGCCGCCGGCGACGGCGACGGCGACGGCGGCAGCGGCAGCGGCGGGGTCTGCATCCTTGGAGATCTGCGCCAAGCGTTGCGAGGAGGAACCCTGCACAGCGCCTTGGAATCCGTACGACTCGCCAGCAGCAGTCACTGCCGCCGCCGCCGCTGAACCCACCCTGAATGCACCACCCTGCACGGGCCCAGCCCTCTCTAGCCGCAGGATATCCTCTTGAGCGCTTGTACCGCCTGGACCCTCTGCTGCAAGCCCCAAACCCTGGACGCCGACACCGTCGGCAACAGAGTCGCCGCCACCACCTATGCCGTAGCCAGCCGCCGCGTCACCACCAACAACCGCTGCCGCGTCCGCGGCGGCTTTCCAAGCTAAACTCGAGGAGTGTGATCCACCGCTTTGAAGCCCACCCGCAACAGCGGCGGCACTACTCCGCCTCAGCCGCCGCGTCACGCCCTGCCGCCAGCCCAGCGGGAGCCCAAAGCCCAAGGACTCGCTGCTTCCTGCGGTAGCGGCGGCGCCATCCAACTCGCCCGTGCTCTGGCTATGCCGCCGGGTAAGCCGACGCGTGACGCCGTCCGACACTGATGCCAGTGCCGGCGCTGCCGTCATGAACACGACCGATCCGGACTCGGTCCCGTCAAGCCCGGCCAACCTGGAACTCGCGGGCGAGCTGGCAAGACCGTCTCCTAGAGACACCGCGATGACAGAGCCCGCACCGCTGCGCTCGCTTCTGGAACCTGCGGCCCGATTCAGAGCTCGCAGGGCAGCGGCGGAGGGCGACGTCGCGGCTGCCGTTGCCGACGACGACGCCAGCACAGCGGCGGTGGCGGCAGATGCAGCAGCGGAGTCGTCGCCACTGCTACTGCTGGTCGCCGTCGAGCGAATGAGTAGAAGCTGTGCTGGGGCAACGGCGATGGCGGCGGTGGCGGCTGTGGTGGGAACTGACATACCGCTGCGTTGTAAGACCGCCGTACTGCTACTGATGCCGTCGCCGCCGCCGGCGGAGGCTCCAAAGCTGGGAATGTACACCTTTGCGGCGTTGCTTCTTTGAGTAGTGTAGAGGAGCTGCAGCGGGGAGCCGAAGGCAGCGGTGGGGACTGCGGCGCCGCCGCCGCCGCTGCCGCCGCCGCCGCTACCAGGAGACGCTGTCTTGTGGCTGCGCACCAAGTTAAGCCCGTTGCCTTTCGCGAGGGAGTTAGATTGTGTGTCCCCGTCGTGCTCATTTTCATGAAAGGGAAAATGTTTATGCCGCGGCATCCCTGCGTCGCCACCGCTGCCGCTGCCACCACCGCGGCTGTCGCTGTTGCTGTTGCCGCCGCCGCCGCCGTCGCCGTCGCCGTCGCCGTCGCCGTCGCCGTCGCTGGTACGGCGCGGAAGGCTGCTCGTTTCGCGGATTTGTGCAGGAGGATGGCTCTCAAGCTGCGGGCCCGTTCTGCTCTGCTGTGTAGGCTGTGAGGCCGTTGGAGTATGGGACTTGTTGGAGACGACGGTGCCGCCATTGGCGCAAGCCGCGGCGACGCCGCCGCCAAACCCAGCCGCCAACACAAACGGCGCCAACACCCCGGATTCAAGGGAACTGCGATCTGGTAGCGCAGCGCTGCACAGCTCGGGTTGGGGTTGCAGGTGTTCGGGACCCGGCCCCTGCCCGTATGCCTGCCTGATTTCGGCTTTGTGACGTAAGTGCGGTCGTTGAGGCGGGTCAAGGTCGTTGACCGGTGCAATAACGACCCGCGGGTCACTGGGCTTCGGGCTGCTGGCCTGAAAGTTACTTACTCCTGCGCTGCTGACCCGCGGCTCAGTGACCTGTGGGTCACTGACCCTTGAGGCATCACTGACCCGTGGGTCGCTGTCAAGGGAGGTTCTTACGCAAGCGGCAAGCGAGGGCGCAACCCCCGCCTGGTGGGATATAATTGGAGATCGAGCCACCTCCAGGGAGGTGCTGCGGGACGTTGGGGACGACGGTGTCGGAGCCGACGCTGACGACGGCTCCGGAACCGCTTCCAGCACCGGGGGCTTGCGGCGCACAGAACGTGTGCGGAGGGCAGTTGGGTTCGTTGGCAACAATGACAGTTGGCGCATCTCTTGTTGCTGCTTGCCCTGCTGTTCCTGCCGCTGCTGCTGCCGCTGCTGCTGGTCCTGAAGCTGCTGCTGTTGCTGCAGCTGCCGCTGCAATTGCAGTGAAGATGCGTCTTGGGGTTGCCGCAGCGCGTTTTCGCCACACGTCGAGTGCAGAGGATTCCAGACTGTGGTATATGTGGTGCCGGTTGGCCAGCGGGCCTCTAGCCGCCCCTCCACGTGCACATCCCCAGTTGCCTGGGGCCCCGCAGGGGGGTTTGCGCGTTGGCTTGGCCGCTGCAGAATGGCCTGCAAAATGAGCGATATCCTGGCAGCCTCCTGCAAATGGAAATTTACGTGGACATGAGTGGTTTGATGAATGGTAACGCGGATGTGAGGGGAAAACACAGTACGACATACATGACAGTTTGGAATTTGTGTGGGTTTTCGAAACGGTGCCAGGGCGGTCCTCCCTACTGCGCTGTTTAGCTGCCCAGCTCTATCCAGCAACACCTTCGCTGGTCAGACCCGAACAAACGCGCATGGACTTTTATTTCAGTGGATTGGCGTACGGACCCCAAAGAATCCTGAATCCTGAATCCCGAATCCGGATCCCCTTAATCTTAGGAAAAAAGAAATTTTCCCTCAAGCCGGGCTTTCCACTCAGCACCCCTCCCCTCAGCACTCCCCTCTCGAAAGAAACCTTTTCCCCCAGGCACCCATCCCTTAAGATGATGTCGTTTACACCATCCAGGAGCGGTATTGCCGTACATGCCGTACATGCCTCTGCTGTGTCGTACCTCAGGAGACCTGCTGCGAGCGAGCTGTGCAGTGAGCTCCTGCTGAGTCCGCAACAAAATGGCGCTCAGGCTCTGTGTTGGACGGGCGGAGGGGGAGGGGGCATGGGGTGAGGGGATGGGAACAGGGTTCGACACCCCGTACGGGGCCCGTAAGTTTTTGGCCTTTTTTCGGTATCCCCGTCAGGGCCCGTAGGACTTTTCGGTGGCTCCCGTAAGGATTTTGGGGCGCGAAGCGCCCCGTACGGGGCCGCCCCCGGACCGGCCGAAGGCCGGTTACGGTGGCTCCCGTAAGGATTTTAAGGATTTATAAGAGGCCGTACGGGGCCCTGTAGGGGAGAGGACGGACCATATAAAGGATAAGGCCACACACTTCGCAGACATAATTCATACTGCAATATTTAACTACACTTTTCATAATACTTTTATAGCTTCTGGTCTGTAACATCCAGCGATGCCAGACAATGAGTCGTCAGGAGGTGACCAAGGGCCTCCTAATCCACCGCCCTCCAAGAAGCGCGAGAAAATAACGAAAACAACGACTTACAGGGCAAAAAAATGCAAAGCGTCACTTTCCACAGCGTTTCAGCCAAGGACAGTGCCCCCGTAAAGGTTTTGCGGGGGTTACGGGGGCCCCCGTAAGGTTTTCGGCCGGTACAGGAGCCTGGTACGGGGGCCCCTCCGTAAGGAAAATTTGGGAGGTACGGGGGAGCCCGCAAGTTTCAGGAAGGTCAGTGTCGAACCCTGGATGGGAACCGCCACTTAGCGCCGCGGGATGCCAGGCCAAGACCTAGAGGCACGTACCCCCGTTCACTTTGGGTACCGTCACAAGCTCAACATCCATGACCTCGAAATGAAAGAGGTGATGGTGCACAGGGCACCGCACAAATAATACGGTTCTGGAGCACCATTAGACGCGCGCCTGCGGCTCTTTTCGTCTACATCCCCAACATCTCACCGTGTACTCCGAATCCTCCGGAACCCCGCCGCCGTCCTCCGCCTGTGATGTACGAGATCGCCGCGAGCAGTACGGCATGGCCGCGTGTTGGCGGAACACCGGCGAGTGCTGCCCAGCTACACCGTCGTCCAGAACCTCCCGATACCGCTTCAGAGGGGAGGGGCCTGGGACGTCTTGATGGGGCAGGCACGGGGAGGATGTGTGAAATCCGCCGCCGTCGGCCTCCAGCACCATTTGGGTTGGCAGCACCAGCGGCGGCGGCGGCGGCGGCGGCGGCGGCGGCGGCGGCAGACGGCGGGCAGCAGCACCAGGCCCATGGGCAACGCCGGTTCTATCTCGCGGTCGGGGCGCGGTGGCGTCACCTACGTCATCGCTGGCATAGCTGTTGAAGTCTCGCTCTAACTGCTCACGAGCTCTCCGGCTGCTGTACGGTGGTAGGACTGGCGACGTGCGGGCGTTGTGTGATAGCTGACCGGCTGGCTCTGTGGGCGGCTGTAGCTCTGGCGGCAGCGGCGACGACGGCGACTGCAGTTGCTGCGGTGGCTGCTCCTGTTGTAGAGCATGGCGTACTCCATGATAGATGATGGGGGCCTGGAAGCTGCAGGGGTTGACAGCACCGACAGCCGTACCACCATCGCGGCGCCCGCCATCGCCGCCGTCACCTTCGTCCGTACACGCATCCGACGGCCGGCCATGCCAGCTTGCAAGACCCTGGACAGCAATCCATTGGCAGACTCTGTCCTCGTCAAGTAGCAGCGGCATCCTCTGTGAATGCTGCGCCGATGTCGGTGAAGATGATGCAGGTGCGACACGGTCAAGTCTGCTCTGGTATTGCTGCTGAGGCTCTTGCAGGGGGACCTGCAGGGGCGACGTCAGCGGTGACGCTGGCATTACCAGCGGCGGCGCCGACACATGCGCTCGCAGCATCCCGGAAGCTAAGTAGTGGCCGGACATTGTCGGAGCAGATGTACGGCTGGATTGAGACTTTGCAAGCGGGTCCGGCACCGGGTTTACCAGCAAGGTCGCCAGCGCAGGACCTGTCGTGGCAGCGGCGGCGGCGGCAGCGGCAGCGACAGCGGCGGTGGGTGCTGATGGTCGTATAGTGGATTGCTTGGGAGACGGCGACGGCGGAGCTGCGGCGGATACGGCACTGGTGCCTTGCGTCCCCTGGTTTTGCTGTTGGTCTTGTTGTTGTTGCGGCTGTTGTTGCCCAGCGGTGGCGGCGGCGGCGGCGGCGGCGGCGAGCCGCCGGGCGCTCTTACGACCAAACGCGGCTACGCGCCACGGTGTTGTACCACTGTTTTGTGCTGGGGCGGCGGCCTCGGCGGCGGCTGCGGTGACGGCAGCGACGGCTTCGGGTTCGTTCCATTCCGTCATGGGCGCGTTGTAGTACAGCGGATGGCTCGGCCCCGGGAGGGCCGGCTCAATGACCCGTGGGCCACGATGATGCTGTCCGACGCCGCCGCCAACAGCGCCGCAGAGAGTCGCCACGCTTGCCACTCGACGACCAGGTCCAAACTTGGCGATGCCCACACCGCTGGCGCCGCGGAGGCCGCTGCCGACGCCACCGCGCAGTGCCGTACGACCGCCATCAGTCGTGCCGGCGACTACTGCAGCATTCACCGCAGCTGCTGCCGCGGCGGCGCGCAGCTGCGCCACCAGCAGCCCGTCAGTGCGGTATTCCGTAGTCCGTGCCACGTCGAATGTTATTCCGGCTTCCGTCGCTGCAAAGCTCGAGTCCGTGTCAAAGCTGTCAAGAGGTCCGCTGGGGGCCGACACACGAGCCGCCCGCTGGCGGGCTGGCGGCATCGCCAATGCCGTGCCTGATGCCGATACCGACAAAGCCAACGGCGCTGGCGCCATGGATGCCGTACTACCGTTCATCACCGAACTCACGCATCCGGCAGCCGGCGGGATGGCGGCGCCCATCGTCGCGGCGCTCAGTCGTACGGTAGCGGATGAGCCGGCGGCACCGCCTGGCCCGTTTAAGGCAGCAACGGCGGCGAGGGCAGAGGATGCTGGATAGTAGACAGCAGGCAGAGGCGAAGGCGTGGAAAGCGTCGATGGGCATGTGGTTGTGTCCCAGCGACCGCCGCTATCTTCCAAGGTCCGCATGGCGACAGGTGGCGATAGCTGCTGCTGCTGTTGCTGCTGCGCCGTCGCAGGACCGGCTACAGCCGCCACCCGAGTCATCACCTCAGATGACCTAGGGCTGACCTGGGCGGCATGAGACCATGTGCCCGTGACGATGAGTCCCTGGGAAGCTGTCGAGGTCAGGTCCGCTGCGGATGAGCTAATTGCCAAGCAAGCGCCTGCTGGTGCTGCTGCTGCTACAGCGGCGGCGGCGTCGGGGGCTCCCCCCGCGCTAGGGCCGACTACTGGGAGCGGCTTCCCGGAGGCCTGCGTCGGAACGTACGACACAGCACGTGCCGTCGTAAGAATGGAGGGCCGGCGAGATGCACCAGAGGCGGACGCTACTTGAAGCCGGGGGAAGCGCGGATAGTGTACGTGGGGGGAAGGGGGCGGGGGCTTTCACAGGTGCGAGCTGCGCTGCGACAACAGTTGTTTTCAATCTGAAGCATATGCAGTGGGCGGTCCTATACGATAAAGGCTTGCTTCCGTGTTCGCTTCACATACCTGCGGCGAAGCCACGCTTGACGCGGCGCGGCTCCCAACCGTCTTCCTGGCAGCTGCCCCGGCCATTGCACCGGCCCTGCCTAGCTGCCGAGGCTGTGCTGTCGCGCCGCCCCGCCAACCAACATGTTGTTGCTGCAGCTGCTGCTGTAGATGTTGTTGGTGGTGCTGCCGCTCAGGTACCGCCGGATACTGTTGCACAGCAGCGTCGCTTTCCAAGGGGCCGGCTCGCAAACGTACGAGCATTTGACCGGGCTTCTGTAGTGACGGCGGCGGCGATGGCGCTGCTGGCGGCGGCGACAACGGCCTTTCGAATACGGGCATGGGCGAGCTGGCGGCGCCGGAGCCCCGGAACAAAGGCGCCGGCTGCGGAGGTAACGGCACCGGCCGCGGTGTGAAGGGCGGCAACCCAAAATCCAGCGGTGTAAGCTCGTCCACAGACCGCATCTCGCCACTTGTTGGATCTGACGCGAGTACGGCAGCGGCGGCGGTGCTGGCGGTAGCGGCACCAGCATGCATCACGGACCTGCCGCCGGGGCTGAGATTGTACGGCGGGTTGGGCAACGCCAGCAAAGCCCCTTGCGTCGATGGCAGGGAGCCTGACGGCAGCAGCAACGCGCTACCGGTGCGGGAGTAAGTGGTAGTTGTGCCGAGGCTGGTGCGTCCCAGGCGCCCGCCGCCGCAATATTCCGCTGCCAGGCCGGGTCCAGCGGCGGCGGCGGCGGCAGCAGCAGCAGCAGCAGTAGCAGGCTCGGGTGCGGCAGTGGTCATAAAAGTGGTCGTAATATTGCTTCCCCCATCCAGGGGAACGCCGTCAGAGACGCTGGACGGTGCCAGGGAATAGTGTTGGTGGGTAGCGGCAGCAGCGACAGCGGCCGACGACATCCGATCCGCGGCCATCCAATGCAGTACGGCAGCGGCGGTCGCGGCGGCGGCAGCGCTGCCGCCGTTAGCATTGGTACTTGGGAAAGCTGTGTTCTCCCCGACTTGGCTCAAAACTCCCTTGGGAAGGGATCCTGTTGTAGGGTAGCCCCGTACGACATGGTGTTATTGAAGCTTCTTAGAAATAAAATCATGCGCATCAGACCGCAATGTGAAACTATACGAAACGCAGCATATTGAATCAAGTTGTACGGCATGGCCTCGAGCCCGCTCCGGGCCAAGGTCGCCGCTCATCGCATCCTGGAGTGACAAAACAAACACACGACAAAACGCGACAAAACGACGCGACAAAACACGCTCCACATCATGCTCATGAAGGTGACCCTGGACGGGGTGGAGGCTTAGGGTTAATACACACACACAAGAGAAAAACATCACGCACGCACAAACACAAACACAAACACAAACACACGCATACACAAATACATAACGGGGACACGGCGCGGAACAGATAAGAGGTGCGGCCGCGCCGGGCTAATCGAGTTGGCCTGGGTGAGCAGCAGCACGTGAGACCAGGAGGGCGCGACCTTACCGGAGACGTCAGCCTGAGTGATGGCTGAGTGCTGTTGCATGGAGTGCGGGCGGAGGAGGTCGCCGCCGCCATCCCAGAGCTCCCCCTCGCTGGACCGCATGCGGGCAAGTCGGTGCTGCTGTTCCTGCTGCAATTGCTGCTCCTGCTGCAGTTGCTGCAATTGCTGCTGCTGCTGCTGCTGGCGGCGATGCTCAATGTACGTACGCGCCACGGCAGCGGCAAAGGTGTTCTGTGGGTCGGAACTTTCCAGGGCATTGGTCCCAGCGGGATCCAGACACGGCTCCGCGCTAGCAGTAGAACGTTGCATCAACTCCTGGCGAGCGAGGATTCATTAAGTTAAGATTTAGTGCAAGTTCATTTCAGTTTGAATAATAGGATTTTCAGGGTAAAGCCATAGAGTTTTAGGGTTTTAAACTTCTTTTGGATTTCAGATTGTATAGATTACCTTCTTAAGAGATTCCAGCTTGCTTGGCAGGCGTGCAAGTTTCCGGGCTTATCGAAGTTCCCTGGGACAGACTACTGCCCGATTTCGCCATGTTTAACGGGCACCAGCACGCTGGGACGGCAGCACACTTCTGTCCAACAAATATCTCTGTACATCATGTACAATGGCGTTCCCCACCCCAACCCTTCCACAGGTGCATCACTAGCTTGCCCTCCTAATCCCATTCCGCCAGGGTTCCTACTGCCGCCACCGCCGCCGCCATTGCAACCGCTGTTACCGACCCGCCTTACAGAGATGCTCCAGGGGGAGCTCTCGTCACCCCTCCCTCCCCTTCTTCCCTCCTCCCAATCCTTCTCTCGTTCCCTCCCTTGTCGTCGTACCAGCCGTGCAGCCTCACTGAGGACGATGTGCGCACTGCGGCGCCGGAAACCCGCGTTAGTGACTTGACCTGGGCGGGCGGGCTGCTGCTGCTGCTGCGGTTGTAGTAGTTGGTGCTGGCGATGATGGTGACGCTGGTGGTGGCTACTGCTGTGGTGGTTGTGGCGGCTCCTGCCGAACACGTTGGCCAGAAGGTTGGTCATGGTCGGTCCCTGCGTCAGCATCAGTATGAGTATGAGTATGAGTATGAGTATGAGTATGAGTATGAGTATGAGTATGAGTATGAGTATGAGTATGAGTATGAGTATGAGTATGAGTATGAGTATGAGTATGAGTATGAGTATGAGTATGAGTATGAGCAGCAGTATGAGTATGAGTATGAGTATGAGCAGCAGTATGAGTATGAGTATGAGTATGAGTATGAGTATGAGTATGAGTATGAGTATGAGTATGAGTATGAGTATGAGTATGAGTATGAGTATGAGTATGAGTATGAGTATCAGTAGCAGTATCAGTAGCAGTAGCAGTATCAGTAGCAGTATCAGCAGCAGTAGCAGCAGCAACAGTATTAAGAGGAGTAGCAACATGGCATATGTGGCTGTCTCAGGGCGGCGCTTTCCAAAACTCATGCTGCATAGGGTTGGACACCGGGACGTTTTGTTAAGAAGAACTAAAACCTTCATTTTCAAGCACCAAAAGCGTGTGACAGCGACGGGCAAAGGAGGCTGAAAACGTCCCACCTGCAAGGTAGACGTTGTCAGCCGCAAAACCAACCACCCAATCCGATTACTGTTGACGGATCTGGTGTTAAATTGTGGGTGACGCGCCCCTAGTGTTGCTGTCCACGGCTGTTCACAGCGCTTACGTTAACATGCGCGCGCTACGAAGTACTTTTCCCCACACCGTTGATCCACCGGTCTCGCCACACCCCTCACACTCCCCTTCCCTTCCCTCCAACACACACACGTACACACCGGCAGTCCGTCAAACCTCTCACCGCGGTCGCGTCGCCACCTCCCAAGGTGACATGCGGACTGGCAGTACCGCTACAGGGGCTGGACGCGCTGCTGCTAAAGCTCGGCCGCCCAGGTGGGACGTTCACCTTCCACCGGCTCCTGGCGCTTCCCGGTGGGCTGTACACCAGAGTGCTGTTGACGCCGCCGTCAACTCCGCCGGCAGCAGCGGTGGCGGCGGCAGCGACGGAGCCGCTGCCGCTAGCTGCGGGTTTCTTATTTCGTATCACGCGCAAGATACCCGCTACCGACCGAGCAGTGCTGCCGGCGCGGGTGAAGTGCCAAGGTGCGGCGCCCGGCCCGTCAGCAGCAGCGGTGGTGGCGGCGGTGGCGGCGGCACTCTCAACGGCGGTGGCTCCGGTTTGCGATGCAGACGACGGCGACCGCGGACCGACCGGTGGGTAAGCCCGTAATGCAGGGCCCGGCTGTAGCAGTGCGCCTTCGTGCATTGTTGCCGACCTGACGGCTGGGAAAAGCACTGAGCGCGAGCGCCGTGACGGCCCGTACAAGCTGCCGCTGTCAGGTATCAGGGACTCGCTTGGGCTGCCGCCAGCACCTGCACCTGCACCGCCGCCGCCGTCGCCGTCACTGGTATGATGCTGCTTGGATTGGCTGGGTGAGCCGCCGCCGCCGCCCAGCCACAAACGTTGCCACATTATGGCTGCGCCTGAGGGCGACCGAGTCGGCACTGATGCTGGCATCCCGCCCACCGCCACCGCTACCGATGGCGTCGGCATCGGCGGTGGCTGGGCATCGCCTGCCCGGTGCATGTGGATTTGCTGGGAGGAAGAGGTCTCGCTGATTAGGTCTAGAGGGCTTGTCGTCCTGGCCAGGGAGCTATCCCGACATGCAATATCACCTGCATGGTGTGCAGACCCCCCCCCCAAATAACAATGTTTTGTTAGATCTGTGCTTGAAGCAGTGGCAGTGGCAGCAGCAGTAGTAGTAGCAGCAGGTAGGGGTAGGGATAGGGATAGGGGTAGGGGGGAGACCTGCGCGATAGAATGGTGTTGTTGTTGCGGCTGATGCTGGTGGTGGTGATGCTGAGGATATGCTGAGGATATGAAACGGTGTTGCAGTGTCGCCATCATCGTCATCACCGTCGTTGGTGGCCTGCTGCTGCCGCTACCCTTTTTCGTCATTAAAAAGGGCCGTTTTCTCATAATTTAAAGTATTTTGCTACGGCCTGCTACGAAGGAGGTCGACTCCGGATATCTAAGCCGGCACTTGGTTTCAGTGCTACTGCTGAATGCTGCCAATTGCTGCCACTGCCGCTGCTACTGCTATTGTCACTGCTACTCCTACCTCTACCCCTACCCCTATCCCCACCCCTATCCATCCTGCCGCGCAAATCTCCTCTCCCTCACAACTCCTAGCAGCAAAGGAAGTCCAAACCAAGCATAGATTCAAATCTGATTTCAATCGACCATCTTAATACACCGCCAATCGTGCAGCGTAATCCCACCTCACCCGGGGACTGCCAGCTATAACCGCTGGCCCCATCGTTCTCCGACATCGCCGCCCCCAGTCCCACCACCGCGCCAGCCGCCTCCGCCCCCTGGGCAGCCCGCAGCACCGCTCGTACACGTAGCTCCGAAAGCACCCCCGAATGCGTGCCGGGCTGCGCCGCCGCGGCTCTTTCAGCACCAGCACCGCCGGGCGACAAGAGCGAGACCGGCGCCGCCTCCGCTGCGGCCGCGGCGTGCAAAGACTCGGCGCCGCCGCTTCCAGGCGCCGTTATGGGTGACTTGGAGACGGCGGCGGAAGCGGCCTGGAGGTCCACCTCGGAGGTGCGATCGGCGGAGGCAACAGCCCGATGGAGCGTCTTGCGCGGGCGAAAAAAGAGGGAGCGCTGCGTCCATGTGGTAAGTGAGTTTAGAAGGATGCCCTTGAGCCCCGATGATGAGGCAGCCTTGCGCCTCGGAGCTGGGCGGGAAGTGACGCTGGAGCTCGGAGGGCTAACAGACTCTGCGGGGGGGGAGGGAAAGGGGTATAGGTGCCGAGGAGACTTTGGGGGACTTTGTGGTGGTGAGGGAGGAGGATTAAACGTGGAGAGGGGCGCAGAGAGGAAGGTAGTGAGTGTATGGGGGAGGTCTTGGGACGGTATTGGCGCCGCTGTGGCTGGGGTGCCATAGCTCCGCGGGTGGGCTACTGTGCAGGTCACGAGGGAGACTGCCTCGTAAGGAATCAGGAAACAGATTTATTAATATCTTTGGCTTAAAGCAGGAGCAGTTCGGAGCGGCAGTGAGAAGGGAGACGGTTACGGAGTTGCAATACCAACAGCAGCCGCAAATACACCAATGCACACAGAACACCTCAATCCTAGTCCCAGTCTCACAGTCCTCGTCACACCTGCAATGCTGATGCTCTGAGGAATGGAAATGTTCAAGTCGCTAGGGGCGCCAGGGGCTGCAACGGGGACTAAGCCGATGGTTAAACTGCTAGGCAAGCGGCTTGGCAGGCCGCTGTGCTGGACGCGTAATGTCGTACTGGGGCCCATCGGCGTGGTTGCAGCCAGACAAGGCTCAAGCTCTGCAGGCAGCGACGGCGGCGGAACACATCGGCCTGAGCTCGGGGCGGCAGGCCGGCTGCTTGACGGCTCAATCGTGAGGCGCGACGTGTCGTTGTCGGCGGCAGAAGCAGCTGCAGCAGCGGCGCCGCCGCCACCGTCGTCGCCACTGTGTTGCTGCGGCATCCGCACGGCCGCAAACGGCAGGAGCGCCACGGAGGCGCTGCCTGACAGAGGCTGCTCGTACACTTGCTGCTGTCGTTGCCGCTGCGGACTGGGTGGTGTACCACACGCCGTGCGATCTGCACGGTCTGTGGGATCGAAAACCGTGTCCTCAGTCCCATGGATTGCTTCCGAACGTGGCGGCGACGGCAGCGATAGCCCTGTGCCGTCAGGGCTGTACGGCTGTACGGCAGCAGTACAACTTCTGTGTTGGCCCACAAGAGGTGGCCCTACGGTACGGCAACCGTCGACGATGGCTGCCGCCAGCTCTGGCATCGCGCTCGCCGTATGGATATCACCTAAGCCCCCAGCTTCCAGGGATGCCGCGGCGGCGGCGGCAGCAGCGAAATAGCCTGGCGGCGGCAGAAGGCTCATGCCCGGAAGGACCTCAGATGGGAGGGATACCGCGCCCGACTGGAGCTGCTGCTGCGGACAGCTGCCGGTGGTGCTGCCATCCGCAGACACCCTTACATCCAGAAGCCGCTCACACTCCTCCTGTGACAACAGGCTAGCTGGCACAGGGCCCAGCGGGGCCTCCGCCGCCACCGCCGCCGCCGGTACCGCAGAAGCGGTAGCAGCAGCGGCGCCTTGGCATCTAATGGAAATACCGGCAGTAGCTATCAGGCCAGCTGTGACGGCCGTAGCAGTAGCATCAGCAGCGGAAGGGGACTTTGCTACTGCAAACGGCCCTGTGACCACTGCGGAGGATGCCAACAGTCCCAACGCTGGTGAATAGCAACCACGGTTCAGCCCAGGCATCGCCCGAAAGCTGGGGTCGTCCTCGCTTTGGAGGACACCTTCTTGGCCACCACCACGTCCACCGCTGCCTCGGCAGCCGCCACCACCACCATTACCACCGCCGCCGCCGCCGCTATTCGTGCTGCTACTGCCGTCGCCTTCGTGCAGCTCCATTGCAAATGGAGCCCCGTAGGTTTCGAGCTCGTGACCTGTCGCGGCCATGTCAACGGAGGCGGAGATGTCCATTGTCCGGGTGCCATAGAATGACGACCCAGCCGCCGTCGTCGCCGCCGCCGGCAGCGGCAGCGAAAACTCTTGCTCCGAAGCCCCTTCGGGTCCAGGCAGCATCCGCACGGAGTCTACTCTTGCTGTGAGGGTAGTACCGGTGAGCGGTTGGCTTCCAAAAGCTCCCTGCTGTACGAGTGGTTGCAATGTTCGTTGCACATGTTGGCATGTACGGCGGTACGTATAACACGTGTACAACATGTACGGTATGAGTCGTTTGTGAAAAGTATGTGTAATGGCCCCGTAGGCCATCGATCCCGTGCTTACTTAAAAACAGCATCTTGCGCTCTTGCCACTCTTGCGCACCCTGCTATGTGATGCTGTGCTGCAAATTGCCACTCAATGCTTAATTAGTCGTGCTTGATGGCGCATGATGATGCAGGACAATCGGCATGGACAGCTACAACAACTTGCACGTTGTTTTCGAGATTCCTGATTACCTTCGTGGGCTGTTTCCTAGGCAGGCTACAGCCCAAGGGTGCATCGTGCAGAGCAGCAGCAGCTGCTGCTCCAATCGCCGCAGGGCTAACAGATCTGAATGTAGCAGTCCCCGTGTAGAGGGGACGCGATGACCCATGTACCTCTAACTGCTCCAAGCCGGAATCGATCTCGGCCATCGTTCCATCCTGATATTCAAGCGCTGCATCGGCCGGCAGTAACGGCGGCATCGATGACGGCATCTGCCCGCGGTCCGGCTGCTGCTGCTGCTGCTGCTGGCTGAAATGTTCTAGAGAGGGTGGTAGCATGGGCGACGGTGTCGGTTCCGGCTCGGGTATTGGTGCCGTACAAGACAGTCGGCATCTCAGCATGTACGAATCAAGACGTCCCCTTTCGGCTTCTTCAATTTCCCCATCGCTGAAGTGCGCGGCAGCAAAGTACGGATGTGCAGAGTCGTACGTGCTTTGGAATTGCTCATCATACTGCATGCCGACTTGTTGGCGGTTGCGATCAATAGCGGCGTTGGCGGGGTGAAGGATGTGGAAGGGGAGGGGCACGCTGGTGGTGGCGAGCTGGCCTCGGCGTGGAGAGGTGCTGCTGCGCCGCACACGCTGGGGGGAAAGCCTGGGGAAAAGCGTGGTGGAGGGCGACTGTGTTTGGCGTGCTGATTGAAGAGGAATGGTGTGATAGCCCGCCGTTTATGACCCAAACGTGCGGTAACCCTGAACCTATTATGTACAACACACGTACGAAAGCAACCTCAAAGCTTTATCCCCCTAGTAGGCATGGAAGGTTCGCATCCAGCAACAAAGGTTGTCATTAGTTCATTTGGCCCCAACCAAGGAGGTTGGAGGTGGTGGCGAGGAGGTTGGAGGTGGTGGCGAGGAGGTTGGAGGTGGTGGCGAGGAGGTTGGAGGTGGTGGCGAGGAGGTTGGAGGTGGTGGCGAGGAGGTGGGATGGTGGTGGCGAGGAGGTGGGAGGTGGTGGCGATTAATTAGAGCGCGCAGTTGCGCCTAATGAATGGCACTTGTTGGCCCTCTAATCGTGGCCTCACTGGTGCATATCCTGGTATGCGGCAGGGTGTGTCTTTCCCTGCGCCCTTAACAGCTGACCCCCTCCTTTAGTACCCCCCCAGTGCTGTAGTACCTTACTGTACCGTACAGGTCTCCGTAAACATTCGCGCCTAGGGTACGGCAATGGACGAGCTGAGGTGGTGGCTGGTCTTCGCTTTCCATTGGTGGACTTGTTTCCTCGGCTCTCATCCACGGGCTGAGTACGTTCACAGCCGTCGGTGTCCGAACTGCCGGCTGCCGCCGCGCCGCTGCCGCCGCCGCGCTCCCTTCTGCGGATGCTTTTCCGCGAGACCGCGGGGTGGCAGGCGGCATGATGAAGGTGCTATGGTGCC